GGCTGTCTCGCACGAGGAGGGGAAGAAGAGAAGGAAAGGAGAGAAAGCTATCATACATGGAGGTTCTAGTTATCACATATCATAGTGACGCCTCAGGCATCCAACGGTAAAGACGGCGGGTGTTGGGCGATTTTCTTCTGCGGCCTAAATGTGGTCATTCCAGGCCGATGATTAGGCTACCAAGGTCCTGTGCTGGATGCCAGTTCATTTAAATACCGGAAATACCCCCAATGTCATATAGTGAGTACCCTGCGATTTGCTACTGCTACTCGTCTCACCCAAACTGCAATATGAAATTTGTTATTTGAGTCAAACAACCACTTTTTTTTTCAATTTATGTCTTAAATATGGATGCATGCTTTATGAACCCCTGGCAAAGCGCTTTATGATAACGCGGGTTGGTACACACATTAAACTGACCAAATTCTTACCAAAGACTGTACCGAATCGAAGTGCTCTCGACAAGCAAACATGGTGCTCGAATCTAGTGCTGCGGGGACGGTCAGTCACACGAGTCTATGGTGTGTCCAAGGAGCTAGTTCGACCTACCGAGATGTCTTCCCATTTCTCCCAGCCACGTCCACGGACTTGGGTCAGTTCTTCATCTGTCAGCTGCTTGCCGGTAGTAAAGTATCCCGATTGGATCTTGGCATCGATCTCGACCCTTGAATCACTAGGGATCATCTCGTCGGGGATAGGGATACGCTCGATAATCTTGATACCAGAGTCCACGATGGCGTCATGCTTCATGTTCGACATTGACAGCATGCGATCGATTTTCGTGATGCCAAGCCAGTGCAGAATATCGGGCATAAGAGCTTGAAAGCGCATCTACAGTGGAGGCAGTCAGTATATGCGAGCCACACTAAATGATCAGGATCCTTACATCGCGGACACCGGCAATATTCTCTGTCCGACTGAAGTACTTATCGGCGGTGTCACCTCCACGCTTGCGCGCATTGTACACAAGATACTTAATCACTTCCCCAAGGGCTCGACCTTCTTTGCGGAAGTAGATGACCACACCACTGCCGCCGTTCTGTGCCTCTCGGATTGCTTCGCGAATACCGAACGCTAAGTATGGTCGACAGGTACAGATATCTGACTGGAAGACATCACTGCCATTACACTCATCGTGGACACGCAGAGCCAGCTTGACATTCTCGTCCGCAATCCGCTCGGGTGGGCCGAAGATGTATACGGTAAGGCCTCCGATTGGTGGCAGGAAGGTTTTCAGATCAGGCCGAGTGATAAGCTCGGGGTAGCTCCCACCGGTATGCTCGAACAAAGTGCGACGAAGAGTGCCTTCGTCAACGCCAAATCGTTCTGCTACACCGGGTAGATACCAGACAGGCTCGGCTGCTACCTTAGTGACACGGACCTCACCAGATGAATCAACAAGAATAGACCCGTCCACCTCGAGCAGGCCATTCTTCACATCATCGGCAATCTCCGCAAGTTTCATGTTAGCGCGAGTGACCGCCATCGTTGGACGGATATCCCAGCCAGCCTCCAGCTCTGCCTTGAACTGGTTGACAATGTCATGGCCGTAAGGATCCATAGAGACGATCTTCTTCTTATCCGCCCAGGCAGGCTGCGGGGGGAAATTGAAAGTCGGCTCAGAGTTACGGAAGTCCGGTCGGAAATCCGCATCCAAGTCACCAGCGGCAATGGCAAGGGCATTGTAGATGCTGTAACTGCCACCGTGGGCGCCGATGGCATTGCGGCGCTTAACGAGGTTCCCACTGCGGGATACAACTACCGGACCCCGGGATTTGGCGTCGGGAGCGCCCCACTCAAGGGGGACGGGTTCAATGCCGCTCTGGCCTGGGTAAGTGGTCAACTATATTTGATATTAGTATTAGTATTATACGAATATTGAAGTCAGAATATATCTGGATCTTCCTTACGATGATATGCTTGCTGTATCGGGGATTGGGGTCGGTGGGGGAGCTGTTGGAGATGGTTCCGTTGATACGGGCAAGACATTGGCAGTGAGTTCTGTTTTCAGCATGATTACTTATAGAAGAAAGGCTTCAGGATGATGAAGATATGAAGAGAGTTTACAAGAAACAGAAAAGAAGAAGGGAAAGAGGAAAGAGTGTGCTGTGAGGAGGGGAAGTACAGCGTGCCCATGTGACTTTTCCAAGGTTATCTTTCTCCTCACGTTATCTGAGGGGCTTATCTGCAGGTTTTTGTACAAATCAGGGGGAATATATTATATTGTGTTAGTTTCTTGGCTTTAATCATTATATGTAGTATTGTACGGAGTATATACTCAGTTTATATCCCCAGTTTATATGGAAGAAGATATAGAAGATACTAACTAAACTATAGAAGATCCACCGATCCACCGGTTTCCACCGCTGTTCTTCGGAGTTCTTCGGAGTTCAATCTAACTGGTCGGAGTAGCGAACACCGTAACTTCCTGAATTATCATTTTGCCTTGGGGAACACCAACCCATTAAGACAAGAACTTGTGTTTCCCCCATGAGGTAAATGATTTTGCTTATTTTAATGCCACCCGCTAACTACATATACCCACGGTAGTACCTCGCGTCGTCGGAATGGCAAGCCAGCCTCCTGCGAGCCATGTCGCAGAGACAAAGTCCGTTGCGATCATGCATTACCTGTATGTACTCGCTGTAGAGATCGTGGGATTTCCACGCGATGTTACTATCACCCCGCTCCCCTGACGAGGGCCAAGGGTCGCCGTATCTTCCCATTGGAAGAGGGAGTTCCATTTGATCGACCTCCATCAGCAAGGTGTGTTAATTATAAATTCACTTTTATGTTTTGTCTCATTGAGTTGCCAGTGGTCAATTACCACCCCAGTGCACTTTCGTAGCTATATCCATATGTATACATATCAGGCTCTTATGATTGCTGTTTCGCAGGAACCCTCATTCAAGCGAGACACCGCTCAACCCTGACGCGTCAAATTCGGGACAGGAGATCTCTTCTGGGCGCATAGCCCGTACCCAACCATTGCTTTCTGGGTACTTCGGTCCAACGAGCTTCGTATCCCCCCTAACTGAGGATGTCGACTTGGGCTCGGAAGGTCATGTTCTGGGCCTGGAGATCGAATCTGCCCAGAGAGTCCTGCCACCATACTGGGTCCACAAGATATCCGAAATTCTATTAACACTCAACGATTTTGAGAAAGTCGAAGCCCTGATCCGCGAGTATTATGCACTGAGCCAAAGCGCGATTATAGCGGCGCCATTCGTACTCAACAGCCTTGGTCCGGTTGGGTCTATGTGCAAAGAGAGCATATCAGACCATAATCTTGTTGATTTCACATCTTCACTGACAGTCAATATAATACAAAACACATCTGAGAATTTTGAGGTTCCGTCTACGACACAAGGGCGAGATTTCCACACGCTGTTCACGGGTCCAGCAATCCGCCTTGAAATCATCGGGCTTCTCTGCGCTCTCGCTGGTCGGGCAAGATATCTAGGGCTTGTTAGTAACAGGTTCGATGAAGACCAAACTTCGCGGTCTCAATATGCACGTAAGATGCTTGCAGCCAGCGATGCCGCACTGCACATTTGCAAAATCCTTACCCCACTCAATGACCTGACAATATGGCTGTTGCATGAGATTCTCCTGTTGTCGGATATAGTACATGGCGACTCAAGTATGTTCAGCTTAATCCATCCGCAATATGTTACCTTTACTAACACCTTTTAGGCCCCGCCTGTTGGAAGCGACTAGGCGAGCTTTCCACCGACATCTTCGCACTTGGTCTCCACCGTGACTCCAAGACCTCGAGCGATGTGCCCGAGTTTCTGTTAGAGTCGCGCAGACGTCAATTCGCTGCAGCTTATCAGCTTGACAAGAGCATCGCCACATTCTTAGGTCGACCGCCAAGAATACCATGGCGATACGCCGATTGTCGCATGCCCCTTGATATCAGCGATGAGGCACTCGCTACTGATAATACGGTATTGAATTACTCTCACGACTACATCGACGAGAATGGCTGGAGTCGCAACGGAGTAGTCCAGCGGTCATCATGGATACGAGTGCGATTTATCGTCAGCACATTTCGGGATGAAATACTGGAGGTCTCTTTGCAGAACATGACACCGGAGATGGAAAATATGCTCAAGTACATCATGACATTCTTTCTACTTTACGTTCAGCAGCTGATACATACAGGAATATCTCGCAGCGATGTCATCTAGCATGGGATTCGCTCCCCAATTGGCTACGCTACAGCCCACAATGTTGGGATCAGAACTTACATGTAGGAGTATGTCTCATGATGATTATTTCATATCTGGCATATCTATACAACGACTTCCTCATCCAACGACTCATCGCCGGGAAGAATAACCCGCGTGGAAACACAGCACTGCTCTCTGTGAGTGCTGATATACTCTCAACGGTCCTGACCTTGGGCATGCAACGCGAACAAATGGTCGACCTCCGGCCAGATTTTGCGTGGACGGTATGTACGATCAAAAGGAACTGTGCTTCTACTCGTTCTAATACTGAGTGAATGAAAGGTTCTGCTCTACGGCTTTCCCAGCGCCAGTCTACTCATCAAAGCCCTGCAGCACCAAAAGCGCACAGGCGAGCCATTCCTCTACGAAGGGTCGAGATCGGCACTTATCCGCAATTTGAGTGTCTTCATTTCGCACCTTGAATCTATCGTCCGGCCGGATAATGCTAACTATGCTTTATTTCAACGGGCTAGTCAACTGTTCTCTAGGATCATTGATGAGATTCTGGAGCCTCAGTCAATTCTTCCGGACTCGGATCTTGCGGATACTTCTACTTTTAACTTTGATCCAATGATTGAAGTTGATGGCCTGGATTTGTTTAATAACGTGGATCTTGGGGTTGCATTTAATCAGTGGTTGTTTTAGGGGGAGTCTATGGGTTGTGGTGGTTTCATGTATATAGTCGCGATAGAAGGCTTGGGTATTCTAATCGGGCTGCAGGCCTGCTTCGTCAATTTGCCTCCGTTAAAGGGATATTCATAACCGTTACGGGTATGGTAGGACCAACCAGAATATATACAAAACAAGTACCTGGACCACGCTGTCAATGATCTCATGACAGACAGGGGCAGTGGCAGTGGCAGTGGCAGTAGCAGTGGCAGCAGGGTGTAGCAGCAGGGTGTAGCAGGTCCTCCGAAAATTGCGGCGGAAGATATACTCTTGGAAGCTTTGCGCTATTTGATTTTGTCTTTCCATTATCAAGAAAAGCCCGAGGAACTGTAGCTAGAGTCTACATTGCTTACGCAATGGTGGCTGTGTCGATTGTCGAGTGAACGATATGCTCTGCATGCTTCATCCTCGCGTCGATTGGTGGTGCCGAAAGAACGTCCCGCAGGAAGAATTCATAGTGAGACGAAAGGAAGAAAAGAAGAAAATCTACAAACATGTTGAAATGAAAAAGAGATGGCGGTGTTGTTTTTTTTTAGGGTAGCAATTGACTTCGTTAATTGAAACCAGCTGCTTCTTTTGACATGCCTGGCAAATGCAGCCCAGGAGAAATGAAATGGGCTGCAGGGGCAGCCATGCGCGCAAATAGGTATCTAATTTCCCCTCGGCCCAATTGGCCCGCCGAAAAAGAAAAAGAAAAGAAAAGAAGAGATTTCGTCACTCTTCATAGCATGGAATGTGAAAAGATTCTTTTTCAAATCAGAACAGAAAGCTGTGATTGAGAAAAGGGATCAATGTATCTTAGTTGCTCTGGACAAAGTTGGCTTGAGCTCGGGTATTCTTGATCGTTTTCTTGATCATATCCTCCACTTCATCCCAATCGCTGGTATCAATGCGGTCGATGACGCACTGGAAGTGCGCTTGGATCTTGCGAAGCATATCCCACTCATCGCGGTTGGAAACAAAGGAGATTGCCACGCCAATACGACCGAAGCGACCAGTACGACCGATACGGTGCAGATAGGTCTGGTAGTCGGGTGTGTTGGTGCGATGACCGGATGAGTATTCCTCGGGAATATCCTGAAGGCGGAAAAGGTCAGTTTTGAACATGAAAGGGGATACACAATGAGCTCACGTAGTTTACGACCAAGGAAACTGTGGAGACATCAATTCCACGAGCAAGCACGTTGGTTGTGATAAGAACCTTAGCGTCACCGCTGCGGAAGGAATCAATCACCGCGTCACGCTGGGATCCCTCGACACCACCAGTCAACGAGGCAACAGTGTGACCCTCAGCAACCATACGCTTCTCAATCTCAACAGCAGAAGCACGGGTCTATTTGGAGATTAGCAATGTTCCAATCTAAATCCTACATGGTACTTACCCGGACGAAAATGATTGAGGATCCGACAGTGAGCAGACCATAGAGCTGGACGAGGTTTTGATATTTCTCTTCATCGGTGTTGCAATCCATGTAGAGTTGTTTGATACCCTCAACAGTTAATTCTTCGTGTTGGAGGGTAATCTCGTTTGCGGCAGGAGCAAACTTTCCCGCATAGCGGTAGACGTGAGCGGGGAAGGTTGCCGAAAACAGAACGATTTGGACAGTTCGGGGGAGCATCCTACCCAGGGGGAACTATTAGCTGAAAGCTTTGAGTGTTGGGAGTTTAAAAGTGCTTACGCCTTGGCCCGGATGCACTGATCTCCCAGGCCTTGCTGATCAAGCATGTTATCCGCCTCATCCAGGACGAGCACTTTCAAGCCAGTAGGGTTCATGACACGCTTCTTGATCATATCTTGAACAGTGCCAGGTGTGCCAACCACAACTGAGCAATCCATCTTCGACGGGCGAGCATTGGAATCGGCAGGAACAGCAGTGCCGATAACGAGACCTTCAAGGAACTGACCCATGATCTGAATCACACCAACAATTTGACGCGCCAATTCACGGGTAGGAGCGAGTATTAGAGCTTGAGGGGTCATCTGCAACTGCTCTGTTGAGAGGTCGAGACGACTGAGGATGTTGAGGACGAAGGCCGCAGTTTTGCCGGTACCGGACTGCGACTGACCGACCAAATTCTTCGGGGGGTTGCTCATCAATAGGGGAAGCGCGCGCTCCTGTACCTTGGATGGCTTGCGGAAGTTCATGGTCGAGAGACCTTTCAGAATGCGCGCATCTCTGGATTGTCAATCAAGTCAGCTATGAGGTGTTCATTCGCCATCAGCGTATAATTATTAGCACTTACAGGCCCAGATCTTCAAAGCTTTTGACTGAGAACAGGGGGTTGTTAGGGTCCGCTTGCAAGTCGCTCAATTTCACCGCAACAGTGTAGTCGGGCTCCTCGAGATTTGCTGAGCCCTGCGCGGGGGCAGAGGCCCCGTCCTCCGTGGGAGGGGCGGAGACATTAGAGGAATCTGTAAAGTTAAAGAAAAAAAATATATATTAGCTATCAGTCGGGATATCGCGCGTTTTCCGGTCGTGTGGACTGGAGGAATCAGCGACGGTGGCGTGGTGTCGTTTCGTACCAGTGGGCTTCGACTCATCAGGTTTGGTGACACGGTCAGCCAAGGAACCCCCAGCAGGGGTAGTCTCTGGATTTTCAGACATGGTATAACAGTCTGGTGGGTATCATAGAAAACCAGAAAGAGTTGGAGAAGGAAAGGTGGAGGGGTTGGTCGTGGGGTAAAGAAAAGTTCGAAATGGAATTAGATGGCTGACTCCACGATTGGAGGTTAAGATGGCGCCGACCGATGACTTTAGGAGGAGATGGAGGAAATTAAAAACCCAAGCACGAAGAGAAGAAGAGCAATAGCCAAAAGGGGAGAAACAATAGCTTCTTTCTGAATGGAAGAGCAAAAACAGATGACGCCGAAGGATAGGAACTAGTCCGAATTGAGAGTCAAAGTGAAATATATGTATTGATATTGTAATAAATGATCAATACACATATTAACAACCAGCAACGTGTATGTTTGGTATTGTCACAGGGGACCGGCCTTCTCCCCGCCTTGGCCATTGAGCTCATTCTTCCTGTCTGAATGGCCTCGATAGCCCTTTGAACATTACCTAATTGGGGATATTGAATAACTAGTTACTTTGATTGGTAGCAAAGACAAGTGGCTCATTTACGAGCGCTGACACCAGGCAACCCCGTCTCATTGTCCGGTCTTCCATTCCCGCGCCATCCCATGCGCGTCTGCCTTGGGATCTCAATCTAACCATGGCGGCCGCAGACGTTGCTCCCCAATTCGGAGCAGAGTTAAAGGTATCTCTATTGGAAGATGATGGTTGCAGATGCATAACTAACTGGCTTAATTTACCTAGGATTCCTTCAAACCGGTCAACAGTTGGGTATGGTCCCGACATCGTTTCCCCGCAGTCAACCCGTCAGATCACCCTATATGCTTGAAGTGGAGCTAATGCAAACATATTGCACAGGTATCAAATGGTATATCATGGGTAGACGAAATACACCAATTCTACCGCGAGCGGAGTGCGATTGAGAAGGAATACGCATCCAAGTTAACGGCCCTGTGCAAAAAGTACTATGACCGCAAGTCGAAGAAGATCAGCCCCTTGAGTGTAGGCGATACGCCCACTTTAACCCCCGGCTCCCTCGAAAGCGCATCGCTCACTACATGGACTACACAATTGAACGCCGTGGAATCTCACGCCGCTGAACGAGACAAGTTTGCCTCGGAGTTGGTAGTGCAAGTGGCGGATCCTTTGAAACAAGCCGCCACCCAGTATGAAGAGATCCGCAAATGCCATGTTGAATATCATGGAAAGTTAGAGAAGGAACGCGAGGCAGCATATGGCGATCTCAAAAAAGCCAAGGGTAAATACGATGGCGCATGCCAGGAGGTTGAATCTCGCAGAAAGAAAATGGAGTCCGCTTTCGATCATGGCAAGGGCAAAGCACAAGCAGCATATCAACAACAAATACTGGAGATGAACAACTATAAGGCATGGCTCATTCAACTGAAAACCCCGTGTTCTGATGCTAACTTGCGGGCAGAACCTCTATCTGATCGGTATCAATGTGACAAATAAGCTCAAGGAGAAATTTTACCATGAATATGTCCCTGAGGTGGTCGACGTAAGATGAACCTGCCGCTCCCCATAACTTGGATCAACAATGGTACTTATACTTCCGATCAGGGTTTACAAAATCTCAATGAAACACGAGTCGCAAAAATGAACTTGATGTGGTCGCTCGCCGCCCAACTTGAGAAATCATCTCTTTCAAATAGCACCGAGCACATAGCCAAGCTTCTTGTCGAGATTCCTCGGAACAACCCGCGTCTGGACTCATTGATGTTCCTCCAGCACAACGTGACTCAATCGCAGGAACCTGCAAACCTAGCATTTGAGCCGAGTCCAGTATGGCACGACGATGCTTCAGTCATCGCCGATGAAGCAGCCAAGGTCTTCCTGCGCAACATTCTGAGTAAAAGCAAAACTCAAATCCGCGAACTACGAGTTGAGTCAGACCGGAAGAAGCGCGAGGTTGAAGGAAGCAAGAAAGTACGGGAAAATATTCAACATGGCAAAGATAATCGAAACGAGTTAGATGTCGTGCGGTCCATTTTCTACACCCAAGAATCCTTGCACGAAGTTGATCGCAAATGGGTTACCGCCGAGGTAGAAACGGCGACTATCATGGCAGTAGCTGGAGATTTGTCGTTAGGAGCCCAGAACCACAATTTCCGCTCTCAGACATTTAAGATCCCGACAAATTGTGATCTTTGTGGCGAGAGAATTTGGGGCCTGTCCGCCAAGGGCTTTGATTGTCGAGATTGTGGTTACACCTGCCATAGTAAATGCCAAATGAAGGTGCCCGCGGAGTGCCCAGGCGAGCAAACCAAGGAAGACAAGAAGAAACTCAAGGGCTTGCGACAGGAACAAGCTGGTGCCATGCCTGTTGTGGATGTCGGCACCCCTACAGGTTCCACTGCCGCCCCATCTCTAACACGACAAAATACTATGAACTCTCTTAGCTCAGGATATGCGGCCAGTACGGCTCGTTCGGTATCGAATGTTGCTGCTCAGCCCGCACCCGAAAGCCCAGCAGAGGAGCCTCCAGCTCCCGTTGCAGAGACAAAGCCGGCTGCCGCTGCCGCGAAGAGGAACCGAGTGCTAGCACCACCTCCGACAGCATACGTGACTGCACCTCCGCCGAGTGACTCTGACATGCCTTCAAGATCCAAAGAGCCACGAGGTAAGATGCTGTACGCGTATCAAGCTACGGGCTCAGATGAGGTCAGCGTGGAAGATGGGGATGAAGTGGTGATCCTCCAACCAGATGGTACGTCCTCTTGTCTTATCGTTTTACACCCAATATCTACTAACAATCACACAGATGGTTCTGGATGGCTGCGTGTGCGATCTGGAGCCAACGAAGGACTCGTTCCGACGGCGTATGTCGAAGCTGCCCCAGCACCATCTCCCGTGCCATCCGCTAGTCCCAGTATGCCTGAGCGACCTGGGTCAACGTACTCAAATTCCTCGTCCTCCCTTGCGGGAAGCGCTGCGCCGAAGCGTGTTGGACCAGCAGTCGCGCCTAGACGAGGAGCCAAGAAATTGCAATATGTCGAGGCGTTGTACGAGTACGAAGCCCGCAGCGATATGGAGTGGAATATGGCCGAGGGTGACCGGTTTGTCCTAATCAACCGGGATAGTGGTGATGGATGGGCCGACGTGGAACGGGGTGGTGTTACAAAGAGCGTCCCGGCGAACTACATCCAGGAGGTGTAGGTTGGGAACGTCTACGTAGTACCCCATTGGCCTTCGTACATTTTTCTAAGCGGTTGACGCTTTTCTACTTGCGTGCCTTATAAGATCCATGCCTGCTTTCTGTTGAATTTTGTTCATTTTCCTGTATAGTCGGCGTCAACTGTGCCGTTGTCATTATTTTTACATCAGCGAGCATTGGAGGCATTCGTGCTGGCATCCATTCAGAGTCTCGAATAGAGCATAGAACACGTTGTTTCCATTGAATCCGCATGAAAGTTGAAACAGTTCCAGTTGTGGGTAGGAGTGTAGATGAAGTAAAAGAGACCACAAACAGCACCCGAACCCATGCTTCCACTCTTCCATTTTGTATGTAAGTCTTCATCCTCAATATAAAATCATAATCATCAATCATCACGCGAGTTGTTGACCAGGTTCGCCGCCCGGACCCCTCCTGTTATTGCGACACAGGAGGGAATCCAGTATCTAAATGCTCAAACCCTGTCTCAGCGGACCACATATACCTCGACCAATCCTCGACATGAAACTCCTCCATAGCCGGTAACTCCAAATCCATATTCAGATCGACCTCGTTCAAATATCCCAAGTTGTTATCACCCAATTCCAGCGCAGGATCCAGCGAGAAGTCAAACGGATGCGCCCCGTCCAGCGGACTAACCATGGACAAGGTCTGCGCGATCTGCGAACCAGAAACAGAAAGCGTAGAAGGCTGGAGCGAATACGCAGGATCAAACAAGGCCACAGCCGCGACATCAGCATCCGAGGAAACGGGGTATTCATACAGAGATCCAGGCGCGGAATGAGAAAGGGAGCCACAGCCCCCCTGCTCTTCTGGACTGAGAGTCTGATTCGAGTTCGAGGTCGAGGTCGAGTCCAAACCAGACAAAACAGACCCAGAGAATGACACTGTGTGTCTCGATGAGTCAATCCTAGACATCGAGCCCTCGGAGCCTGACCAATCTCCTGCGCCAATTACATCATGGCAATGGTAGTTAGGTGTCTTTGCGGGCGACGAAGCCGACGAGGTCGAGCAGGCCGATTTCGACCCGGACCTAGACTTTGACTTTGACTTTGTCACGCTCGTCGTTAAGAGAGGTTTTCCGCCGCCCACGGAACCCGAAATCGACCCCGACGGACCGTGACCGGGACTTGGACTTGCACCGGGAGTTGGACGAGGGGCAATGGGAAGGAAATTGGTGGGATTATGCCGCGCATAGAGTCTTCCGTGGCTCGAGGCTTTCTAGAAAAAGAGCAAACACCAATCAGTACCATGGCGTTTGCAATTTCTCTTTCTTCCATATGGCGAAGATATGGATTCCAGTTTGGCTGTGTTTATTTTGTGTTTGCGTTACTTTTGAAGGACATTTGAGCTCTGCGTCACGTTTTGTGCGCGCGTGCTCCAGTGGAGATGTGCAGGGTGTGGCATTGCACACTGTACATGTTGCGAAAGGTCGACCTTTACGCTTGATGCGAATCAATGGACGATCTAGATGTTGTTTTTGTCAAGGTCAGTTTTGAGAGTTTTAATAGCTTTATGTGGTTATGGGTTATGGGTTAGAGCAATGAAGGTATGGGGAAAAGAAAAAGGGGAAAATGGTAGCTATTTAGGTACTAACCATGGTGTTTGCAGCTGGTCACACGGTGGCCCCGTATACAAGCTTCACACGCCCACTTTTGACCGTCGATAAGCATTCCTCGTTAAGATGAGAGGTCATAGTGTGTGTGGATGGGGAGGAGCTTATATACCCTTTTTTTTTTTTCTTAGATCGTCCCGTGGTAAGGTAAGTAAGGTAGGACTGAGGGGTCAACCGGGATATTGACTATGATGACACAGGAACATATTATTTTATTATATTTTTATTCTTTTCTATTACAATCGGAAATAGACATGTGTGTGTAGAAATCCAGTCATAGCCACAGGATCGACTAGGACTGGCTCGTGCAGAGGGTTCTGTACTTTGTGGTTTTGTGTGGCTTTGTGGCTTCAGGGTTTTCGATGCTGGAGCTCCATAGTTTTGATGCTACTATGCGGTACTTTTGTTACGAACCAAAAAGGGTAAAACGGTAAGAAAGTACCTGTTAAATAGTTAGTTAACTATATGTACCCCGTATACTCCGTATACTCCGTACTGGTCCTATAGTTATGAGGGATTTTCGATAAATTGAGATATGGAAAGTTCTCCAATTCCCTTCCTCCAATCCCCAATACTACCATACCAAATAGAAAAGATGGAAATGCCTCATAATACAACTCTTTTCTTTTCACGTGAATCTTTTAATTTTCTTACTCCATAATTTTGAGACGCCCGTTCCACCATGGGGCTGGTGTAAATGGTACGCCAAGAGAAAAAGAGAGACCAGGGTCTGCATCTGGAGGTGGCTGTGCTGTTTTATTGCATTTTCCCATTCCCTTTCTGTCTCGGTGAAGTATATATGTATACTTTAACTCTTCTATTCTATCCATTTTATTTCAATTTATTTCAATTTTATTTCAATTATCTTCAATCTCATCTTTTTTTCTTTTCTCTCAGTCAAACACAAAGGTCGTTACAAAAAACAAAAAACAAAAAAAGAAACAAGCTCTTAGCTGTCAACTCTCCCGACCAATCATAATCATTCCAAAACCAACTCTCCTGGCTCCGCAGTATGCGCCATTTATATAAACCTGAGGCATTTTTCCTTTCCACTGGTTTCTTTTCTTTTTTTTTTTTTCCCCTCTCCAAAGCGGGATCTTTCACTTGAAAATAATTCTGTCGCCTGTTGGGTCACACGGCACATTGTGCGTTGGCTCTTTTTTTTCTCTGCCGGAAATCGCCTATTTCGCCAGAGAAAAAAAAAAGGGAAAAAAGGGAATTTGCACTTAAGCATTCAAGGCGTAGCTTTTTTAACGTCTCTGATCTCCGATTCCAAGTCAAGCCTTCAGGGCTATACTCTTCTCAGCCATCGGGATAATGACTGTCTTCCCAATGATATCTTCAGATACATCTGTGAGCTAGGAAACACTTCACAAATGTTTGAATTCTCATAATCGATCTCCCAACTGTTTGGAAGACAAGCACATTTCAAGATAAGAGTTCGCCCGGTCTTGATTATCTCATGGCTGCGATCAACTCGTGTGACAATGGAACTTGACTTGGGTTAACTGGATCGCTGCAGGTTAGCATATCAACAGAATATGATTCTGGGAGTCTCAAGAAGATCCACCGCAAGGTGCGGACATGACTATTTATATGAGTATCCCAGCACTTCCCTCGGGATGAGCAATGGTATTTACATTGCAAGGGTTGCATGGGATATGTCTGCGGGAAGATCCCCCGTTCGCTGAGTTATATGGCTCATATCAATATCTTGCCCCCCCCTGGTTCAGATCGGATATTATATGGCCGTGATAATACCCTTTTCGGGTATTCCGTTTCACCGCATAGTTGCTACTGAAACCTACCTAGGTCGTTACACCGACTATTTGACCCATGTACCGCTAGCACCACCATGAGTGTCAACACTTATCTCAATATCTCGATTCCATACATGCCCACCCATATCTCACTCCATGCTGACCAAGACCTGTCAGGGTGTAGGTTAGCCGAGGTTTGAACCCGGAACTTACATCTCGGACAGAGGAGGCATAAGCCCCCTTATTCTTCCTTATTCTTTCATGCACAGACCTCGGGTTAGACGAATCACCAGTTATATCAACGTTTTCCAGCCCCTGATATGATAGGAGTGGGGTTCAAGCAGGAGGTACATCTTGTGTGGCGCATTCTCTATATCTACATATCATTGGCTGCCTGACAGCGCCTAGTCTGAAGATATTTGAGTTAGATTTGTCCCATCCGGTCAAAATTGCTAAAGTACAAATGCCTCTCCCTCTTCTTGGGCCGAACCGCAGCACTGCAAATACCTAAATAACACAGCAAAACAACCATTCAATCCATCAACTCATACTTCCACAGGTGACTGCATCCACTGTCTAGTCTTAGGATCAAGACACTCTTCCTCCGCCTCTTTCCACTCACTCAAAACCAAATTCGCTCTCTCCCGTGATCTCGATGTAATCTTCGCCGGGAACTCTTCAGGCATACACACAAACCCTTGCGTCAAGCGCTCAGGATCAGGCAAAATGTCAGTTCCCGCGGTATCAGTTTCAGGCGTGATATCAAACGCCCACAGAATGCGCGACATGCCAAGGAACAGACTGCGCTCGGCAACATGGATCCCGGGACATATACGACGGCCCGCACCGAAGGTGAACACATCCCGCTTCGACGGATCCGCGTTCGCCGCTGCCTCTCCGAAGCTCTGGTAGTCGTCGCGGTACCGATCGGGGTTGAATACCCGCGGGCTGGGATGACGCGCCGGGTCCATGTGGATGCCCCACACGTTGTTCACCACGCCAGCGCCGTTGGGAATGAAGTACCCCTTGTACTCGTCGTCTTGTGTGACTGCGTGTGGGACGGCTCCGAGGATGGTCGTGGGCATCCAGCGGACGGTTTCTTTCATGCACCCTCGTACGTACTGTAGTTCAGCCAGGTCTTCCATAACCGGTAGCCGACCTGGACCTACTACCCTTTCGATCTCTTCTTGGGCTTTGCGTTGGACATCTGGGTACAGTAGCATGGCTTGGACGAAGGCGTATAATGTGCTTGATGTAGTGTCTGAGCCGGCTTCGAGGAGAGTTCCGGAGATATAAGCTGCTTGATCGTCGCTGAACCCGTCTTCTTTCTGCGCTTTGTACATTCCCGCGGAGAAGCAGGGCTTGATTGTGTTTTCTTCAACCTCTTCCTTTGCTCGTAGCCAATGGCTCAGATATAACGCTTTCTCCTTTTTGTGGAGGTCCTTTGCTTTCTGTTGTGCTGGGAGAAGGAATCTAGGTAGTTTCCGCAGCCACGGGAAGAAATCAATGATCGCTGCTGTTCCGGTCTGGTTGAGATCTGCAAATTCAGAGAACCCGTTAAACAACTGCATCATTTTCTCGTCTTCGTATGTAGGTGTGCGCCATCCGAAAACCATCGTGGTCGTGAGGGCATTGGAGTATCGTCGAATGTGTTTCAGGAATCCTTCTGGCTCCGTCAGGAACTGGTACAACATTTGTCGGTTCTCCAACATTTGATACGGTAGATATCTCTTAGAGGTTGTAACGTTAAGCAAGCCATGCACCATTTTGCGGAACTGACATCAAGTTAGCATAAATATCGAAAAATATCGAAATGATGATCAGTAAGTAATGCTTACCCCACGCCATGTTGGTCCATAGCCCTGAAATGGAAGAATTGGTTAGCTACGAGATACATCCGAAAATCATTTCTTTCCTCCGAGGCTCTCTCGCTTCACGACTTACCATCATCAACATTCTGAGGTCACCGCTGCACAACTTCTGGCCTATATACAACTCTGGCCGGTGTGAATATATACCACTTCTTTTATCCAAAAGCTCTTTGACTGCCTCGTCACTAGACAGTACAATCAGACACTTGGTGCCTAGGATCAAACTGTAGATTGGGCCATATTCACGTGCCCATTTTTCAAATTGAAGATGGGCATCTTGAGATGGCATCTAAAGGCGACAGGTTAGCTCAAAGTTCTTCATCTGGAAGCACACCTCATCACGCACCTGATGAATGTTCCCCAAAATGGGTAATGTTGGAGGTCCCGGGGGGTAATTCTTTGGTCGACGTCCGATTCTGAGAACCCGAGAAAGAAGCAGGATAGCAATGACTGCCCCTACTATTGCGGTAACTGGTAGCATCTGGGATATGATATTTGGGGATTCTTTTCACAACCGGGTGAATCAAAGGTGCATTCTTAAGATAAAGAAGATTGACAATGACATTGCGGTCAGAGTATCCCACGAAATACCCTTTGCTTTATAAATTCTGTTACTTAGATCCATATTTTTATCTTCTAGCATGTCTCAACCCCAGTATATTGGTCGATCTCGGAGGTCGGAGTGGGATGCGTGTATAAAGGCGGATGCGGAGGTGGGCGTCGGAGTGGATGTGGGGGTACATTTTCCACCGGAAGACCCTCCACAATTTCAATGGACGTAGCAACAACCTATCATTGTAGAACGATTTATCACCAAAATGCTCTCAAAAGGGGTTATACCAATGACGAGCGTTCGAAATCGAGTCGGATTTAATTCCACACCCCAAATACCGGCAGCAAGTCCACTGACCAGCGGCAAATAAGCGTTTTACTTTCCAACAAACCACACCACGCTTGAGTATTTCTGCTATATTCTTTTCCTCCTATGTTGGTGTACTGTCCCCCGGGCTACACTTGTCTACTCCCGTTCATTCATTGATACGTGTCAAAATCGCAGTATCGAGTATCCTGTCCATCGCAAGAGATGGTCCCACCTTTCCTGAACTTGACAGTCAACATGTGCATAAACGGCGGCTCTTTACCCTTGGATTTATCTGTGACAGAGACATTTCCTCGGCCACTTGTGGTTGTGGGGACATTGTCCTCGGAGCCTAATCCCCCGTTGGTATTGTCCATATCCCTTGTCTTCGTTCTGGGGCCGGTCTTATCCTATATAGGGCTAGAAACCGGTGTCGACGTTTGGCAGCAAACTATGAGCCTAGAGATAGACACTCTTGGTTAGTATAGGTGTCTTTTTCCGACACCTACACTTCCCACGAGTGCCTCTGAGGGTGATTAGGCTGGACTTTAGGGTTGTTAACTCTGCATAAGTCTCTCATATGAACATAATAAGAGGGAGCAACACAGGCTTTATATACCGGATGGCCCACACACCAAATCACAAGACCAAAACTAGACCAATCGGGCTGGCGCAGGCACCGATCATGGCTTTCCAGCCACCAGCGGGGCTATCCGAACCTTCACCGTAATGTTTAGGGCCTTTACAATGACCAGGTATGCTTTCCGTACGTAGCGTTCTTATAGCTACTTGCATAAAAGCCGACTGTATTCCTATACGTGGACGATTTTCCATATTTTGATATGTGATCACACTGTCATCTCGGGTTTTTCATATTGTGTACATCTCATATGTCACCAACTTTATCTATAACCTTCAACCAAGCTTATATGTCTAAACCACTCGGACATGACCTACCTTGAAAGACAATGCCAAGCACAAACTATATCGAAGTGCACACGAAAATAGCCGCGCAATACTGCAATACATAGATCCATCGCAAAGTATTCGGTTGCCTCGGGCTGTGAAGTCGAAAATCAGAGACCAAAATAGTTTCTAAGCTTCCAAGTGATGTGCATTTATAATCAGGAAGAATTAAGGTAATTTTACCTTGCTGATATGATTTGTCTACGACTATTCGGTGGATCCCTTGGCGTGTCAGCAACTTGCATTATGCCCAGGTGCGTACGTACAGGTGCCCAGCTGTTTGATTTTAAAATCTAGTTGCCTTCCCAAATGATTAGCTAACTATAGCTTTGTTCTGCTATGTACGGCAGTCTCTGGGCTCTTTATATTCCTAGCTCAAATAAAACCTGTGTACATAGCTAGTTACAGCGGTTCTTTTTAGGAGGTTGCCAGTTGACCGAGGTGTTACATGACACAAGATGACAACGCCTATATCCTGCGACTTTCTGATACCTCAACACATTGGTTAGACGACTCTTTTGTTATAAGAACAGAACTAAGAACATATATGCCCACTTGTCATCAACGCCGATAAACTCGGCTTAAGTCCGTGCCAAGACCACTCAGCCACATAATACGTGATCATCCAATAAGCGCCAAGAGATCATCCTCATGGGCCAAAGTGAACTCTTGGAGAAGGTCAATTCAAACTCCAAATTCAACTCCCACAAGTCCAGACGACCAAGTTAGATCAGAAACTCAAAATAACCTTGGAAAACCCTCTATATAATCAAACTAACACCCCCAGACACATTTATCCATTTCAAGGTACTTCGAATCCTTCGCCCCCACCTACTTTTTACCACCCAAAATGTTCTTTCGGCCATTATTTACCTTATTCTTTGTCCTCCTCTTCAGCTTTCTGGCTACAGGCGCAGCTATAGGCGCTCGGTCCGTGGGGATTTCCGAGCCTGACAACACCCTCGAAGATACGACGCAGACAATAATACAACCACAACCAATCCACGATGCACCATCAATAACTACTCTTCCTCCGAGATCCGCACATAAAGATGATGGCATAATACCCAGACTCCACGAAACAACAATCGACTGGAGAGAGGATGGATCTGAGTTTCTAAGACTAGAATCTGAACGTGAGGCCGGGTTTCTTCCAAGTTCCCATCATGAGAGGTAAACATTATATCCAGTTGCGACCAGCCACCAGTCACTAACAGAATCTTGTTTGCCAGTGATTACTACCAAATACCCGGGTTTTGGCCATTGTTCAAAATATGTGTCGCTTCCGCAATAGCGATTTGTGTCCTCAAAATAATCCGGGACTTGAAAAGATAACAATATATAAAACGAAAATTCATGACATTTACTCATTTTATATGGTAGTAGTAGGTAATAAGACATTGTAATTGAATTGTTCAGCAGGGCCCCATCTTTCAAATCTGGAATGTTTGAAACCCCATAATCAAATCATTAATCTGGCGCATACTGGTTTGGTCATATCGATTCAGAATTGGGTCCAGTAGGCCCTCGTCAAGCGGCTCCAGCTCATTCTCCGGCTTAGATGTGCCAAGTACTGCCAATCGATCTGCCATCAGGTGGGCTAGAAGCCAGTATTCTGGGGCATAGCGGAAGAATCCCATTCGTTTCCAGAGCTCCCCGGGTTGAATGTGAGGGTCTTCGATTGTCGCATGTGGCGTGATTCCTTGCGGGAATGTCGACGAGAACAACTGCCAGATGTCTCGCCAGTTGCTGAGGGCATTTTGTATTGGGGCTCGGAGTTGGAAGCTGCCTACCGCGCTACGGAATTGGAAGATTTGGGAATGAATTGCTAATGGTTACATATAGTATTAACAAGGTTGAATCATGGGGGTTTGAATTGTAGCTTACCTGATGTTAATGTGAATAAATTTAATGGACCCAGGATAGCGAGGAGGTGGCGGATATTGGCGGATAAATCGTCTTTACATAGTGACTCGAAGGACCCACGGAATGAGGTGGTCCAGTAGAGACTTCTTGCAGGCAGGAAGAGCTGGAGTTGGTGGTGGCATTGGTCTGCCGTTGTCGCTTGAAAGCAAGCTTCTGGTGTTGCCATATGCATCCTTATTTCTTTGATGACCATTCGCGGAGGGAGATTGTTAAAAATGACGAATGCTGAATCTAGTAAAAAGATCCAAGTGAACAGACTATCGTTCCAGTATCAGTGACTATTTCTTCAAGTGCAATATTGAGACCTACCGAATGAGTTCCTCTCTAGCTGCATATTCTTTCCATTCGAACTCATGGCGGCCTAGCTCGCTGTAGTTCAGATGTCTCGCCGCCGTGATCCCAATATCACGAGCGGTCTTTGGTACATTAATACACTGATGAGGTACAGACTGGAAGGTACACTTACAGATACCAGAGTAGCAAAACGGTAACGTCGAATGCGACTCTTGCTAGCATCCGTACCCTCCCAATTCTGATAAAGACATACTATGTAGGCCGCCTGTACAGCCTGTATCCTGCGTCGTTGAATGGCTATGTTACCAGAGGATTGGTAAGTCAAATCACTGTTGAAATCATCGTCAATGAAAACCATTTCTTCCACACAGTTGAACCAAGTGCGCGCATCTTCGTTGTCAGGCATATCTGGTGATACACAAGCACCTTTCAATAATTAGCGTTTACCAGGCCCTATAATACAAGACTGTCTCACCAATTAGAGCCATTGAAGCTAGGACCGTTGGCTTCGCTGCCAGCATGTCGAAGGTAGGCCGGTGCACAAAGTTCACATTAGGATGCCATATTGCCCAATAGAACCCCATAAATCTTCTTATGTTCGAAGGGGAGAAGAATTGCAGACATGCATCCCTGAGTGCTGGTGACCAGTCCAAGGCAACAGAACTGTTGCGCGGTTTAATCGTGACCACTTCTTCGACTAAAAGAAGAATCTCGTGTGTCTTCAAGGAAAGTGGGTCATTGAACCAATCCAGCGGTAAGTCGCTGGTTGAACTTGTATCACTGTTATTTTCCAGGATCAAAGGAGATGGAATATCCATGCTTAAGGCAGGCATTGACATTATTCGCTCCTGTAACTCAGACAAGATTTGCTGGTCTAACCTGGCAGCAACTTGTTCTCTTTGTTCGTGGGTGCCGCAATCAAAGCTCGACACTAGACCCGTGTTGCTAGTAAATTTGTCCAGAAAGTGCAGCGATTTCCGGGGGTTGTCATTAGAAACAGGTATTTCGAAAGTTGCCGGGCCTTCGGAAGGTAATGCCGAAAAGTCCGGCCAAGTTGGACTGGTGCGTTGCATAGAAGCCGGATCAAAAAAGGTATTGGTCGGACTTGTGCCAAAGTTTTGCAAGTCTTCCATAGCGAAGCCCCACGGCATCATTGTGTTAGATGTCGATGTCGATGGCGGTGGCGGTAGGTCCGTGAGTTGGGTATTCAGGTCTTGGTCTTTCGGTGTATCATTCATTGAGATATGCTGGCTTAGTCGTAATGATGACCCCGTGTCTGTAGAATACCAACACTGAGCACCCTTTTTGGCGCAGCTGTGACATGGTTGATGGGAGCTACAAGCCTTTTTCTGACGAACGCAACGATCGCAAGCCCGTCTTCGAGTGCTTGCTCTCGATGGGCCGCCATCACAGGACCGCAGATGTCGCTTTAAAACATCAGCACGCTGGAAAGCTCTGTCGCACGAATTGCATTGGTATGGCCGCTGTGATGTATGGGAGCCGATGTGGCGAAACAGGTGTTCACGTCGCTTATACCGCTTGAGGCATAATGAGCACTCGTATTTTGGGCATTCTGATGCCTGAGGGCTTTCTGCTAAAGGATATTCAGTTGACATCTTTGAACAGAAATCTTTTCTGGTCCAAGTCCGGGGGAGTGTCCGGGGCAATGGTGGGCGTGGAGAGCAGTGGGGCGACAAATGTTAGAGTTCCAGCACGGCTGCGTTGATCGGTAATTGGGTGTCGGTCTATGATTCTTCACATTTCTTTCACATATGCCGACTACTTAGTAGTTTGTTGCTTTATGCTACGTGATACATTATGGATATTCCATGGTTCTTCTGATTACCAGAAAGAAAGAAGCAAAAAAGGGATATAATCAAGGATGCTTTCCAAGGTTATATATAACTGACTAGTCATACTACATACTTAACCCAATCCTACTAAAAAGCGATTACTACTTTGTCCTATTGTTTAGCTTTCCAGGTCTATACCTACCTAGGGCGAGCATTGTACTATTTACCTTTGATACTATTGTGGCGCAGAGATTGATTCCGTATTTTCATCGATATATCAAGTCCCCAATTTACCGATACTTAGTACAGCATAGGTAGGAAGCTAGTTACGACGAAGATAGAATTTATTCTCAGTGGTCTGATACCTTGTAAAGAGAGCATGGATAACCTAATCTTAGTCGACCAGATAATGATAAAGAATTTGCTAAAGAGTTGATTTCGTGCGAATACTTCACAACTAAGCCTCAATTAACAGGAGTGGTAATACAATAGCGCCCTGGTGGGTGAATGGAAAGAATGTCAAGTGTCCCAAGGGACGCGTGGGACAGCTGTCAAGTACATCAGAAGTATAGGGCGCGAATCCCGATTCCGGTTGTGTACCTATCCGCGAGAAGGTATCCAACGCTATACCTAGATAGCCACGACCTGCACGAAGAATCGAGTATCGTCGGTCAGGAACTTCTTATCACTCTCAAGCTGCTGTTGGATCCATTTAATGGCGCTCATGTATGCTATATCCACAAAGTCAGCCAGGAAGCCAGGGGATTATTTCAGATAAAACTCACCCTTGATGTCATCAGTGCCCGGGTGGTTGAGACCAGTTTCTCCATTGCGGTGGCCACTGAACCACTTTTCATAGCCGTACTTCTTCTCGCCGTCATGACGAGCCTTGATGTCTTTTGCGAGATCGTGGCTAACACTCAAGGATTAGTCATATATACCTTGATATAAAAACCGTGTTAAAACGTACTTGAGAACAATACCCTTCTTGACTTCATCAACGGACAAGCCCTGGAATTCAGACGCAGAATGTCTCAAGATGAACCAGTTCTGTTTGAATACGCCGTAGTTGGTACCGTCGCCGGACTTTCCATCACCTAAAAGTGTGAATGTTAGTACTGCTGCTAGTTCTGCCGGCTAACCTTTACACATACCAAATTTGTAATCGGTGGTCATATTGTTGCTAATACTTGTTAGCTGGGTTATTAGGTGCAGATACCAAAGAATTGAACTAACGTCTCCAGCATGGCAATGGCAATGTCACGCGTGTTGCCACCAGCCTTCAGGATCTCCTGCTTGCGGTCTCCGAGACCGTGAACGATGTAACTGCCCTGTTTATCAGCGCGGGCAACGTTTACGTTCAAGTCTGCTACCGGAGAGGCGACAACGGCAGATAGGAGAGCCAAAGAGGCAAATAAAGAGCGGAACTGCATCCTGAAATAAGATGGAAAGAATGAAATTGTTTGGTTGATTGAAACGATGGATGTGTGATGCTTCGAAAGAACTGGAGGCTAGCAGCTTCCTTTTATAATGGCGATATGATATCTGGAACAACGGGATCTTCTGTTGAATTGCCGTACTACAGGAGTAGAAATCGAAGGATCATCAAGTTCGATGTTTCACTTTATATTATATTGAGAGGATCCCAACAAATTTGTGCCAATTTGGAAAACAGGAAGACAAAAGGAAGATTTTCACTTTCAGTGTCCTGTGAGTCGTCCTATATCGCAAGCAGATATCGTTTCATATTCGACACTAGTCTCAAACACTGGCCATGATTCAAAGGGAATGAATATGGCCTCATAATTGAACGGTGAAGTGAACAACATGTGGAGACAAAGATGGACTTGAAAAGGATACATGAAACTATGCACTGAGTATGTATTTAGTTAAACAATACGGAAAAGGATAAGCGTCAAACCAAATGATAACTACCATTCCCCACTACTGTTCTCTTCGGCATATAAATATTTTCACATGATCTAAAGTTCGGGGGAGTTTCTTCGAAATTTCCTATTTTGATCGGACTTCCGCCCATCGTATGCCCAAACAGGCAATTTTACATAGGATGACTCCCACACCTGGCATAATCAGATGCTGCGTGAGCGTTTATAGTGTCTCAGTATAAAACGGTTAATTTCGGATTCTACGGCGTCGTCTCGATACGACCCGCAATAAATATTCAAGAATATAGCCAACACAGCTTGCAGGGGCTAGATAACAGAAAGGAGTGAGTTGCCACGGGAAGAGGGCGAGTGTCCTAAACTACCTAGGTATATACTGATGAGGGGTGTATGCCCGAGGTACTAATGCTTTCACGCAGACAGGTGAATGTTGTACATTGACATGTGTAGTTAACTACGAATAACGGTCCACGGGTCTACGGGTCCACCCATTTCCCAGTAGCTGAAGTACCTCCCTTCCCCCCCGGCAAAGAAGCCTTTCGCCGGCTTTACAACCATATACGGGGGGCTTTACTAAAGTATAGTGGTTGTGGAGAAATAGGATTAATAGATGTCTAGCTAGATGTATGATTTTAGTATATTCAATTTAATGGCGTTTTGATTGAGATATAACTAAGAAATCCGTAGGTTGGGTGTGCATGTGAAATACGTTATAGAATAGTGATATTACAGGGCAGGAGGCGCGGGCGGCTAAAGTTACGGGTGGAGGTCCTCATATTCTAGTTGTAGTAACATTATTGTAACATTATTGTATTATTGTATTTATTCTTTTGAATGATACTCGATCTCGTGGCAGTCAACCATGTTTGATCAATAACACTAAATCACCCCCTGCATCCAAACCGGTATTGCAGGCTGGAGCCCGAAGAGCCCGAAGCGAAGAGCCCGAAGGGCAATGGTGATGATCATGGAGTATCCTCTCCTTGCCCAGGTGCTATATTGCAGTTTATGACTACCAGTATACACCCCCTCTCTATAATCTTATTCCAATAATCCATGGCTCTTATAGCCTCTAACTATCCCTTTCTCATTCAATTCCTTCAAACTAAAAAAATAAGATATACTCACCCCGGCGCAATGGAATGGTCCTTCCCGATCTGCTCTAGCGTCAAGATAATCAAAAAGAAGCAGAAAAGCAAATATGGAAGAGAAAGACAACGAACGCACAACGTTGCACCCAGCACGCGTTAGGTACATATTTCAAATACCTTGTGGGGGCCATTTGATCGACACGGGTCGGCCCTTAGTCTTAAACGCTCGGCCATCAATATTTGGGGAAGTAGATTCCATAGATAGAAATCAAGGTTCAAATCCCGGTAGTACATGCATGTGTACCTACACTGGTAGTTTGTGTCACCCCTAAAACTTTGTATCATATATCATATAGTTGCAGGAACAAGGCATCTCGTGCCTGAACGTTAGGTCGTTACAATATCGGCCCATACCTGCAAATATCTCATCATCTACACGAATAATTGATAACAATCACCCAGGTTCTAAAGCCCCAGGCTGTAACTAATTATAAATAAAGTGGCTAGCACTCCATGGAGGTGTGGAGCTCGCCGATCATTGCTCGCTGGGGTGATAATGTTGCAGGTGATGGGCGGTTTACTGGGGCCTGATGCATGCAAGTGATCGGGGTTTGGCGCGTTGCACCCTCGGCGATCCTACATCATCTGTGCTGATCCTGTTCCTTTCCCCCGGTGCAGCAGGGGTCACGAATGCTACCATGGCATTGGGAACCACAAGGGTATGATTCTAGAAAAAGCAAATATTCTATGCCGTCATTGCTTCGGATGTACCTTGCTTCCAAGATTGGCATGTGGCTTTCTTCTACTCATGTGCACAAGGGGCACTGGGCCCCGATTACCTGGTAACTGCCTGATTGAAAAACGTGCGTTTTCGCGGGAAGAACCCCCTTGCCGATATTTATAATTGTACGGAATACGACTTGGGGATTTCCTAGTGGAGTAAAAACGTAGATATTCTTGGAAAAAGGTGGACTGTAATTGGTCCTTTGCTGTTTGTAGGTTAATCTGCCTTTATATACATGGACATTAAATATATGCAACCAAATGAAGTAACAAGAATAGAAAAGATATAATTAGCCCCGAATGTAGGTATGTTGCCAATGTGTGCCAAAGAACTCCTCGCTGTGATGTCGCTTGCTCAAAAACCCAGAGGAAGAAAAAGACGCTTGTAAGAATGACAAGATCAAACAAAAGAAAAAGGTGCATGCGAAGTTGTGGTTGTTAAGGCTTCAGTGCTGAGTATCAAAAGGTTCGAAAAAGAGTAGCCTCATATAAGAGGACAATAAGATGTCGAGAAGTGAATCGCTGGTCGTTTGCATGTTGTTCGAGTAGATCGCCAAGGAAAAAGAGAAAAAAAAAAAAAAAGAATGAAAGAGAGAGAAACGCAGTTCATGCAGTTCGAGCAGTTCGAGCAGTCGCCCGAGATCCTCGACGATGTTTCAAATCGTCTCGGCTGAGGAGTCGGCGTAGTTTAGAAACAAATCGGCATGGTCGGCCATCTAGGACAATGTTAGAACTAAATCCGATCGAAGGGGAAAAAAAAGAAATAGGATCAAGCTTACCAATGCGACGCATAGACATGGAGGAATCATCCATAGTTTGTGTTGTGTAGGCCGCAGCCCAATATCCCGTGTCACGATAACCGGTGAAGGTGCAATTGCTGGGATTATACTGTGGCTGCAGGGCCGCGACATGCGGGTAGAGCGTTGCCAACGGTGAGAGAAGCTCATCTGGCGGAGGTGACCGTCTGCTATCGATGCTTCCTCGAGACTGAAAAAAAAATATAAGTCAGATTGATTTAGTTAAGTAAAGCATGGGGGTTACCCACGTAAAGCTCATAGTTGTTCTTGTAACTCATGGTGGGTATGTAGAGTGGGTTTTGCGTGTTGCGTGGAAGTGGTGTTTTTGTATATCACACGAAGTCTTATATGCAAGATGACGACTTGATCATGAAACCTTAACAACGATGCAAATCTGTGAGTGTGTTGAGTGTGTTGAGATGCAGGTTTGACCAGAAGCGAACCAGCCTGCATTTAAATCAAATGGAAATGCTCAGCCGCAGAAATTTGGAAGTGGGGGAGATCAGACGTCAAGCTGATCCGCATCTAGTAGCCTAGTTTGATTTTTTTTCGTAGATTGGATTTTGTTACACCCGGGTAGTCGGGTTTTCAGACCACGATGAAGGTGAATAGCGTCCATCTCATTGGATGAGATGGAGGGGGGCTGTCTGAGCGTCAGGGCCGATCGGTCGGGGTCCCCGATGTGGGCAAGTCTCTCTCTCTCTCTATACGAGAGAACTCATTGGAACTTGGGATCATCCTTGCACATACACTCCCGTACATGCCCACGAATTGTGTCATCTCGTTCTACTTTTACCCCCTTGCTTATTTTTTTTCTTCTGTCTTTTCTTCCTTCCACGTTGTTGTTTCATTTTAATTTTTCTTTACCGAGTCCAAGAACATGTCCTATAACTAGTTAGGTAGGAACAGGGAAGACCAAGAATAACTCGCAGATCCATGGATTCCAAATGTGATATGAGATCCACCCCCGAACAGATCCGTGATCCTACCTTTTTAGGTCAATGAATAAATATCAATATGTTTAATTATTATTTGGAGAAGTGGACCTTGGAAGTGTCAGCCATGTCGCACAGGTCACGAATAGAGACTACCTAAGCGGGTATATTAGAAAAGACTAAACACTAAACTATGGGAAAGATGAGATCGGTGATCTTCCGCTAGTTGTAAGGCTTCCAAATCATTTCAGAGTGATCTAGGGTGAGATGGTGCGAGAGACTAGCCCTCGAATGTATTGAACTATTGATACACTAACTCCGTAAGAGATCTAGATCGACCATGTGGGTTGCCTGATTGAGACTAGTGGACAATTCCATTGTCCGGTTCGGGACACAGCCACACACCCCTTGCTATTTGAGGATAAGCGCACGAGCCACATCTTCGGTCTCACCGTGGCTCAACCAGTGGCTCACCGTGGCTAGTGATCATATCTGTGGCTCAAGCTTGGTTTCTCTTCGATAGCTTCCCAAGATCCACCCCACCCTGCCTTCACCTGCGAAAAGCCGAACTAGTCCGCCCTTGATCTTCACAGGTTATCGATTTGGGACACCCTTGATGGATCGGTCTTCGCCGTCCGCGCTAAGGCGCGGAACTATAAGGCGTTCGCCTCCCCCAGAATTATAGACTATTCCAACACAAGTCTAAATCCACTTCCAGTTTCAAACATTCTTCCTTTGTGCCTCCTATCAACAACATATGTCGACTGTTGAACATGTCACTGAGCATGCAGGGTTCTGGAAGAGAGTGCTGGGAAAACTCTCAGCATATGGATATGCGCGATCCTTATTCTCGCGAACAACTCGCTCAAAGTGAGTTCCTTCTTCCGTCACTTCCCTCAATCCCCTCAATCCCCTCTACTCCGGTCTTGCTTATTGCACCGGTTACACAATGACCAATATTCTGAGACTTTTTGCCCTTGTTCCAGGATCCGTCGAACGAGACGCTGAACGACTTTCGGATAGGCGCGACCGCTCTCATGAAGAGGGAATAACCAACCCAGAGGCTCAGTCGGTGTTGAACGACGCCGAGTTTGGTCGCGTGGATCCCACGGGATGGTTCCCACACTACAAGAATTGTGTTCAGCACTTCGTCGACTATAGCCAACACACACCCCAAGTGCAGTCTATTGCCGCGTTCATCAATATTCGACTACCCTGTCAGCGACCTTCCGAGTCTAGCGCACCCATGTCTGGATCGACACCATCATCCTTTATTTCTCTACGGCCATATATTAGACGGTTAATTGTCACGGCACAGGACTCACCGACTGTTATGCAAGGCTTCTTCGGTGGTGATTGGGAGGCGGGCGTGGGCTGTATCTACAAACAAGAACGGGTGAACTATATGTTCACGGCTAAGAGCAGTGGGTGGGCATCTACCAAGGCTGCCTACGACATTTCTCCAGATGAAGAGACTCCCTTCTTGAGGCCCCTGCGTGACCCCTCGGAGGATGAGATTCGAGTAGCTGAAGCACGGTGGAGCGAATGGCTGGCAATGGAGGATTGGATGGTTGGAGCGCGCAGTCCCTGGTAGGATGTCGCAGTCATGAGGCACGAATTTTCTTGTTTTCTTTTGTTGTTATTTTTTTTTTTCTTATGTTTCTTGTTCCCCCCAAAAATATAGTGCTTGTGATGTCATATCACAGTGGAGTATAATGAGAAGGCGGTCCTTTTGTTTCACTCTATGTGCCCTAGTCAATGTGCCCTATGTTGTAGGGGAAGTTTCACCAAACCTACAACATAGCAATACAAAATCATAAGCATGTAAAAAAAAAAAAAAAAAAAAGTGTTAATAAATAATTTGTTTCGTCTCGCACGCTCATGCAGAGTTGACAGAGATCGCCCGCGGGTCCCGCGTCAGAATCGATAGTGCCGCACCGCCACAGCCACAGATCACTCCTGGAGAACACAAGTGACAAATACTTAGGCGACTCAAAGAAACAGCGATTCATCCGTCGGACTCCGTTTATTAATCGAATATTCTCAAGTCAAGATATCTAACCAGACTTAGCTAGGCACAATTTAACCATATTATAGGGATCCACAAGTCTCTGACTCACGGCACGACCCCTTGTCATGACTATCAACCTGTCACTTGCGAATAAATTGAAGATCAATAGTCTCTTCTGCAAGGTTATGATTTGAGATCCATTCACCGACCCGTGTAGAAATTCAGCCCCTCCCCTGAATCCAGGTTCCCGGGAACCTGACACATCCACGAAATCCACGATCGGAATGGCGATATGCATCTACGAGCACGATGCAGCCAAAATAATACCGGCACTAGTATCTGAACTGCCGTATTCAACGACTTTGCTCCGGCGAATCCAACATGGAATCGCGTATCCGTGTGAGACCGCCCATATACTGGCAACTTTCCCGCCTGGTTTAACCCCTGAGCCTGGAAACCCATGGCTGGCTGCGCGAGTGGATCTTTTCGCTGGCCGCACAACCCAAATGATCATCTACTCCAGCCTCGAAGCGGAGCACACGTCAATTCCGCTGATCGTCACTGTCAGCGATAGTACGGAGATATTAAATGTGGACTCAACATCCAATAATAGCAAGAACAATCATAATAATGATGCCGACAATGCTGATATCAGCACCATCACCAAGTCAATTGTGTCCACCTTTTCCGCCAGCCCACTCGTCTTAGCCCTGGCCCGCGCGCAGCTATTGGCTTTGCTGGAATATGTTAAGACCAATATGCTACCATCCTACCTATCATACTTGGCGAAGTCAGCCCAAGCCACATCCGTAACAGCTAAAATTCCTTCCGTGTCGGCGTCCTCGGTGACCTCAAACAACACCAGTCCCACTAGTGTCCCCCTGATCCCCGCGCCGGATCCACAGGCTTTTCTCATCGGCAGCCTTCATACAGGTCTATTCTCTCTCCTACAGCAATCGGGCTCTTACACCCCATCTGACCCGATACCCAATATCCGGGTCCATCGCTTCGACGATCCGCCTTATTACAAGTACTTTTTCCGGAGATCTGATTTCAGCCCCGAGGCAGTGTCTGGAAGATCTGCCGATCTGCCGTTCGCCGATCTTTCCCTCCCACCCGGATATAGGTTCCATGACCGAGAGAGTAGGGAGGGTGTTCTGAGTAAGCACCTGGATCTTGTGCAGAGTCGGACACATATCCCCAGGCCAAGGACACAGCTATCTAAAATTCCCGGTATGGCGGTTTATTTGGATTCTACCTCTAGTGATGCTGATGAAATGCCTATTGCGTGGGGATTCTTGGGTGTGGATGGAGCGCTGGTGACATTGCATGTTGAGCCGGAGCATCGGGGTCGCGGACTTGCGGTTCCATTGTCTAAGGCTATCATGCGTCGTGGAATGGCAGTAGATGGTGTTTTTGGAGCTGGGAGTGTCAACTCTGAGCATAGTCAGACTCGAGATCGTGTTGGAGCTTGGGCGCATACTGAGGTGGCTGGGTATAATAACGCGAGTCGGAGAGTCATGGAAAAGATTGGTGGTCAGGTTTTGACAACTGTCACCTGGACTGTCATTGAGCTGCTTGATTAAATGTTTCTATAAACGGGGATATATAGTTAGTTGTTCAAGATAGTCTAAGACAGTCTCTCTAAGGTTTCTTGACCTTTCTCATCCAGATTCGGGTATTGTCTTAGATTACACATATCCGTCCAAAATGCCTTGGCATTTTCGTGAGCCTCGCCATGTACGCTTAAGCGCTCCCGGAGCAACTTTTTCCATTTGACATCCATGTCTGTAAATCCAAAAGAGGCCGAAACATACTCATACCAAATAGGAAAAAAGGCAGCGTATTCCCAGTCAAGTATACCGACAACCTTTCCGTTTCGGACCATGATATTCCCTAAATTGAGATCGCAATGAGTGAGCACATAGGGCTCGCACTCTGGTAGGCGCGTCTTCAAGTTCCCTAGTACTTGTTGAGGGAGATGGCGAAGGTTAAGGGCCAGGGCATCCCAGAGCTCTTGGTCGGAGTGAAACGGTCCGTGGGGCTCAAGATCGAAAAACAGTAAGCTCGGATAGCATAGACTTTGATCGATATACTAAATAGAGGTTGACGTGACGGATCGAAGCTGCTTTCGTACTTTGACGACTTGATCCGCGATATCTATCTTTTGGGGTTCTGACAAAGAAGGCCATGCCTCCTCGAGCGTTTGACCACTAATACGTTCGTTTAAAATGAAGTATCGCCCATCGCGATCGACCCAGTCACGTAAAACCTTTGGGACGGGGACGTCGGTATAGGTCGCTAGATGGTTCAATGTTTTGACTTCAACTTTTGATTTTGGACCCTCGTCGGGCCGATCTTTCAGAATCACATCTGAACCGATGGACCAGACGCCCCGCGTAGATGCGCCGTAGAAGAGTTTGAGGTGGCTAGTATAATGGCACCGTTTTTCTTTGTCAAGTGTCCACCCGCATGCGATACAACCTTTGTCGAGTGGTTCACCCATGGTCGATTTGTTGCAAGAGATGGATTTTAACTGAGTATTGGAATATTGGAAGGAGGATTAGGTGGGGGGGGAAAGGAGGCCCTTGCTCGAATACGCATAACGCTTGTGGCGGTTCTCCCAGTCGGATAAACCAGTGTGCATATATATATATATATTGAGTGCCCTAGTCGGCTTCGGGATTACGAATAAGGGAAGAATCATAGAGGGCGCTTAAACTATTTCTGTTCTGGAGCTTATACATAAACATACCTTTCTTTAGTTGAATGCCATAAACATGTGGATGTTAGGGAGATAACCAAGTGACTCATAGTAAACATTGTCCCCAGATATTCCCAATTGGGCTTAGCGGATGATCGGTTGTGATTCCTCGAGATGAAGGGGGAAACTTCACTTCCAACTTCTCTATTTTCTTTTCATTTCCAAGCCAATTGACCAATCTCCGTTCCTGCAAAATGAGTAACCCTAAAGGCGTCGCTGAGAACATGCTCTGGGGAGGCCGCTTCACCCGTGAGTACCACAACCCCTCCATCCCACCAAAAAGACCACTGACTCATACCTAAAAAAAACACTAGAGGGCCTTGACCCCCTTATGGTGCAGTACAACACCTCGCTCCCTTACGATCGCGTGTTCTGGAAGCAGGATATTGCCGGCTCAATTGCCTTCGCCCGCGCCAACACCAACTCCGGTATCCTCACACAACAAGAGTTCGCCGAGATCGAGCGTGGTTTCAAGCAGGTCGCCCAGGAATGGCAAACAAACACTTTCGTCGCCAAGGAGAACGATGAGGACATCCACACCGCTAATGAGCGCCGTCTGGGCGAGATCATTGGCAAGGATATCGGCGGCAAGCTGCACACCGGTCGCTCGCGTAATGAGCAGATCGCCACGGATATGCGCCTGTGGCTCCGCGATGAACTCCGCTTGATCGAGAGCCACCTCTGCGATCTGATCAAGGTTTCCATTGCCCGCGCTGAGAACGATATCGCCTATCTCATGCCTGGTTACACCCACTTGCAGAAGGCCCAGCCCGTCCGCTGGTCCCACTGGATCCTGTCACACGCCACTGCCTTCGCTAGCGAGTTGGAGCGTCTGCGTGAGGTTATCCGTCGCGTTAACAAGAGCCCTCTTGGTACCGGTGCCCTTGCCGGTAACTGCTTCAACATTGATCGCGAGGCTATGGCCAAGGAGCTTGGCTTCGATGGCTTGCTGTACAACTCCATGAACGCTGTTGCGGACCGTGACTTCGCTATGGAGACTATGCAATGGGGCAGCTCGTTCATGCTCAAGATTTCCCGCTGGGCCGAGGATCTGATCATCTACAGCAGTCTGGAGTTCGGCTTTGTCCGTCTGTCAGATGCCTACTCGACTGGATCGTCGCTCATGCCCCAGAAGAAGAACGCAGGTAAGACAGAACTCCGCCTTGTGATATGAAGCAGCATGTTGATATATGTTCCGCAATTTAGACAGCCTGGAGCTGCTCCGCGGTAAGTCTGGCCGTGCCTTCGGCCAGATGGCCGGCCTGATGTGCACAATCAAGGGTCTCCCCACTACCTACAACAAGGATCTGCAGGAGAGTGTTGAGCCAATGCTCGACCACGTCAAGACTGTCAGCGACAGCATCCAGATTGCAACCGGTGTGCTCTCTACTCTCACTGTCATCCCCGAGAAGATGATCGCCGCCCTGGCTCCGGAGATGCTGGCTACCGAAATTGCCGACTACCTTGTCCGCAAGGGCGTGCCTTTCCGCGAGGGACACCACATCTCCGGTCGTGTCGTTGCTCTGGCTGAGAACACCAATGTTCCCATGGACACACTCTCTCTGAAGCAGCTCCAGGAAGTTGACGCCCGCTTCGATGCTGATGTCCAGGCTTGCCTTGACTACGAGCGTGCCGTCGAGCTCAAGGATGCCATTGGTGGAACCAGCAAGCGTGCAGTCCTCGAGCAGACCGCCGTGCTGAAGAACTTGGTGTAAAATATTTTGGATACGATATATGAAAACAAATTATAGGCTTTCGGTTAGACAAAAATGAATGTATGAATTGACTTCTTTAGGTGTCTTCCAAAAATACAAAGTCTTAAGCTATTCTTAAGCTATGTGGTGCTAATAAAGCAGGGAATATCATTTCAACATACCAATCGGACCATCGTTCAAATCTCACCAAAAACACTGAAGCCGGGACTCCAACCCTAACATAGACATATCCAGCACTACCCCCAAAATACAAAATCAAAATCGAACCCAATTCCTCAAATTCCCCCTCTTGGACTGATACCCATCCTCCCAGACGGGGACTTAATTTCGTCTCCAGGGGCGCCCTCTTCCGCCTCATAAGCAGGCGGGACGTCAACATCGCCCTCCGCAGCCGCAATATCATCTTCCAAACTCCGCTCCGCGGGCCTATGCCTCGACCTGGACACACTGCTCCCACGTCCCTGGAGATCGGAAGTATGGTCACTTGTTGCGATTCCAAACCTGTTCCCCCCGCCCCGATCCTCCGGTCTCCCAGCATACTGCATAAAACTCATAACATGATCTGTCTCACCACGCCCAGCCTTCCTTTCCCTTTCCCCGCAGGCCTGCGAGTCTCCAATTTCCATACCATTGGAGTATCGATCCAGATTTGCACCTAGGACAACTCCCTCCGCGGTGATGACCCGTCCAGCTTGGTTTCTCCCAGAACTGCTACCATTGCTATTGCTATGGCTGTGGCCGCTGCCGTTGCCGGTTCCTCTTGCTGAGCTTGCGCGTGAACTAGGTATAGGCGCCGAGGCAGGTGATTCCCAAGCCTGAGGACTAGTCCTTGGGTTGGTGTTATTCTGCTGGCGCTGTCGTTGCTCGATTGGTACATTAATTAGCTCGCGCTGGGAGTGGGAGGCTAGTTCGGCCCGCAGGCGATAGAAGCACGTGTCTGGTAGCTCGGGGGTAAATCCTTGGCGGGGAGGGACTGAAGCGATGAGCTCGTTTGAGTGCATGTCGGTTGGCGGGACTGGGGGCGTTTTGTGGGGAGACTGTGAGGTAAGGCTCGTTGAGGATAGCGCCAATGCTAGGTCTGGTGTGATGTTTATGTTTCCCCGTGTGTTATCCATGGCGAATGGGGAGACTGCGCTCAATGAGTCTATTGTTAGCGAAACGTCCAGTATCAGTGAAATGTTATTTTGCCCCCTTGGCCGGTTAGTTATTGGATGTGTTTGAGCTCACTATTTGTTTCGCTGTCTGAGGGCGATAGAGCCCCTTTTGTTTCGAGTGCATTTGCTCGATCTTTCCGCGTAAATCCGTAAGGGTACCATGAGACGAGAGTTGAACCCTTCTCACGTTTCCCATATTCTCTCTTGCGGCGACAGCAACAGAAAAGTAGAACGGCACAAATGACCAAGACCGCAATTCCTCCAACAACACCGCCGATGATTGCGCCCAGGTTTGAAGATGGGGCACTTCCGGTGTTGGATGTCTCCGAACCTGCTGATGTTTCTGAAGCAATAGAGGAGGATGTCGAAGAAGGTGGAGATGTGGTCGTAGACGGATCCGTTGACAAGACGGTAGTTGACCTCGACAAAGTGGACGTAGAGGAAGTGGTGCTGGTTCTCGGCGTCACACTGGGCAACAAACCAATGATCGCAGCTGTGGTCAACGAGAGTGTGTCATCGGGACACACGCCCGTCGTACACGGATCACTTGAGCAGCACCCACGAAAGTTTCCTGCCGTGCAGACATACCACTGATCGGTCCCGGTACAAGTATTAGAGTCTCGGGGGATGATAGACTCGAGGAACTCGAGAGACTTCATCTCGAACACCATCCTCAACGATTAAGTCTCATTCACCGAATCGGAAGACAACTTGATCAAATTGCAAGACACCAGTTATGCTGGATAGCACAAGCTTCAACGTCTGGAAGTGAGAGGTCGAGCTCGTCCTTTCAACGAGATTTGAGGATCTGCCAGCAAAAATGACAACAGACAACAGACGTTAACTGGGTCATGCCTCGACAGATATTCTTGCAAGAGCCATTCATTACCTTTCGAATGGAGAGCATGACCCTGTTCCCCAAAGAAACCCAGGAAGAGTCCCTTTGTTAGTGGTCGGGGTGGCAATGACATGTCAATTATAGATCCTGGTATGTTTGTCACCAATGAGCTTCACCTGTGTAGGGTTAGTATCTCTTGGGCTCGTGTGGTCGTGTGGGTAGGCTCTTCAGCTCTTTGACGAGCCATAACTATTTTGGATATTTTAGTGATAGATGATCCCTGAATCCAGCAAGTCAGCAAGAAACCACAAATCAACCAAGGTTCGAAGTGAGACTCAACGAGACTAGTGTTTGGTTTCTTTGTTGACAGACCAGGGAAGCCAAGCCCCCCCGGGGATTTTTAGCCAAACCAGACAAAGAAGGGGAGTTATGATATGGGGGAGTTTCGATATGGGGCAAGGGAAAAAAAAAAAAAAACTACAATATGGATCTATCATAGCGAATAGAAAAACATTAAGAAGTAATAAATCCAATCATATGAGACAAACTGAGGGTAAAAGCACTCAGCACACCAACTCTTCGCCTGTTAAGATAAAGGAAAAAAAATATGGCTATACAGGATGGTAAGTAACACAGTCAACAAAAAAATGGTCTTTTTCATAGATATTTCCCCTTGAAACGGGGCCTTGTGACGCCACAAACCCTAGTTCCACCTCAAAAACCACGAGGTTGGGAGAGGGCGTCGATAGGGTCCATCTGAAACAACTCCGTGGTATCCTCCGTATTCTCTGCGGGTCAACTCCAAAATAGCGAGCTTAGTAGGTACGCTTGAAAGGAGGAACGGCCTTGCACTCTGCCTCATCCAGGGTGTTAGCCTCAACGGCACGGTAGCCTAGCTTGACCTCGCCGTGGGGCTTCTTCTGCCAGGAGAGAGTGTGCTTCATCCACTTCTCGTCGTCACGGTCGGGGAAGTCCTCGCGGGCGTGGGCACCACGAGACTCCTTACGAGCGGCAGCAGAAGCAGCGGTTTGGGTACTGTGAGATTTGTGTTAGCAGGATATCTTAAATTCTTTACTCGGGGTAACGTACGCGCAAGTCAGCAGGTTGCGGAGCTCAAGGGTCTCCACCAGGTCGGAGTTCCAGATCATGCTGCGGTCCTTGGTGCCGACCTGGGCATACAACTGGTCAACCTTGTTGACCTTCTCAACACCCTCGTCCAAGCTCTCCTGGGTACGGAAGACGCTGACATCGGTCTGCATGGTTTTCTGCATGGCGTTGCGGACTTCGAAGGTGGACTTCGGGCCATCGGCGGTACGGGCAAAGTCGAGGTCCTTGATGGACTGAGCACCAGCATCGGAGGAAAGCTCCTTGTGGGGCTTGCCGGGGGTGGCAGTGTCGCGAACACGGTGAGACACAGCACGGCCGAAGACAATCAAATCAAGCAGGGAGTTGGCACCCAGGCGGTTAGCACCGTGGACAGACACACATGCGGCCTCACCGCAGGCATACAGACCGGGAACAACCTTCTCCTGGCCGTTCTCATCCACGTCCAGAACCTCACCAGTGTACTTGGTGGGGATACCACCCATGTTGTAGTGGACGGTGGGGAGGACAGGGATGGGCTGCTTGGTGACATCAACACCGGAGAAAATCGAGGCAGTCTCGGAGATACCGGGCAGACGCTCGTGGAGGAGCTCAGCGGGCAAGTGGCTAAGCTGGAGGTAGATGTGGTCCTTTTCAGGACCGACACCACGGCCCTCACGGATCTCCAGAGTCATGGAGCGGGAGACAACGTCACGGGAGGCAAGATCCTTGGCGGTAGGAGCGTAACGCTCCATGAAACGCTCACCCTCGGAGTTGAGCAGGTAACCACCCTCACCGCGGGAGCCCTCGGTGATCAGGCAACCGGCACCGTAGATACCAGTAGGGTGGAACTGGACGAACTCAAGATCCTGGTTAGGGAGACCAGCGCGAGCAACCATAGCCATACCGTCACCAGTGCAAGTGTGAGCAGAGGTACAGGAGAAGTAGGCGCGTCCGTAACCACCGGTGGCAAGAACAGTGTGGTGGGCCTTGAAGCGGTGCAGAGTACCATCCTCCTGGTTGTAGGCAATGACACCACGGCATTCACCATCCTCCATCAGCAGGTCGAGCGCGAAGTATTCGATGAAGTAGTTGGTGTTGTGACGGAGGGACTGTCCGTAGAGGGTGTGCAAAAGGGCGTGACCAGTACGGTCGGCGGCGGCGGCGCAACGGTAGGCCTGACCACCCTTGCCGAAATCCTTGGACTGACCACCGAAAGCACGCTGGTAAATACGTCCGTCCTCGGTACGCGAGAAGGGGCAACCGTAGCCCTCAAGCTCGCGAACACTGGCCGGAGCCTCGCGGGTCATGTAGTGGATGGCATCTTGGTCACCAAGCCAATCGGAACCCTTCACGGTATCGTACATGTGCCATCTCCAGTCATCCTCGTGCATGCTAAGATCCAGTTAGACTCGATTCGCTACCTTTCAGTGCTTGTGTGGGAAACCTACTTTCCGAGGGCAGCGTTGATACCACCCTGGGCAGCGACAGTGTGACTTCTCGTGGGGAACAGCTTGGAAACACAAGCTGTCTTGAATCCAGCCTCGGCCAGACCGAAAGCAGCGCGCAGACCGGCACCACCGGCACCGACAACGAGGGCATCGTACTCGTGATCCTGCGCAAGTCAGATCCAATCAATCTCTTGTCCATTCGGAGAGCGGTATTGTCTTACGATGATGGGGTACTTGTCGGTCAGGTATCCATTGGACTCCTTAGCGCGCAAAGGCTGGTTGGACCATATCCGGGCTGGCGCAGGAGTAATTAGTGGTGCATTCATGGGTGGACAATTCGAGTCTCTAATGCGTACCTGCGGGTCTTGAAGATGAGAAAAGACGTCTCTGATCCCTCAAAACGCGGGAAACCTGGAGAAATAGACGTGTGAGTATGGTACGGGTGTCGCGAATGAGCCGAAAATCGTTGCATGGCTACTCACTTTGGATGCAGGAGCTAGGCTCCGGAGGCTCATAGAGCTCATGATGGCGGGTCAAAAGAGAATTGAGTTTCCCTAATGAACCAAAAGAATCGCAGGACACCGAGGGTCGGTGACGGGCTTAGCAAAGAGGGGAGATTGTGGAATAGCGAACTCCTTCCAGGGCAACACTTTCATCTGGAATCGGTTGACGGTTGACGGTTTCACGCTGACATAATCATTCTCGCAGTTGCCGACGGGGAGGACCGGGGCCGAACCAGCCAATCAGAGGCTGCGCAATAAAAATCAACCTCGGGCAGCCGGCCATCCGTGATTGGCCAGATGGCACGTGTCCACGATTCATTTTGCCGGCCAGCACAGGTTACCGGAAGGATACGGTAGAGTGTGAGGGAGATTGAAGAGAGCCGCTAGGATGGATTACGGGGTCTTATCACTATATCTGGCTATTCTGTCTGATTTTAGTCCCACTTTTGCTGGTGGTAATGACATACAACTGCTAGATGTCACACACATCGGTTGCAGTGTACATCTATCTAGCTCGACACAGTCAGGTGGAGTCACATGACCAGTGACGTTTTCACCAATCAGGAAAGTACCTGGACGGACTATATTGTATATTGTACCACATTGGTAGTCAGAGGGAATATGGTTAAAAATTATATTGTATTGATCAGGAAGAAATTCCCACGTAACAAGACAATAGTGATCGTACATCCCATCCATAATGCAAGTCGGAATCTCTAGTTGTACTGCATATATGTCGCCGTCGAGTTGAACTTGAGGTTGCCCTTGATCACCTTCTCAACAGAGGCCAAGAAGTCCTTCTCGGTAGCCACCTTGCGACGAGCCCGGATAGCAAACATACCGGCCTCAGTCGCAACACTGCGAAGTTCGGCACCTGTGGCATTGGGGCACAATCGCGAGATCAACTCCCAACGGATGTCTCGCTCGACGGACATGCTCTTGGCATGGATTCGGAGAATGTTGGCACGGCCCTCGACATCCGGCAGCGAGAATTCGATCTTACGATCAATACGACCGGGACGCATCAGGGCTGGGTCAAGTGTGGACGGACGGTTGGTAGCGAACATGACCTTGATGTTACCACGAGAGTCGAATCCATCCAGCTGTGTGATCAGTTCCAGCATGGTTCGCTGGACCTCGTTGTCGCCACCAGCACCATCATCGAAACGTGCACCACCAACGGCATCAATTTCATCGAAGAAAATGATGCATGCTTTCTTGGTACGGGCCATCTCGAAAAGTTCACGGACCATCCGAGCACCCTCACCAACGTACTTCTGCACCAGTTCACTACCAATGACACGAATGAATGTAGCATCCGTTCGGTTGGCGACTGCACGGGCGCAAAGAGTCTTTCCGGTTCCCGGGGGTCCATAGAGCAGAGCACCCTTGGGTGGGTCGATACCGAGGTTCACGAAACGTTCTGGCGATAGCAAGGGCATTTCAACGACTTCTCGTAGCTTCTCGATCTGTTCTTTGCATCCGCCAACGTCGCCGTAGGTCACATCGGGCTTATCCTCGACAGTCATCATTGTCACGCTAGGGTCGATCTTTGGTGGCAAGGGCAGCATGATCTGGTACTTATTACGGTCGACGCTGCAAAGCCTAGTCAGTACCTAGAAGTGACATATAATCCACCAGATAACTTACCCAACTCTCATGCCTTCCTCGATATCTGTCGGACTAACGCGATCTCCTAGGTTGACAACGAACTTGGCAATTTGCTTGACGTTGATCACATATTTGCTCTTGTCCGAGTCCTTCTCATCCTGGATAATCTTTGTGCACCTTGCGACCTGTAGCGGCTGTTCCTCCGCCATGCGTTGTCGATCGGCAGCAACATCCCAAAGGTGTGGAGGCGCAAGACCGGTGTCAGATTCCTGGTAAACGTAAGCTCCAGTTGTTCAAGGGGCCGAAAGAGCTGGACAAGTTATCACCTTAACACCGATCTTCTCATTGACACTGTTCTGTTTGTCCTTGATATCCTTCTCGAGCTTCTTCAGCGCATTCGCGTAAGGTGCGGCGCCGTAAGTCTTGAGTACTGCGATGTCACTGTGATGGGCGTCAGTAAATTATTGCCATCGCGATTTGTGTGGATTGAATCAACACACGCCGGGAACTCACGCGTCTGTAAGGGGTGTAATCTTCTTCTCTGGTTCTTCATCGTCTGCGTAGTTCTTTTGGAACTTCTCCCAGTTCTGACCCGTGGCGCTAGGCATGATGAAAGGTATTGAAAGCCCAAGGCCAAGCTAAGGGAGGGTTCAAGGAAACAATAAAATCGAGGATGTATATGCAGATAGACAAAATTCGACGTGCTCTGAGAACAGTGGCAAATTGAAAAAAAGGATAGATAGGTTGGATATTGGGAGAGCAAAGGACGGTGATGTAGCAGAGCTGCGGTGGTCGAGCTAGCCTCACTAATCAGGTGCCAAGCTTCATCACCGCCCCAGAACCTCGCAGAATTTCCTGTGTGTCCTCCACCACAACAACTCAACTATCTCCTTTCACTCATTTTTTAAGGTTAATTTTGAATATAAATTTTCAAAATGGCCGCCGCAGTAGCACAGGGAGCCGCCGGCAACAACTCCTTCAAGGTGCGAGGCCTCGAAAAGATGTGTGTGAGCCACTGATTTCTGATTGCATGCAGGACAAGGAGAAGCCGATGGCCGTGCGGGCCTCCAACATTCTCGCTGCTCGGGGTATGTCTATTCTCATTGCGTTAAAGGCATCCATGCTAATGATATCGTAGCTGTCTCCGATGCCATTCGAACAGTACGCTTGCTCAAACGATCTGCAAATACCCAGATGAGGGGCTAACAAGAATATAGTCGTTGGGACCCAGGGGTATGGATAAGATGGTGAGTTCATCTCGGATTTTCGTTATATCAAGGTGCTAATCTCTCTCTAGATCCAAACGGCCAAGGGACAGACCATCATTGTACGCACCCCAATTTCATTCGATCATATCGGGATCCCCAACTGACCCCCGCAGACCAACGATGGAAACACCATGTTGAAGGATATGAGCGTGATGCACCCCGCTGCCCGTATGCTCGTCGACCTGAGTGCGGCGCAGGATGTCGAAGCTGGTGATGGAACGACATCAGTGGTTGTCATTGCTGGCAGTCTGCTCGGCGCTGCCGAAAAGTTGCTAGGCAAGGGCCTTCACCCCACTGTCATCTCCGAGTCTTTCCAAAGAGCCGCCGGTGCTGCCGTCGAGATCCTCCACAACATGTCCCGTCCTATCAATCTTTCCGATCGTTCCACCCTCCTCCAAGCCGCTTCTACTTCGCTTTCGTCCAAGATCGTGTCCCAGCACTCCGGACTTCTTGGCCCGATGGCCGTCGACTCGGTCCTAAAGGTTTGTGACCCGAAGACCGCAGAGAATGTGGACCTGCGGGACATCCGTATTGTGAAGAAGGTTGGCGGCACAATCGAGGACAGTGAGATGGTCGATGGCGTGGTTCTCAACCAGCCTGTGATCAAGAGCAGTGGTGGTCCCACAAGAATCGAGAAGGCGCGGATAGGTCTGATCCAGTTCCAACTGAGCCCGCCCAAGCCAGACGTATGTTTACTCGTGCCTCTAGTTGTTATTCGAACAGAACTAAAAATCAAACCCTAGATGGAGAACCAAATCGTGGTGAACGACTACCGTCAGATGGACAAGATCCTGAAAGAGGAGCGCCAATACATGCTCAACATGGTCAAGAAGATCCAGAAGACCAAGTGTAACGTTCTTTTGATTCAGAAGTCCATCCTCCGTGACGCCGTGAACGAACTTTCCCTGCACTTCCTTTCCCGTCTCAAGATTCTCGCCATCAAGGATATTGAGCGCGATGAGGTCGAGTTCCTGTGCAAGAGTCTCGGCTGCAAGCCCGTCGCTAACGTCGACTCCTTCACCGAGGACAAGCTCGGCACCGCCGACCTCATCGAGGAAGTCCAGGCCTCCGGTGCTCGTTACGTCAAGATCACCGGTATCAAGGCTCCTCTTGCTGCTTACAACCAGACCGTCTCAATTGTGGCTCGCGGTGCCAACAGCTTGATTTTGGATGAAGCCGAGCGATCGTTGCACGACGCCCTATGTGTCATTCGCTGCCTCGTCAAGAAGCGTGCCATGATCGCAGGTGGTGGCGCTCCCGAGGTTGAAGTGGCCCACACACTCGCCATGCGCGCTCGTGAGCTTACTGGTACTGAAGCTATCTGCTTTAAGGCCTTCGCTGATGCCATGGAGGTCATCCCCACTACTCTCGCTGAGAACGCCGGTCTTAACTCCATCAAGGTTGTGACTGAACTCCGCCACCGCCACGCTCAGGGCCAGCACAATGCTGGTGTCAGCATTCGCAGTGGTGGTGTGAAGGATGATATCACAGAGGAGAATATTCTCCAACCCCTGCTGGTCAGCACCAGTGCGATTGAGCTGGCTGCGGAGACTGTGAAGATGATCATGAGAATTGATGACATTGCTCTGTCGCGGTAAACGCCCTCGGCGGCCGCTAACGTGAGCTGTATGATGGAAAGCGATCTGATCGCGACGAGTAATTAAAAAAATATCCCGTTCCTGCATAGAATCACTCTCAGACTTGTGACACTTCCTGTGCAATGTATATGGTAAACCGAGCTCCTTGTAATGTTATTCTCCCAAATTCCAATGCGAAAGGTGAAAATCGGTGTGTGTGCTTAGGTCCTCGGATGGCATATTGACATGGGAGATTTGAAATTGGGGCTATTTAGGGTATTGCGCGTTTTGAGGATATAACGGAGTATGCTGCACCTCCCTATGTTTGTGCATGCACACCTTCCAATGCCCTTTTTTTAGTTCATTTTTCGTTCTCTAACTTGGATGGGTGCTGTCTAGTAAAATGCACGAGTCTCAAACAAATTAAGAGCATGAAATCAGATGCAGAGTCAACACTGGAAGCTCTTCAACATCTTCGTTGGGCCTACTCCGTAGATGCATCTTGTTATATATTCGCTATAGGGTTATATTCCTTATGAGCTTTCGGCTATCCAATACATAAAGGGCGCGTTCGCCATATATTCTTTTGGAAAATGATAATATAACTCAATACAACACCGGCATGTGTACTTGATATATATAGAGCAGGCCTTGACTAATTGCCCCGATGAACAATCAATAATTATATTAACAGTGTACACATTAGTAACAAAGCTAGTCTGTAAGAAGTGAACCAATCATCAACAACATTAAAACCCAAAATGGAATTGAATAAGGATATGGACTTGAAGCTAAAGACATCAATAACCCTTTGTTCGCGCCAAGAGATGGGTGTCGGTCCGTTTCACCAGATCCTCCGACATTGAAAGCTCTCGACAAAGTGATCTCTGCTTTTTTCATACGTTGTCATAGTAATTTTGTCCTCTATATATACACATCAAGTTTTACTGTCATCAGGACAGTCAGTGATTGCTGGCGCTTGGCCGCCTCGAATTGCGGGCGATAAGAGATAGCGTGACGATCGGGACGTCAGCTCCGCTACGATCAACCACCACCATGGGGAAGTTCGAAGGTGAAGGGAACCCAGAGTCCATACGGTTGAATCGACAACGGTCGGAATCCGTCTCCTCACAAACATCCACAGACTCCGGCCTATCGATCGCCTCCGAATCATTCATGAAGAACCACAAGGGGGGGCAACACAATGCCGATGGAGGAAGGGGATGGGGACAGATACCGGGACATTGAAGACGGAGCGGAAACTGGCTCAGATGAGCCTCTTATATCAAGCGGAAAGAAAGCAAGCTCGTCCAGTCGCCTGCGCCAGATTGTCTGGTTACTGGTGTTGCTCTGCGTCGGTGGCTGGGTGCTTGCTTTCGTACTGTTCCTCACGCAGAAACGACCCGATACCGCGGCACTCTCATCTGCGTCATCCGCGGAGATCCATGAACCAACCGTGGAGATCCATGAATCAGACCCGGTCTCCGGTGCTAAGAGCCATGGGAAACCAGTGACACTCGAGCAAGTCTTGAGTGGTACCTGGTCTCCGAGGTCCCACGCGATCTCCTGGATTGCAGGCCCGGATGGCGAGGATGGTCTTCTGGTTGAGCAGGGCGAGAAACAAGACGCTTTTTTAAGGGTGAAAGACATCCGCAGTAGTAAGGATGGCGTCGATAATCTCGACACCAGAGTGTTGATGAAGAAGGCGTACATCTGGTTTGAGGGAGAGGCCATGATACCAGCCAAGACGTGGCCAAGTCCTGATATGAACAAGGTCTTGATCATGACTGACATCCAGTCCAATTGGAGACACTCGTATTTTGGGAAATATTGGATTTTCGATGTGGCGACGCAGAAGGCCGAGCCGCTCGATCCTGGGAACCTGGGTGGACGTGTACAGCTTGCAACTTGGTCGCCAACCTCTGATGCGGTTGTGTTTGTTCGTGAGAACAACCTATATTTGCGTAAGTTGGCATCTTTGGAGGTCACCCCCATCACCAAGGACGGCGACGAGAACCTCTTTTATGGTGTTCCAGACTGGGTGTATGAGGAAGAAGTGTTTGCAGGCAACACCGGAACCTGGTGGTCAGATGATGGGAAGTTTGTCGCATTCCTTCGAACGAACGAGTCAGCAGTTCCTGAATACCCTATTCAATACTTCCTTTCACGGCCATCTGGCAAAGAGCCGCCACCTGGACTTGAAAATTACCCTGAAGTCAGACAGATCAAATACCCCAAACCAGGAGCCCCGAATCCGATTGTCAACTTGCAGTTCTATGATGTCGAGAAAAATGAAGTTTTCTCATTTGAGATGCCAGAGGACTTTGTTGACGCTGAACGCATTATCATCGAGATTGTCTGGGCGTCCGAGGGCAAAGTTTTGGTCCGAGAGACCAACCGCGAAAGCGATGTTGTGAAGATTTTTGTTATGGACACAAAGGCTCGAACTGGTAAACTGGTGCGGTCAGATGATATCGCAGCTTTGGACGGTGGCTGGGTTGAGCCTTCACAATCGACTCGGGTTATTCCCGCTGACCCTAAAAATGGTCGCCCACACGATGGTTATATTGACACCGTTATTTATGAAGGCTATGATCACTTGGCTTATTTCTCACCTTTCGATAACCCAGAGCCTGTGATGTTGACCAAGGGCAATTGGGAAGTGGTCAAGGCGCCGTCCGCTGTTGACCTGAAGAAGGGTCTGGTATACTTTGTTGCCACAAAGGAAGCTCCAACTCAGCGTCATGTATACTCTGTCAACCTGGACGGGTCCGATCTTCGACCCCTGACGGATGTATCTGCACCCGGATTTTTCGATGTTTCATTTTCACATGGAGCCGGCTATGGTTTACTCAGCTATAAAGGCCCAGCAGTGCCGTGGCAGGCTGTGATCAACACCCAAGGCGACGAGATTGACTTCCTAAACCTCATCGAGGAGAATGTTGAACTCGCCAAGAGGGTGGAAAATTTCGCTCTCCCAACAGAGGTGTACACCAATGTAACCATTGATGGTTACACGCTCCAAGTTCTGGAGCGCCGCCCTCCAAACTTCGACCCTGCAAAGAAATACCCCGTGCTTTTCTTCCTATATGGTGGACCGGGATCTCAAACGGTCGACCGCAAGTTTACAGTTGACTTCCAGACCTATGTCGCCTCGAGCCTGGGTTATATTGTCGTCACCGTGGATGGTCGGGGAACCGGGTTCATCGGGAGAGAAGCCCGATGCGTTGTTCGCGGTAATATCGGCCACTACGAAGCTATTGATCAGATTGAGACGGCTAAGATCTGGGCTAGCAAGAGTTACGTGGATGAAAGCCGCATGGCAGTTTGGGGCTGGAGCTACGGTGGCTACATGACCCTGAAGGTCCTTGAACAAGATGCGGGCGAGACATTCCAATATGGCATGGCCGTGGCACCCGTCACTGACTGGAGGTTCTATGGTAAGCCCATTCAAATTACCACTGTTCTGTTTGCTCTCCCACATGCACATACTAACATCCTACTTCATAGACTCTATCTATACAGAACGTTATATGCACACACCCGAGCACAACCCCTCAGGTTATGAAAATGCCTCCATCAGTGATGTTATGGCCCTAGGCCACAGTGTTCGATTTTTGATCATGCACGGTGTTGCTGACGACAATGTTCATCTTCAAAATACCCTTGTGTTGATCGACAAGCTGGATTTGAAGAACATCGACAACTACGATATGCAGGTCTTCCCTGACTCGGATCATAGTATACAATTCCATATGGCGCATGCGCTTGTTTATGAACGTAAGTCGATTTCTCATGCGTTTCCATTTCATGGCTTCCCAAGGTTGGAAAAGGACACGACTAATTATGAATCAAGGTCTTTCGAGCTGGCTCATTAATGCGTTCAACGGTGAATGGCATCGGATCACGAGTCCGAAACCACAGGAGTCGACGTGATGTCCATCGACTTGTGCTTTTTACGGCTTTCGGGGTAAATACATTTGTTTTGGAACTATCTACACCCCGTTTGGGTAGATTATATGCTGCTAGATATATATAGCTCTAGGGAACAATGGATGCATATTATAATTCAATATATTCTCATAATTAATGCTAACAACATAGGATAAAAAGACTCTAATCGCTGATGTACGCCACAATTTCTCGACAGGTCGAAACAACAAAACTGGTGTAAAAAGATCAGACAAAACATATCGACAGAGGACTTTTCAAAAAAAACCAACTCAGACACCGAATAATGCAAGTATGAACAAAATGTAGTGGGAAAAATATACAGGAGTGCAGTATGTGCAAGTAGGGGGTAGTAAGGAGGCAAATCAAGACGCGTGGCTAGGAGAAAGTCCGCCGGCCCGAATGAAGTCATCTCTGTTCGCGACACTGATATCAGAATTTCGGTACGGAAGGAAGTCTTCACGTTGCAAGCCACGTAGCTGTTCCCGACCGACAGTTGAGACGGAGCGCGAGTAGGATCCAGAAGGAGAGTGGGCGTGAGGACGGGAACCCAGCAGAGACAACCGATGGGTGGAGGTCCTTGCGGGTGACCTATTACGCGGGGAGCTGCCGTTGGACATCGCGGTAGGCCTTGGCGCAAAGACAGGCAGACGAGCGAAGGACTCGGTAGAGACATTGCTCATACTCATGCTCATGCTCAGGCTCATAGCCGAGATATTAGAGATGGGACGGTGGTTGCCGCCGCGACCGGGTAACTGGGACGTAGAACTGTATACCGTGGAAATACCAGACTGGGCAGAAGAGCGCCAGGAGTGCACCGCGCCGCGCGGGATGGTGATGATCTCTTCATCGATGCCAGTCTCAATGGCGGCTGCCACGTCGGCTGGGTCGATCGGGTCGCCAGCTGCGCGGCTGGCCATCATCTTGGCGGACTTACCAATCCACAACATCTGCTCGTGTTCGCGGAGGTACCGGTCGCCACTGAAGGACTTCTGAACAATCTTGCGGGTCATCATGCCGAGTTTGCGACGGTGCTCGCTCTTCTCGTACATACGGCGGGTGATGGCTGCTACTTCCTCCGGTGTGGGAGAGGAGGTCAGGACTGGTGCGGGCGATGTGTCTTCGCTGTGTTTGCTCCATTCGCCGAGCATGGCAAGCATGCCGATTTGGGCCTTTGCTAGGGCGAGGGCATCGTTTGGTGCGACAACGGCACTGAAGCGGGAGAAGTCATCTGGGTCACTGAGTACTCGGAGGGAAGCACCGACATCTGTGCAGACGACGGGAGCTCCAGTCAGAGCAGCCTCTCCTAGGGCGAGAGGGAGACCTTCAGACAGAGATGAGTTCAAGAAAAGCCATGTGTTCTCTAGGACCTTCATGGGGTCGGCAGTTCCACGGAGTGTGACTCTGCCACGAAGACCCTTTGATGCGATAATCTCTTGACACTCGGTAGAGTAAGTTGGGGCCTTGTCAATGGCACCGTAGATGTCCAGATGGTACTCATCGAACTTCCACTGGTTGATGATGATATCTGCAGCAAGAAGGGCAGTCTTGATATCCTTGGCATACCAAACGTGGGACAACATGGTCACAGTCGGACGCTCGGATTTGATTTCCTTGACTGGAGAGAACTTTTGCATATCAGTGATACCGTTGACGACAGGATCGATCTTTCGGCGGAAAGTGTTTCGATGCTCAATTGTGCCCTGGCAGGTACCAATCTCGACCTCCCAACCGGGGTTGAAGAAGTCTGCACAGGGAAGGATGATGTCTGCGTGATGAAGGGTCAAGACAGAGGTAATTCGCATCAATCCAAGCAGTGCGTTTCGAACAAATGGCGAGAGCTTGCACAGAGCAGACGACAGACAGAGGTTGGTTTCACGCCAACTGATGGCGTGGTCCCAAATCTGCAAGGTACAGTTGCGCTTGATCTTGCATACAACGCCGTAAGAGGCACTGACGCTGTGATGTGAGGCTTGGAAGGTTGAAGGGATCTTTTCAGGAACCGGGATTGAGAAGATGAAGAGATAGCGGTACCAGAGCTCCAGGGCGACATCGAGAGATGCCAGAGTAGGAAGCTCAGTGTCGAACCACTGGGATGACGGGATGGTGTTCGACATTTCCTGGGTCAGCCACAAATCGCGCCAACTCTGCTTCACTATCTCACTGTTCCACACTTGAGTCCAATGACGGGTCTCTTGGAAGTATGTGTTCAAGTTCACAAGTGCACGAGTCGCCTGGTGGATATCAGACTTTGAGAGATGAACTGCACGAGCACCCTTAACCAAAGCAGTCAGAATCGGAATGAAGTTCATCTTGATGTCGAACTCGCTCGCCGACGTAACATCATCAACCTCAGCATCCAGCTTGTTATGGAACAAACCGTGAGTTGGCGTGAGGAAGTCCATACCCCAAAGCGGGATGAGCTTGAGGGACTGGATGTTCTGTTCGGTTTGATGCTTGGGGACACCAAAGTCGTTCGCAGACTCGCAAATCATGTGCCATTTGATGGTTCGAAGGGAGTTGATCATATCTCGTCGACAGGCAGAGACACCGCCACCTTCATTGGGCCAGGTACCGTTGTCTGCCGCCATGACATGGAGCGTCTTGTCGGTATCGGTGCCAAAGTTCTTGGAGCGGGTGTTAACAACAGCGTCACCTCCAGGGCCAAAATTGAGCAGATCGGTGAGCTTAACAGCGAGAGGGGTCCAACTGGAAATGTTCTCGTCCAGATCTGCACTTGCCATGATCGCATCAGCGCGGAGATCCACGTACTTCTTCGCAGATCCAAGATTGCCCCAGTCACGGCTACGCCAGTAAGGGGTAAGAACCTTATCTCTGCGAAGAATGCGATCGTCCATCCAGCGCACAATAATTGCATCGAAGTCAACACGATCCTTCCATGCCTTCCACATCAAGGAGCGAGCCTGAGAAGTTGACACCACAAAGCGCTTCTTCGTGAGGCCCAGTGTTCGGGAAAGAATATTTGATCGGAGACTGTCGCAGTAGACAAATGGGTTATCATGCGCAAAGCTGGTATACTTCGGCTTGGAAAGTACACCCAGATAGTCGTGCTCAATCATTGGCGGAGTCTGCATCTTCTGTCCGTTGATAGTAGTGAAGATGGTGGGATGGAACTTGTGATCATACAGCCAACGACTTTCATAGACATCGGCACCCTGAACAAAGCTGGCCTCGGTGACCTTGGAGTGAGGAATCCAGCGCTCAATCTTCTCGGGATGGCGGCGCGGAGGCGCACACCAAGACACTGTACAGCTAATGTGGGATAAGACGAACTCGGCTCGCAGCAACTCATCACCAAAACGGGGGTTCTTGCGATAATGGTACTTGAAGCGGATAAGATTGGCATCCTTCATGTAGGAACCCGATTCGATAAGACCCTTGCGGTTGTACTGGACGCTTTGCAGATAGTTTGCTCCTGACACGCAGCGTCGTCCTAGTGGAATGCGGTTTGATGATTTGTTGAGCTTGAACACCTTCTTAGTCGGAACTCGATAGTCGTAGTGGTATTCGTTGATCACTTTGCCGTCCTTGAACTCCTGCTTGACCAGAAGTAACATCTCACCCGAATAGGTGCTGACGTACTTCAGGGATTTGACCTCTTTGGGCTCGGTCTTATGCTCACCAGCATAGTGGTAAATCTTGAAACCACCATCAATCTCGTGGTGCCTGAAGGCTGTAAAGGTGCCATCCAGACTTTGGATAATGACCCGACTCTTTTTGATATGGATCGTCATGCCCTTGGTCTCGTCCCACAGCCGCTTGACATTCTTGCGGCCATGGAAGAGAAAGAGTGACAAGCCCAAGTCTTGAACGATCTTAGAATAAACCCAGACCATATTGAATAAGAATCTGATTGGCACACGGACAACAGTCGGAAGGGTCTGAGTGACATGATTGAACTCTCTCTGGAATTCCGGATCTGCAACCAAAGCTACCACAAAGAATTTTACTATTGTTCCCAGCTTGTGGTAAATGTAGCTAGCTGGTGACCGGACCAGCGACAATGCAATTGGGAGCTTCCGAGGTATGTAGGAGATGTACTTCGAAGTCTCGGGCTCTTTGGGAAAGGCGGCTTCTCCAGTTCCCCAGTGAGCATAGTCGAGAACGCTAATTGCAGTGGCAGCTCCAAGGTTGCAACGGGCAACGTGAACATCGAGATCATCGGTATCGAATGTGCAAAGACTTTTCTGGAGCCATTGGCGTTGGCTATTGGAGAGACTACATTGTTGACCCAAGCAACGTTTCAGCAGCAAATCCCGAACTTCGGTTGGGAGCTTGTCCCAATGGAGATCGGGCTCAAAACCAAGGCAAAGCTGCCGAAGCAGTTCTTTCTTAGCCCAGCGTACGACCGTAGTTGTGTTGGCCTCCTCACGAAGCTGTTGAGCCATTGTGTAAGTTACCCCACCGGAGACAATGGATCCTGCCAATGATGCGTACTCATGAGGCACACCCACCATAAGCTCTGTGACAGCATGAAGCAAGGTTTCAGCAATGATCTGACAATTTGCGCTGATATCGAGACGCTCGTCTAGGAGTCCTCCCACGGCGATGGCTAGCTTTAACTGGTTCCCGGTGCTGCAGCTGAGAGCTCGAATGCCGGGACCGAGAGAGCCAAAGGAGACAAGCTCAATGACAATATCGCCCTTCTCCCACGATGCGATCGCACTGTTAGCAACATTTTTGGAGCCGGGAAACGCTTCTTCAATCATGACTTCTTCTTTGCAAGACATTATAGCACTCTTGATTTCGACGCCAGGATGGACACCAGGATTGAGCTTGTATCGGGAATCAGATGGAAGTAGCGAATAGCTTTCGAAGAAAGTCTGAAGCTCTTGCTGAGACCATTCGGGGTCCGACCAGGGCGTTGTAAACGCATGGAAGGTGCGGCCAAGCTCCACTGGAGAGTCCACTTTGTTTGGCATACCCATTTTGGCATTCCAGATCGAGAGGATGGCAACGGTCCAGGTGGCAGATCCGAGTCCAATGATCTGCGAGTACAGAAAACGCGGCATAGACACTTTGAGCGCGATACCGACTGGTAATCCGATACAGATACCAATGATGAGAGGCTTCAGCGCATGAGGGCCCGTGAAGATCTTCGTATATTGGTACCAGATTAAACCGGTGTAGGCGAGAACGTATGAGAAGAAAACAATCATGGCTTCAATCGATGATTGGAAGGTCCAAATGAGAGCAGTGGCAAGGGCAAGACTCCAGACATGCCACAAGAGGAATCTAAAAAGGACTCGCCAGTATACCTTTCGCCGGAGTTGTACCTCTTGTTTCTGTGCGATCCGAATATCCTTTGCAGATCTGACGGAAAAAGGCGCATTGGTACCAAGAGCATCATGGAGCTCCTGGGCTTTGGTATCAATGAGCACGGCTCCGATCAGATAGTAGGCAAGGGGCGAATCCAACGGCCATTCGATTAGCATCATTCACCGTGCTCGTGAGGCCAAGAATACGGTCGCCACTCAGCAATTGTGCCCATTTGTCGAGAAGCGCAATCACAAAGTAGAGAACACCACATCCCATCTCTTTGCTCGATTGACGCCAGTGAACGAATGCATTGTGTAGACGAAGACCTTTCTGGGAGTTACGCAGGGTGTCAAGTGCCACCTTGGTTTGGATGTTCCAACCAGAACTAAACGGAATCGGCCTCGGCACATCTGCATAGCGGCAGTACCAATCTAGAAGGAAATTGGTAGACTCCCAGTCCTGGGCAAGCTCAACGACCATTTTATCCTTGGATGCTTTTGAGAACATCCCACGCTTCGTCTCAGCCAAGACGTCCTTCGAGAGTGCTTCTCTCGCCAGCTTGAGGGCGGCCGGGTCACTCATATTCGCGAACACCTTCTCGTCATCATTTCCATAGGCAGTGATATACCACTTACGAATCTCAGTATCATCGGTGCGTCGCACAGATTGGTACCAAGTGACCCATTTGGAGGTGACCGAACGAAGGCACAGCAAAAGCACACCAATAAAGACATAGATAATGGCGAGGTAGACAGCCGAGTCGTGGCCACTCCAGGCTGTGATGATCGGTGCCAAGAAGAGGATCGGAATGCACATAATAATTGGCTTGCGGCCAGACAAAAAGCTCGAACCGGGGTAACTGAAGCTTGCAAGCGAGGCGAAGGTTGAGAAGTAGATTGTCAAAGCGATCAGGTAGAGGTAGAAGATGATACCAGCCCGAGGGCCTCGAACACTTGAAATGGCAACAAAACCGATCAAGCCACCGGCCACAGTGAAGGCAATACCAGCGATCAGGCGAATGAGAACGAACATGTTCGCTGCTGCGAATGCCATCGAAATGAGGTAATAAGGACCACCACACGCAATCCACGTACCAATTGCACCGGAAAGCAGCAGAGATATCATTAGCGCCATAGTTGCACTGTCCTGTTCATCGTGAGACATGGCGGCAGAGAGATAGAGTCCACGGCCAACCATGGTAAGCAAAATGATATCAATCAAAGCAGGAATAGCGAAGACACTCAAGAATGTGAATCGCTGGTATCCAGGCATAGTCTTACGCTGCTCATCGGGGTTGACATCAATCTGAGCTCCGGCGTAGGATGTAGCAAGCTCCGGGGCACCGTTCACCCAGTTTGGCGGCTGATGGTCTCCATAGTAAGCTCTGAACCGGTCCGATAGCAACTTTCCGAAAACACTGGGAGCAACGTCGAAGTAAGCTTCACAACGAGATCCAAGGGCAAATGACTCTGCGAAGGCGGCAGCCTGATCGGTATGGTTGTTGAATAGAGGATTCCGATCGGTCACCTCTGCGTAAATCTCATCGAAGGCTCCCTGTCTTGCGGCACAGAAAAGCGCAAGAGCCATCATATCCACATATGTATCAACGGAGCCACCTTGAAGAAGGGCGCAGAGACCACTAGTAATGGCGGCAAGGTCATCCTCACGGCGATACCTCAGAACATCGGAGAGCACACTGTCGGCCTGATGGAAAAGATCAAGACAGGCATCGAGAGACGGGTATTTGCAACCTTGGTCCATGTACCAGTTGATACGAGACTTGATCAAATCCTCAGCAGATGTTGATTTCTCGAGATACCCAACTGTGTTTAGCACCTTCAACTGAGAAAAAGAAGGGGCATCCACTAGTTGCTTGCGAATGTAGGTGCAGATGGCTTCAGATAGATCGCTATGAGAATCAGTGAGAGAGAGGTGCTGCAAGAGAAGGAGGCGCTCTTCAGGGCTGAGAACATCGATGTCTTGAATCAGTCGACGGGGGAGGCCAGTATTGTGGGAAACATCTTGGGACCAGGTCGCGAAGGTCGCCTCAGCCTCGAAGCAGACATGCCGAGGAAATCCCTTTGCCGATAGGAAGGTGTGAAGAATAGTTCCAGCCAGGCCCTGGGCATTCTTGGACACATAAATCTCAATACCATCATGTTCCATCTCAAAAACGGCCCAAAAGCGTAAATCAGAGCTCTTGCGCAGACCAGAGTCGAGACAAAGATTGACGTGCAACAGATCATTGGATGCCCAGTTTGCAAGTTCCTTAATTGCGTTGGCCAAATGATCGTCATCTTCGGAGAGATCTAGAGAGTCATAGAATTGGCATAGAAGGAGTCCAATGCTTTGGATTTTGGTTGTCGGGACGGGATGAAGAAGGTTGAGGGACTTGAGACGTTGTTGAGATTGGACAATTTCTGCAAATGCCAGTGGAGTCGAGTCTGAACCGAGAGGGAAGCAACCAAGTGAATTGTAGGCCATTCCTGACATGGAGATGGAGAGAGGACTGCCCTGTGACTTGACCTGTGCGACCCATTCTGGAGGATCACGCATTCGAGCAGTCGGGCTATCGGGGGCCTTCGAGTCGTATTCCGACGAATCCAGCAGCGCATCAATAGCGGGGAAAATTGGCTTGAGAACTTCCCAGCCGTCCTTCTTATCCGGGGAAGGCAATATGTTCAGGTTCGCCCGCCAGATATCGTGGGCCTTCATCATTTCTGCTTCCTTCAACCAACCAAACGCGGGAAGAGGCTCGAGAGTCGTGACGTTAAGATCTGCATCATGAAGAGCAGCTTCGGGGCCGATCCAGGTAATTGCGCTGTAAAAGCCACACCATTGGATAGATCTGCGGATTATGGCATTGGGAACAGTGACATTGTCGTCGACGGTTTCCCAGGCCATTACTACAAAGTCTCTCATGCAAGACTCAGAAACGAAGGCCTTGATTGTTGATTGTAGTTCGGCCATTTGGAAATAATCCCGCTTTTCGCCTTGAGGCATAATGCTAGCGTTTCGGATGACCAAGCCTGCCACAGCATCGCTCTGCACGGCCTTTCGATCCTTCAAGAAATGAGGTGGCTCCGACTCGAGATAGACTGCCAAGCCGAGGCTGCTGATCGCCTCGATAAGCTTTCCTCGAGCAGTAGGACGGAGCACATCTTCCCAATTGGCGAGGAGAACACCGGAAAATGAGGTATCATGAAATCCGCTTGCGAGTAATTCTTCGATCTTTTCGATGACGGTCAAGGCAGATGCCTTTGGAGGAAGGACTTTCCCCAAATCAACACGTCCTAGCACTTGGCTGCGCTCGTGTCTGGAAATAGCTTTGGCGACCCCTGCCTGGAAGGGATTCACAACCAACACATCCCATTCTTTCAAAAGTCTTTCTTGTGAGGCAGTAGGTGGTGTTTCGAAGCTTCCCAGGTATACTCCAAAGCTCGTGGGCTTTCCCTTGTGGGGGGCGTCTTTCAATCAAGTTGAGTTCTCGGTTGGATAGCTTGGTGAGCCGTTTGGATACACTCAAAGGGAAATTGTCCGGTAGCGGTCTTGACTAAAAATGGGTTAGAATTAACATCCAAACCAGAGAAAAACGCTTGTGGATGGTCACTGTATCATACCTTGTAGTATTTGATAAGTCTCTTTACTCCGGAATATACAATTGATAAAAGGCCAGTGGTGACTGTGAATAGCAAAACTCCAATGAATACCTAGGGGAAATGGTCAGCGTATTCTCGTGTTCTGTGTCTGTAACAAGGTTGCTGAACGTCAAGTTGTAAAGAGGACCGGAATCAACATACAAATTGCCACCAATGTTCTTTCATGGCATCCCAGCCAAGAGGATGTGGCCTCTCTGGGAGTGAGTCTACTGCCATTATCTCAAGATGTTGAGTTCTCGACTCGATATCTCTCTAGGCGCAATGTAAAGAGGTAACTGGTTGGCAAGTAGAGAGGAGTCTCAACTGCAAATGCTTATAGTGACATGCCTAAACGAGTGACTGCTGTGTTTTGCAAAAGGCAAATATGTCGATGTAGAACAAAATAAATTGGAGGGTACAGGTGAACTCAAGTGTTGGTAGGGTAATAAGGTAAAAGAGTAGTGGGGGAAGGACTGAAGTGAATATCCACTTCTCCAAGCCGTATAAGTAAAGTAGACAATTTTGCCCCCTAGGATTTCCCTTGCTCAGATGTCAGGGAACAGAGAAAAAAGAGAAAAAAAAAGGAAAAAATATGTATACACGGAGTGGGTTCGCCTCTTTTGGACTGTATAGGACAAAGGGTCTGGGCGTCTATCGAAGAGCTCTCAGAAACACGGGGCAAAAATAGCACACACTAAAGTTTTTGTTAGATGCAAGACTAAAAGAAACCACTAACAAATACACCAGAGCTGACCGATGAGACAGACTCGGTGGAGCCAGGCATATGTACATATTCTACTCCGTATGGCAGATAGATATGCTACCATGTGTAGCAAAGCCATGCGATTCATATCGTGGCAATTATTACCCCGATGGGCCTTGTCTGTTTTTCCAAATCTATTCCCATTCAACATATCATATCAACATTGAACACATCGTGCTGGCCCCCGCTCAAGATGTATCTGTGTCGGATTTCGTCTGCTTAGCTTATAAGCTAAAAAAAAGCAGTTTGGCGCGGGCTAGAAGCATCATGTCATGCTGCAGATAAAACTCAAGGTCTTGGCACAATAATAATATAATAATTAATAAAATGATTAAATCAAGAAGAAAAAAAAATAGAAAATACATGGAAAAGCTGCCGACTAGGGATTGATGAAACGAATGGAGAGCGGAACTGGGACAATGAAGAACCCGATCGAAATAAAAGACGAGATATACGTTGTACAAACAGGTAAGTGAAAATTACCCCGTATTTACCGCAACAAAGAAAATACAAGGTATCCGAGTCACCCGAAATACCTTGTATTCGATATATACGCATACAACAGTATACTATTCGGTACTTGGCATTTAGACTAAGACATTTCCTTTCCCCACGTCAATTCTTTTTTGGATCTGACGAGTCTTTCTTTCCCCCTGGCGAATGTTCGAACTGTACCTGATCCCGTTAGAGTCTCGGCAATAAGAGGCATTTGCGTTGCTTGGCACTGAATATTAGTACTATGTGTTGTCAGAGCTTCTAGCCATTGTATATTGTTGTTCGGGTCTCGGTCTAGTCAATTGCCTAGCGTCGCCTTTTTTCCCACCTATCTTCCCATTTTATTATTTTTAACCCAAAAATGAAAAATGAAAAATGAAATCCCACCTGGCCCTGCTAAGACCAATTGTTGATTGACCAATCGCATACCTAGCATGGGGTGCCAACACAGTACCTAGTGTTGTATGTGTCTTCATTTTGAAATCGCCGGATCTCAGACCCCCAAGAGATGAGAACTCGCCTCACGCTCCCAAAACCGTCAACGCCACATGGAGACATATAAAGAACTTTTCTTTATAGATTAGATTACTTCCGAAATTAACTAGAAACAAAGGGCGATACGTCTTGGATTGAAACCTTTGGCTTAGTCCATAAGTGTTTGATCTACTTACGGTAGTATAAAGATGATGATCATGCAGATAGTTAGGGGTAGACAGATGCAAGCTAATTTCATTCGTTCATTGTACTCCGTATTTTATTCTATTTTCCTAGCTGTCAGTAGTTAGTATTGCAGACCTGCATACTGTGTGACCTGCCCTATCGAGAACCTGGTCAATATCATGGTTGCCGTGCCGGTCTGGGCTTTGAAGGTCGGCTGTTACTACGCATTTATAACATGCGACACTGCCCCAGGCGTTTGGCCCGAGAACACACCGACTGTCATCGCATATCACCCTCCAGTCTCTACTCCTTCTAGTACTCCTAGCAGTTCTGTTGGAGTGAGCTCAATCACGCTCGCTACTTCCACACACTCGTTGACTGTCTCTGTGTCTCTACCCTCTACCCTTATTGCTACTTCGTCTAGCACAGTTGTACCGAGCACTTCTACAGCATCCACCTTCGTTACTTTCATCTCGTCGGGCGCAATCCCGTTAGAGTCTGCTTCGGGCTCAGTCATCGTCACTGTCTCATCCGCTTCTTCTAGCATCCCTACCCAGAGTGGGTCGTCTTCTGTCTCATCAGGCTCCGCTTCTAGCTCCCCTGTTTCGTATTCCGGAAGTTCTTCAGCCAGCTCATCTGCCTCGTCCGCTGTTGCCAGCAACCAGGCTTCGTCTGCACCTGTTTCCACAAGTGCTTCTGTGACTACTCCTAGCATGTCGTCCACCGCCATCTCGATCTCGGCTGTTGCAGCTGATATTCTGGTCATTGCCAGAGATGCTGCCTCTGCAGGTGTGGCCAGCTCCGGCCTCAATGGATATGGTATCCCATTCACAACTCTGATTGTTCCCTCCGCTGGTGTCCCTCTTCCTGACCTCAATGGCACCGCTGGAGGAAACTTCGGAGGTATTGTCGTTGCCTCTGAAGTCAGCTATGAGTATGGTGGTACCCAGGGCTTCCAGAGTGCCCTGACCACGGATCAGTGGAACCAGCTATATGCTTACCAGCTTGAATATGGTGTTCGTATGGTCCAATACGATGTCTACCCGGGTCCCAAATTCGGTACATCTGCAATCGGCGGATGCTGTGACGACGGCGTTGAGCAACTTGTCTCTTTCACCGATATTAGTGATTTCCCCACATCTGGCCTGAAGACTGGCGCTGGTGTCAGCACCAGTGGTCTGTGGCATTACCCTGCGACTATCACCGACACCACCTCTACTAAGCAGATTGCTTCATTTGCGCCCACCACAGGCTTCACCACTGAGAGTGTCGCTGGTGTGATTAGCGACTTCGATGGTCGTCAGCAGATGACCTTCTTCATCGGTTTCGATACTACTTGGAGTTCTACATCCAGCTACCTGCAGCACGCATGGATCACCTGGGTTACCCGTGGTCTGTACGCCGGATACCGCCGTGTCAACCTGAACACCCAGATTGATGATATGTTCCTTGAGACTGAAATCTACTCACCTGCTGGTAAAAATTTCCGTATTCGCGCCCAGGATATGAGCAAAATTGCCAGCTGGACTGATAAGATCAACGCCAAGATGCCCGCCGGCAGTTCCTACTTCGTTGAAATTGGCCACAATGGTAACGGAAACGTCGAGAACTCTTCCGACACCTCGGATTCTGGCTGGGATGCTTGCGGGGCTGCTATCGAATATGAATCGCCTGCTGACACTCCTCTCGAGTGGGTCAAGCCTCTTGGAACTGGCACTGACCTGTGGCCCGCTGTCCCCACTACTTACGACTGGACAGCTACTTGCACTGCCATGGATGAACTCCTAGCCTGGTGGACCACCGAAAGCAACCTCAACAAGTTCGGTCACATTTCCCACACCTTCACCCACGAGGAGCAGGACAATGCCACCTACAGCGATGTCTACAAGGAGATCAGCTTCAACCAGGCTTGGCTTAAGGCCGTCGGTATTGACAAGGCCACCAAGTTCACTTCCAACGGTATCATTCCTCCTGCCATCACTGGTCTACACAACGGCGATGCCCTTCGGGCCTGGTGGGAGAACGGCATTACGAACTGTGTTGGCGATAACACTCGCCCTGCCCTTCTGAATAAAGAGAATGTCATGTGGCCACTTTTCACAACTGCTGCTGCCAACGGTTTCGATGGGATACAGGTCAACCCTCGATGGGCCTCTCGCATCTACTATAACTGCGACACCCCTGCCTGTACCGTTGCGGAGTGGATTGCCACCTCTGCTGGTTCCGGTACCTTCCAGGACCTCCTGGACATCGAGAAGGGAGAGACCATGCGTCACCTCTTCGGCCTCTTCCACGATGGTTACATGTTCCACCAGGCCAACCTCCGCAACATTGATGTTGACCCGATCACCATTAACGGTGTGTCTGAAAAGTACTCCATTATGCAAGCTTGGGTGGAAACCCAGGTTCAGGAGTTTGTCCGCCTGGCTCAATGGCCCATCATCACACTCACCCACCAAGAGGTAAGATAAACCCCATCCAACACGCTGCAATCTTTTGTCCAGACACTGACTCCCCATAGATGTCCGCCTCCTTCCTTGCTCGTTTCAACCGCGACAAGTGTGGCTACTCTCTGAGCTACACCACCAGCAACAAGAAGATCACTGCCGTCACTGTGTCTGCCACTGGAAACACCTGCACTGACCCTATCCCGGTGACCTTCCCTGTTGCCCCTACCAGCACCCAGGGTTTCGCCACTGAGCAGCTCGGTGCTGACCCTCTGACCGTCTGGGTTAAGCTCTCTGGCTCCCCTGTCACATTCACTCTTTCCACCCCCATTTCCCTTTAAGAGGTTGTAACGATGATTGGCTTGCCTTCGTTTGGCAGGTTGATGTTCCTTTTGGATTTTGTTGGCCACCCGTCGCTTTCATATTATCTTGTGGATATCTCCCTTAAGATGTCAATAATGGTTTATATATATGTGAAGGAAACGGAACCCATGCTTTTCTGTTGATACGAACACTGAATGTGCTGTGTTTTTCTAATGTCTGGGAATTTCAAGTATAATTATACGATAATATACAATGATTCTTTCCGAACGGTTTTCATACTCAAGACTCAGTCTGCGTGAAGTAATAAACAGCATCGTGACAAAAAAAAGCAGAAGCCTATTCTCGATACTACCCTCGGACATGTCATCTAGCGGTCTGGTAGAGCGTGATGGTGTCAGCAATTTCGCACTGCAGGTCCGATGTGACAACGTCGACAATGTTGTACGAATCAAGGGATGTTACTGTCCGACTCATCCGGCGCGTGGAAAATACTTCACATTTTGTGTACATCGAGTCATGTAACCAAAAACAGAAAGAAAAAAAAGGATTTCTACCGATGAGACTAAGCCATCTAATCGTGGCAAAAACAAATGCTAGCAAGTCAATTCTGTCTACCCATACACAGAAGGCCAAAAACAGAAGAACAGCCTTGGCAGCGAGCTTAGGGCCTAACTTGTCTCTCAACACAACGCCATAAACCATAACCACCCTACTCATCCTGCCCGATGACCGCCATCCGGGTGATGGATGTTGAGCCAAGTGATTTGTAAAATAACGATTATGTCTCGGATGTAGCGCAGATGTAAGTATCGGCTGTTGGGAATATCTGAGATACCGATCCACACATATTCCTGTATAGTCCACCTGCATGGTGCATAGGGCAATCTAATTTAGTCCCAATATATGGTTCCAGACCTACTTCGTACAGCGGGGAAGCATGTATACGATGGAGTTACATGCAGCTACTGCATCAAACTATGTACTCCATGCCCCATACCCATTCGAGTCATACTCCGGAGACAAGGAGGCTCAATGCTAAATTTGGAATCAGGGGCATAAGATGATATTATTTCGGGGATATCCGCGGGCATACTCTGTAGATTCCTGGGCAATAAAGCCAGTCGGCCTCGAAGTTAATGCGCTCTACTAAGTATCTGGTAGTAATCAAGAATGTATGTTATGTAAGCCAGTGAGTGGCTGGGGTTGGGTTCGGCCTTTGAAGCTTACTCTGACTTCCGCTGTTACTGTCCCCCTTTTTACTTTCTTTGATTCCTTACTATCCTTAGCAGCGACAGGCGCCGGGACAAATATGACGAGATCATGGAACGAGCTAAAATAGGGACAAAAAAAAACACACTCCTTGGCATGCATTCTAAGCGAGACATTGATCTGAATCAAGAATCATCAAACGGGTCAAGCGTAAGGTGAGTTATCAAACAGTGAGCCTTGGAAACTGCTAAGCGATCTTGGCATGGGCTCGAGGTCTTCAAATTCTCCGGGCGAAAACCGAGACTCGGCAGTAATGGATTTGGTAGACTCAGATTTGTCATTGCCCAGTCCTGTGGACCTGTTTCGGTTAGCGGGTGTGGCGTCCAAGAGATTCACGGGAAGGGAAGAGTCAGGCGATTGGATTATCTGAGACTAGCGCCATCGGGGTTGGCTTTTTCTCTGGTAGTCTATTTTAGCGTCTTCGATACCTAGGTATGCTACTCAAAAGGATTGTGGAGAGGGCGGGTCGTGTAGGAGAGTGAAAAGTCAACAAAAGCGTTCAATTCGAAACACAGAATAGTGAGATGACAATAATAGTAACAGCGGGACTCTGTATGTTATAGTAATACTGTTAGTGATATTCAATAGGTGCAAGTATTCCAAATCTGAATGTCATTATTCTGTGTCTGCGCATAAGCGAAGGCATCAGATGATGGGGTATCCTTGTCCTCAACCAGAAGTCCGGCGAGTTAGTATTGGATGGTTTTTAAAATGACTGATCATCATTTCAAAATTGATTTAGGCTGTTGAGAGCCTGTTTGGTTAGGGCTAGCAAAATACCGGCATTTGAGCGGTGTTTACAAAAACGATCCTTCTAGTTTCGTGGTAATTTAGGTAATTAATAAAATACAATACCACAATACATCAGTACTGTGAATGTGACGGCTAAAAACACCCAACCCCGATTTTGTGGCACTTTAGGGCTAAGGCGCTTGCCAGCACATGCATCTATCCTTTTCCTTTTCTTGGAAATTTTTTAAACAGGAAAATTGGAAGTGCAAAGTGCAAAGACCTTTCGATTTCTGAAGTTTTTCTGGTGCTGTTGGCACTTTTGTTTATAAAAAGACAAGGTGGCTGAAGTTTCACTAGGCCCCCCAATCTAGCACTATGCAGTAGCAAGTAGAGTACAAAAGACGGAGTAGTGCTTGGCAAACCGAGATTTCTCTTTTTTCTTTTTGTTTGGGACTATTTTGGGCAAAAAGCCAGCCTATTGTAGCTTTGTTCTAAAGTTTTATCCTTGGCAATTTGGGAGTCAACTGTCAACCCCTGAGATCCTGTGGCTTGTCATTCTTATCTCAATATTGACAAAAAGTACTGTTCTACTATACTATGTAGATAATATATTAAGATTACCTAGTTAAGTAAGATAATCCAATTAGTAGATCACAGATCAGCAGGTTCCACCACCTTATTTTCATCTTTCGCCTTGGAATTTGACCTGGGCAGGTGAGTGGGGGATCTTTCCCGCCGCCTCCTTCTTGGCCCCCTAAAGCCGTCTAGGCATCCTCATTTCCCACGTTGTATGTTGGATGTTGGATGTTGGGTGTTGTACATTTTCCATTAATTTCCGCTTTACCCGTTCAAGTGATTCCAGGGACATCTAAGGCTGAGTTTTGCTTTTTCCAGGGTAACATCCAGGTCTTTTCGGTACGCTGGAGGATCTCCCTCAGCCCCTGGACCTTCGCTCTGGGCCCTTTATTTTGAGCTTAAAGATGCCTATCTCCCGAGTTAGTGCCTGCTGATCTTTTCGACTTTCTTTTTTTCTCCTTTCCGTGGGCTACCCCATACTTACTCCTTCATTAAATCCAAATACCCCACGACTTTGAGTCACTACACTTGATCCCACCATCCCACCGATATATTACACACAACTAAACTTCTTCCATCGTTTAATCTCTCACTTCAAAATCTACCCTAATGGGTGATTTGTCATCCAAAACGGGCTGGTGGGCTTGGTCGACCAAGAAGAAGGTTCTTATCTTTGGAACCATCGCTCTTGTCATCGTTGCTCTAGGTGTCGGCCTAGGCGCCGGACTAGGAATTGGCCTCAAGAACAGCGGAGACGATGACAATAATAACGATAATGAGGGCACCGGTTCCGGCCCGACAAACACGACAACACCAACAAATACAACCGTGAAATGGCAGCCAGCTGTCGGCAGCAAGTGGCAGATTATACTGAAGTCGGAGGATGGTGCACCCATCTCCACCTCAGTGGACGCACCAATCTACGACATTGATCTCTTCGACAACAACAAAACCGTCATCTCAGATCTCCAGAAAATGGGCCGCAAAGTGATCTGCTACTTCTCGGCCGGCTCGTTCGAGGACTGGCGCAAGGACGCCGGCGACTTCCACCCCGCAGATAAGGGCGAGAATCTCGACGGATGGCCCGGCGAGAAATGGCTCAACCTCACGTCCCCCAACGTGCGCAAAATCATGCAGGCGCGTCTCGATGTCGCAGTGGAGAAGGGCTGCGACGGTGTTGATCCTGACAATATCGACGGGTACGACAATGAGAACGGTCTTGATCTCACCAAGGCTCAGGCTATCAACTACGTGAACTGGCTTGCTTCTCAGTCTCACAGCCGCGGTCTCTCGGTTGGATTGAAGAATGGCGCAGATATTATCGACTCTGTCATTGATAACATGCAATGGTGTGTCAATGAGCAGTGTGCCGAGTACGAGGAGTGTGATACCTATGCGTCCTTCATCGAGGCGGACAAGCCTGTCTTCCATATCGAGTACCCCAAGGGCGGTTCTACCAACAACAATAAGTCGGTGACGAGCAGCCAGGCGAAATCTGCTTGTACGGCCAACAGCTCTGGAAACTTTTCAACTGTTATCAAAAACATGGACTTGGATAATTGGGTTGAATACTGCCCGTGATCGGGTTTTGTGCTTGGAGTGGGCTCGTTATACCTAACTAAGAGTTGACATTGCATGTATAAGTAATACGACGTGATATTTTTGGTACCATTACTCATAACTTCTTTCCGTTCATCTTTTTTCGGTTCATCGTGTTTAGGCGCTGTGCATTCATTAGTCCCGGGGCTGAACAGAAAGAGTAAATTGGCAAGTCCCTACGAAGTGCATGACGCCCAGATATGAAAAGTCCCTGGAATGAACTTGTCATTGTCAGCGCTAGGTAAATTTCAAAGAGCGCCTTTCCATCCGTATCTAATCTATCAACCCCCTCGAAATGACGCCTTCGGCCCTCATTGCCTTGAATGACATCGACGAGACGCAGGACCAGGGGCACAACAACTCGCAAGCCTAAAGCGAAGGGGAAAAAAAACGCCATGTTCAGAACGCAGAACACCTATCACAATAATTAAGCCTAATGCGAGCACATAATCGCTATGTTATGTCTGAATTGGAGCTCGCTAGCCTTATAACGGTCATCTGACAGCTTCATTCCCAGGGTATGCGCCGGACCCAGCCCAGGCTCGCTTACTCCGACAAAAGCAGCTTGTCTCTAGCGCACATATCGTAAGTTCGCACTGGTACTAGATGGCACTAGCACCAACACTAGCCCAAATACTCAGCTCATCGCAGAGCAACCACAACCAGCGCCATCGTCGGCGAAAACTACCTTTACTTCTAGCGGCGTTTTATGCATAGACTATAGTCTCCAGTGGCTGTGACTACTGCCGCTAGTGGAAATTTCCAATTCCCCAAGACTTCCGTCCGCCCGGTTTGCTCATGGCGTGACGCGACGGAGAAATCGGAGGTTACTGTGCTAAGGCTTGGCTTTTGCGCCGGATCTGCCCTCCGCCAATAGCTCTTTTTTTCTTTTTGTTTACAAGGTATTAGGCATTGCTTGTGGTTTACTTCGCTAAAGCTTTGGAACACCCGGATACCCAGGTACACGCCAAGCCGGATATTTAGGTAACAGGACATGATCCATGTCCATTTCCTACTGTATTTTGCCACCAGAGGTATAATTATAGGTTTCTTTGTTTCTCGCCTTGGAGTAGGACAAAGCATTTACTAATTCGCTCTCTTTGCCCAGTCGGCCTCAATGAAACAAAAAAAACGGGTGTTCTAGTGCGATGAGGGGATATGGACTTTCCCAAGAAGAACTTGGTTAGTTAACTAGTAACCGGCGATGTTGTGCTGGTCTTGGCTGTCTTGGCATATGGATATGTTGGGACCGGTGGGTTGAAGCTCTTCACTAGTCTGATTGGTTAGGTTCGAGAACTCATTCTCGGAATGCTCGGTTCCTTTGGGGAAGTGGATTCATCCGGTAACTTTGCTTCGTTGTAGTATGTAACGAGATATTGTAGTATGTGTTTGAGGTAGCTAGGTATTTTTAGAGGTTTAATTACATACCGATATGTGGATACTGTTATTTATGTGTATTTTACATATCTTTTGTCAGGTATCCAGGTATTTGCTTAAACCTCGATTTTCCCAGTATTTTCCGTCATTTGTGTGGTTGAGACTGTGTTTGCCACGATAAACGTATCATAAATGCTATTGCAGCTCCTTGCATAAACCCCTGGGGTTGAAACTGAAGTCATGTGTTACTTAGTTACCAAGATACATAGTTATGTCGTACTATTTTTACCCATTTTATCGTACTTCATACCACTTGGGAAAAAAAAAAACCATTGGACGATCAAGCGTCTAGCGGCTCTTCTTTTTTAACACCAACTATAGTTTAACCTCGTTTCATCGTACGACAAAGTTTGCATGTCTTACATCCGATCCCAATACAAAGACGGCTGAACACGGGAGTGCTTTGGGTCTCCAGTTGCGAAGCTCACTCCTGATCAAACTAGCCAGTAGAAACGCACCATCACTTTTGGGGTGGCTTATTTTTTCACTCTCTGCATGTCTGCTTTGCATATGGCACGTGTGATATACCCGCCTACCAATAACAGGTGAACCATGGAAATAAAAAAGCGCTAAAATCGGCTACCCGAGTGGCTCACCTAGGAAATCTAGATCTCCCCGTTCCTGACCGCAACCCTAGCGATGAGTGGTTAGGTTCCTCGGCGGCTATGTATGTGTTTCCTCTACTTGTTCGTATTAATGCTCACCGATCGGCGGAAATCTCTGCGACACAGTGCAGGGTTCCTGTAACGGAAACTAACACCGAAGTGGGAAGATAGTGGGTCGTTTAGAATAGCGCCTCGATCCGGTGGTCCCACTTAGTGAGAATGATTCAAGATCGGACTAGTATTCACGACCCATCGTTTACCGAAATATGGGAATGCCCAATTTGAATTGGTGGGTTTTTGTAAGACTGTATGGCAAATTCCATGCGAACTGAACCTCAAACCAGGATCTACGCATATAGAACCGATCGCCATTTGTTCGGATTTAGACGTGTCCACCCATACATGTTCACAGTTGCTCGATCATGCCGCAGCCATAACCCACCCCGGCATCCTCCGTTACTTCCCCTAAACACTGGTCTTCGGCACTTGTGTTGTTAGCGCCTAGTGATCGACTAGTTGCAGTCTGTAAGTAGTCAAATAATCTTTTCCTATAGAAAAACCAGCGATATATGGTAGGAACGATTGACAATACTCCTACTGTAATAGTCCAGTTCTCCCCAGCGGCTACAAGAAGTACCGCAGCCAAGAGATCGATCGAAGATCCTTTGCTTCCGAAATACCCGGCCACGCCACGAGGTAGTAACTTCCGCCACCGCCACTAGCGCTCAATTCCAGGGGGTACAACCAGAGTTACGAAGTAAAGATAGTACGCATGAGCTAAAGAACAAGGGTGAAGTGTGTAGGGTGAGTTACGCAAACTATATCTTACATCGAGCTACCAGGGAAGAACCTGTTCCTTAGAGGTAGAAAAGGATAAATATTGCCCGCAACTGTAGTATTTCGCCAGGGACTGGGAATTGGGGACGGGTGAGTGGTTGATTGAAATTTCCGGTTGTGTGTCATATCTCGATGTAACAACATCCCACGCCGGCCTGGTTCCTGGAATATGACCCCGTTGGAATCAGACAGGTCGGGTTTGTAACTCGATACAGCCACAGTTGTATCCTGTTAAACCTACATGCACTCCGTACAGAGTACATTGTTACTGTTCCAATGCAACGTTGTATCGGGAAACTGAGTTTTGACATTATAGCGATGACCTAAGCCCATAGTCAATGTTAATACCCGAAGTCTGTTGTTCAGGTCATGTCCCACGCTGCTGTTTCAGTCTCTGACCACTTTACACTATCTAAGACTTGGAACATACATTGTACTTTAACTGAGGAATTGGCTTAGTATAGCAATTTAGACTTTGTTTTAGGATGTTCTAGTTGAATATATTCGAGCCGTAAATATAGAATGGCGTCCATCACCAATTGAAACGGTGGCTTGCTGTTATGCCCTGCCAAGATAGTTGAAAGCCAATCCCACATGGATATCTTGGTAGTTTCTCTAAGCCTTGAGACGGCATTGGCTGGGCTTATATAAGATGCTATCTGCAGGTCTCATAGATCGATCGGATGAGCGGTAACTCAGAGACATTGTGAAAAAGTCTGGTCTAGATCGAGACCAGGAAAGGAAGGTGTTTGAGCATTTCTACATCGTCGGTCAAATTAGTCATGCCAGATCTGACTGATGAGTTTAGCTTATACCTCGTATCGAGAGGATTCCCTGACACACTCTCCGGTTTTGGATATATCCCTATGCTCCGCGATCCAACCATACTGTTGCTTTGCCACATATTCCAATTGACGGGTAGTTCGTTAGTGGCAGGAATAAATTACCATTTTTGGCTTAGTGACATGTATTGTTGTATTTATACTTGATACGAAAAGTTGAAAATTACTACAATACAGTATTCTCCATGGACTCCATATAACTAGCTTACCTAGGTACCTCCAACAAAGACGGCATTTATAGGATAGAAGGTGAAAGAGAAAAATTTTCATTCCGTACTTTGCTGCAAAATCATGAAAATTCAAATGGGCTAAGTAATCTAAAAATCAACTCGTAAAATCATAAAACAAAATGAGTGAAAATCAATAACATGCTAGCTATACCAAAAAGAATATGTGCACATACTCGCTCGACCCAATTTACCTCACCAGTGCACATCATACTAAAGCAAGTAATCTAAAGACAGAAATTCAAAAGTTCAAGCTGCCATCAGATCGACAAACTCAGTCCACCTGGCACCAAATGAGGCATAATAGTCAGTGCTAAGATGGGTGATATACACCTCATCCGCAACCTGGCGCACCTGCTTGACCAGACTGCGGAGGGCCTTGCCCTCGACAGCATCAGGCACGGAGTGAACGATGGCACATAGTTGGGTACGATTGCTGTCCGCGATATTGGTGAACATCCTGGCACCTTGCCGTTCCTGGAACGTAGTGTAGGCAGCTTCGAACACAACGGTTGAATCTGCTGTTGCTAGGTACCGAGAATCGGGAACAGCGCCGGGGTTATGGACAACCTGATGGTTTTAGTTAGCTTAATGGACTTCGCCTATGTATCCCAGAAGGGGAAACCATTATGAGACAGGCCGGGATGGGATATGTGGTGTTGGGATAAAAATAAAGCCATAGTGTGGCTCAAGTGATACGGGAATAGTAAACAGAAGAAATTAAAAAAGCAAATCTTGACGTAAAAATAAAGAAACGAAAAATAGGTCTAAGATGATGCGAGACAGGGAGTCTCGGAAGAATTGCAATACTCACAAATTGATCGGGACCAAGATCATCAAGGTCCTTAACAAAGTCCGTCAGCCCTTGCAAATACGTCAAGGTTTGAGGTTCGTATTGCTGGGGTGTTTCATCGAAGAAGATTCCGCGGACCGCCAGGTTGGGATCGGAGGAATTAGCCGGCCAGTCGGCATAGGTTTGGATATCCTTGCGAACAGCAGAAACGTTGCGGTTTCCGTATGAGGTATACACATAGCCCAAAAGACGCACATTTGCGTAAGCAGTGAGCTTTGGGATCTCACGGGTGTAATTGCCATCCGGGAGAGAGTCAGGCCCCGGGCCGTTCCCTGGGTTGATTACAACGGTAAAGTTGACATCGGGGTGGGTAGATATCCTGTGGCGTTTAGTAGCTGTATGTGATGGTATGATTTGACGCCCGAACGGCACGACAGGCATTATGCCGCGGGCTACCGGCTGGGGTAGAGAGCAATCCAGTAACTGGGAGGGAAACAGAACTTGAGATGGAAAGGGATAGAAACATACACATTTTCCAGCGGAGCCCACGCCTCAGGAGCAGGATACACGTAGAGTGGTACGAAGACCTTCGCTTTGGGACCCATGTTATCTTTCTTAAGAGTAGTGACGACAACAGAGGGAACAACGGCCACAATAATCACAATTAGAACCACGATTGCCAAGATGAGACGAGAACGCTTCGACTTAAGACATGTCCGCTTGCTCACGTGTTTTTCAGGGTCAGACATATTGGCTACAGAAAGAAAGAGGAAATGAAGAGAGTGGGTTCGTGAGCACTACCGGTTACATATGAGCAAGAAGTTTTCAAAGACGGGTGGCCAACAAAAAATAATACACATCGAAAGAGCTTGCTGGTCAACACGACCTTAGGCTGAGTGTCTCGCCGGCGAAAAATGGACCTGGCGCCTCGACCATATGCAGAAAGGGTCTTGGCTGAGACGTTGGAAATAGAAAGAAAATACGAAGGAAATATTTATTTATCTTTTTTTAAAAAAGAAAATGATATAAAGAAAAAAAAGAAAAACAATAATAATTCCATTATTATACTAGCTTGAGCTGAGGCCCTAACTTACAGGCAGCGAGACATACTTAGGGCATTTGGAGGTACAAAATGATATAGGCCCAGCCGCATATCTGGCCCACCAAGGGGCATCCTGCCCGATGGTTCTGTTCCAAGTTGTGCCTACTCCCCCCCTCTTACGGTCCCTTTGTGTTTTTTTATTCCGCTTATGCTTGTTTCTTTTGTTCCTTTTTCTTCTATTTTTGCCGGAGGTACTGTGCTAGACCCTCATTCGCCAAGGAGGGGTGGCATAATAGATGAACCCAAACAGAGAGAATCCGAGTGAGCCAACGCAAGTACCTCGCTTGTTTTGTATAAAACCTTGGTTAAGGGCCCACCGAAGAATAGGATATCTCAGTCTTGGTTATATAATAGCATAAAACATTTTCTCTCATTGTTTGAAGTGGTAGCATAACTTACCTATCATTCATTGTCGACTTCCCGCCATGATTGAGCCAACATCATTTTCCTCGTCGAGATCTGATAGCCCCCAAAGGTCCGATTCAAGCAGTCCTGTGCAATCTCATACCGCCATCGACACGCCCGCAACAGAGGCTGGAGACCCATTCGACAATCTCCATGACTTGTTGCGGAGAATCCCTTTGCAAAGCCACGTTCTTGTCACTGGTGGCCTCGGCTTTATCGGTAGTCACACCACGCTGGAGCTGCTCAAGGCAAACTATAACGTTATTGTGATCGATAATCTTAGCAACGCATTCGAGAATGTTTTCAACCGTATCAGCCTGTTGGCCAAGAAACATCACGAGGAGAATGGCACGAAAATGCCATCTCTCCGATTGCATGCACACGATTATCGCGACACCAAGGCTCTTCAGCCACTGCTTGAGGAGTACCAGCTCCCATCCAGGTGGGGAACTCCCAAGTCTGGAATCGCCGGAGTCATCCACTTCGCGGCGTATAAAGCTGTGGAGGAGAGCATTCGGAAGCCACTGAAGTATTACTCCAATAATGTTAGCGGCCTTGTCGACTTTGCCACAACACTTGGAGACTTCGGCATCAAGACGTTCATCTTCTCGTCTTCCGCCACCGTATACGGAACTCTGGCAACCTCGGGTCTTCCATTGAAAGAGGAACTCTGTGTTCACAAGGAAGAGTTGTACACAGATCACAAAGGCTCACAACAATCCATCCAACCTGGATGCACTGGAATCACCAACCCGTACGGACGCACAAAATGGATGTGTGAAACCATCCTGGCCGACCTGGCCGCATCAGACCCCGAATGGACTATTGTTGCACTCCGCTATTTCAACCCCGTTGGCTGTGATTCTTCCGGTCTTTTGGGCGAAGACCCAAGACAGGCACCAACAAACCTGCTTCCCGTCGTTGTCAAAGTCATGACCGGGCAGTATTCCGAACTCGCGATGTTTGGGACAGATTGGGAAACCGAAGATGGCACTGCCGTCCGTGACTTCATCCACGTTAGTGATCTAGCTCGTGGGCATATTGCCGCACTCAGTTCGGCCAACGAGGGCAAGCTGACAGAGAATTTCCGCACATTCAACCTCGGAACTGGAAAGGGAAATTCCGTGATGGATGTGGTCAGCACTATGGAGTCTGTTATTGAGAAGCCCATCCCCCGACGTGCTGCGCCACGTCGCGAAGGTGACGTTGGAGCCTGCGTTGCGGTCGTCGACCGGTCATCGGAAGAGCTTCAATGGAAGACAGAAAAGAGCCTGAAGGATGCATGCCAGGACATCTGCAACTTCTTGGATGTCAGTGGCCTGTCTTCATAGCGCGGTCCTCGTACTGTTGGTCCGATATCAGTTGTGTTTTGTTTGTTTTCTCACCTGTTCTTAATATACCTGCTCACTGGAACAATAACCCTTTGGAGGTATGTGTTTTAATACGGTCATTGTCTTTTTTTTTGTTTTTCTAGCATGTCGATTAGAGTTGCATTACTCGCGAGCATTCTTGGTCTGTCCGTGGGACGTTTTCCCATTTGGATGTACAGAATCCATCTCTTTGTCGCGATATGCGAATTGAATAAAAGTTGGCATTTGATTCTTAGAATTTGTAGCAAGTATTCTCAGAGAACATAACTGGATGATATGTGTGCTATCACGTGATATCGAATATTACGTCTGGACACAACCGGTGTGGGTGACGAGGTCGGGACAAGAAATAGTAGGAGTCATAGTGTACTGAAGATATTAATCTGTGACAAATATAATCTATGAACAGATCAGACCGTTGCAAGGAGTGAAGCTGTTGTATGCCATAAAGGCTGGTATATCACGTGACTGATCTCCGTCTTGGCATCAAATATGGCCGCAGTTTTCTGCGACAGCTCTGTCTCCGCGCGTGTCTTATTGCATCTTCAACGCAATTGGGTTTCATTGTCGTCCAGGGCTTCTCTTGAACCATTTGATACTGTCCTAGCCTATTCTCCACCTTTTTCTGAATTATCTCGTCACAATGATCTGCAAAAGCTGCCGCACGACAATGTTGTCCCGATTCAACCAGCAGCCAGTGGTCCGGACGGCTTCAGCATGCGCGCGCCAGCTGCCTCTGGTCCGTAGCCAATTCCGCTCATATAGCAGTGATAACAACCCTCCTGTGGCTGCTACTCCTCCTCCGCCCTCCCCCCGCCAACCCACGGTCGGCGACCTCACAACCCCGTCCGCCATCTCCTCCGCTACCCCCGGCGTTTCTCAGCCTTTGAGCACCCCCGAAGGTGTCCACACCGATGCCAACCCCGGAGCTCCAACAAAACCCACTGCCGTACGCGCACCGAGCAGTTGCCCGGCTGGAACCAAACTGAACGGACTCAACTACTTCAAGAACAAGCCGGATGTCTTCGCCAAGGAAGATTCTGAGTACCCAGATTGGCTATGGAACCTCTTGGGAGATTCCACCAAGGACGCAAAGACTAAGCAGGGTGGTGTTGACCCAAGCAGTAAGTTATCTCCTGGATTTCCGGTTTTTCGCAAGATGCTTACCCTGTCGTAGCCTTGAACAAGAAGCAAAGAAAGCGTTATGAAAAGAAGCTGGCCGCCCGTACTGGCCCCCTCGCCGCTAAGATCCCCGCCCACCACCACGCTCACGATATCACTCCCGCACCCTACAACCGCGACGCTCCTGAAGCGGATGCCATGGCCGATGCCACCGAAGGCTTCGAACAGCGCTCGGAGATTATCAAGAGTGCACGCGATGCCAGACGGAAGTCCATTAAGGAGTCCAACTTCCTCCGCGGTCTGTAAGCTCGTTCTATGTCGATTCAAGTGGAACACATGAAAGCGATTGTACTTTTCTTGTTGGGGTTGTGTCGCAGGCGCCCAGAACCGCTTCAATGCTGTTGGATATTGGATAGACCGGGCTCTTTGGAGCATCCGGGATGTATTATTACATTGATTTATTTTTCGATTGTGCTATATATCAAATGATATTTGTCTTAGATCTACGCTCGTCGCAAAGTATCCCGAACAGCCACCCCCATCATTGAGAAAGTCAAGGTATATAACTTACTGGGGAATGGGCCAATCCTTCTCCTCCCCCTGCCCTTCAAGCCAAGGCAAACAAGCTTCATAAAGCGTTTTGAACTCCCCCTCCCCAAGAAGAAGCATCTTGTCAAAGACGTCCTGGTCAAAGCGCTGGAACCAAGCCAAAATTGCGGCGAGAATCATATCCGCATAGCCAGCCCTTTCACCCTCTAAAAAGGGCCCCTGCTTTCCTTCCTTACCCTTGAGCATCTTAATCAGCGCCTCGGCCTCCTTCTCAATAATCTGCCACAAAGCAAGCAACTCCGCCTCATCCGTCGGCCTAACCTCAGAAAGCGGCTTCCCGAAAGCCACAGTGCGCGTCCGGATAAAGTACTCCCGTCCGCGCTCATCTAGTCTAGATGGAACGTTGGGAATAAGCAGCGACCTGTAAGTCGGTGACATCAAGCTCACTATCTTCAGCACGGCGACCATGAGCGAATAGCTTGCGTCGCCGGAGGGGAAGAGCGGCGGCGACGGGTACAGCTTATCAATGTACAGGGCGATCGGCTCGGAATCCATAAGCACACCGTCGGGGTTGCTCGTTATCGACCCCTTGTGGCTGATTGCTGGTAGTGTGTAAGGTGTCGCTGACTCGCCAGGTGAGACGCCATGGGCCTTGAGTAAAGGTGCGATGTCGGGGTATGATACCCAGCTTTGGGTGTAGGGGATTCCTTTAAAGTTGAGGACCATTCTGGTCCGGAGGGTGTGGGGGGACCATGACTTGGAAGGGCCTGGTTGGGTTAGAGGTTTGTTTTTGTAGAGAGAGTCATCTAACTTCGGGGCTGCTCCGTACCGGGTAGGTCTGATAGGAGGTCGAAGAAATGGATTTTGGATTCAGTCATTGTGTAATTGGTAATTGTATTCAACTTATATGTCTTTAGGGTTGAAGTTGAAATGAGTGTCCTGATTGTTGAGAGGTAGTTTCTTCCTCATGTATACAACAGACTTCGGGAGCGGGGGTAATTGATTTATCAGCTGGAACGGAGTTTAGTAACTCGGGGAAGAATACCAAGTTGCTGATAAGAAGGCTTTTTATTCTTTTAATAGATGAGAGCTAATAGCTAATAGCTAGTAGCTAAATAGCTAAATAGCTAATGGGCTTGCTATTAATCTGATACTTTCATGGCTCGTGTTAAGCTATGAAGCTATGAAGCTATGGAGATAATATTGAACAAATCCATATTTCCTATCCAAGCTATACTCGGGCTCGAACTAAAGATACATTTATCAGGGATTTAAGATTTATTTGGACTCTTGAAAGTTGAATGTTGAAAACATACTCCACGATGATATAGGCAGAGGGGCACCACGTTGGCAGTGGGGAGACGCACGGGTCACTTTAGGATTTTCTCCTGACATCCACGACAAAGTCATTTCTACATCGTGGGACATCGATGTTCTATTCGATCTAAAGTTCAATACATAACTGGCAAACTGAAACAACGCGGGGCAATCCTTTGCCAATAACCCTACCCCTCCACATACCCAACCATAAGGTATCTCTTAGCATACTCCCTGCCGGAACAGAACAGCCCACCAACAATACACCAGTGCAAAATGGAGAAAGTCGAAGCTCTCGTGGACCGTGCTAAACACCTCGTACTCCACGAGCCACCCGAGACACCGTCACACACCGTGGACAAATTCCACCCATCTTTGGATGATCATATTCAGAAGATCTACAAGTCTGTTGATGCATATGCTCCAACTACCAACTACTTCCTCCAAGAAATACAACATGACACTGCCGTTACAACTTCTTCCGAGCCAGTTGCCGACGTTTTGGATTCTTTGGATGCCTTTCGTGCATACATGAAGGATGCGAACTCGTCTGCGATGGCACTAGAAGAAGCCCTCGATCTTTCTGCGCCCATTTCAGATTACTTTATCTCGTCGAGTCACAACACTTATTTAACGGGCAATCAGCTGTACGGTGACGCTGCTGCTAGTGCCTATACATCTGTGAGTTGATACTTCGAAGAATGATCCTACCATTTACGCTCCATGAATGTTATGTTATGACTTCCTAAGACCTGGAATTTATGATTGGCTCATGCTCCAATAGGTCCTCCTCCGCGGCTGCAGGTCCGTCGAGATTGATGTCTGGGATGGAGAATCGGACACCTCCAACTCAAGCGACAGTGAGAGAGATAGCGACAGTAGCAGCAGTGATTCGGAGACGGAAGAGAGGACGAAGGGTGGGGAGAGCCGCCGAGAAAAACCCGCCAAAGAACAGAAACAGTCATTCTCGTCGAAATTGGAAGCTAAACTTGGTGGCGTCCTTCGTCGCAAATCCGTAAAGTCGCCCCAGCGACCATCGGACGAAGAGACCGCGACGAGCCACATGCCTGTTCCTGCTGAGCCTCGTGTTCTGCATGGCCATACCCTAACCAAGGGAACGACATTCCGTGAAATCTGTTATGCGATCCGTGACAGTGCATTTGTTGCCAGTGACCTTCCACTGGTCATTAGTCTCGAGGTACATGCGTCTCTTGAGCAGCAACAGACGATGGTCGACATCATGTTGGAGGCGTGGAAAGGACTGCTTGTGGATGCTCCTCCAGATGATGGGAAACTTCCCTCGCTAGCTGATCTGAAGAATAAGATCTTGATTAAGAGCAAATGCATTCCATTCAATCCCGAGGACGAGACTCCCGAGGGAGAAGCTCTGACGCCGCAGAACTCCGATGATAAGTCCTCGGGGCAGCAGCCGCCGAAGCCATCAAAGATTCTTGACGCTCTGGCCAAGCTGGCAGTTTATACTCGCGCGTATCACTTCAGCCATTTTGATCAACCGGGTATGCATCACCATTGTAAGATACGGCCATGAAGACGATGCTAATTTGGTTAACAGAGGCCAAAGTCCCTCTCCATGTGTTCTCGCTCTCCGAGAAAGCAGCGCGAGAAGCCCATGTCAACCAGCGCGACGCCTTGTTCGAGCACAACCGAACATCTATGATGCGTATCTACCCGTATGCATTCCGAGTCACCTCATCAAACCTTGATCCAACATTCTATTGGCGGCGCGGTGCTCAGCTGGTAGCATTGAACTGGCAGAACCTTGATAAGGGCATGATGCTCAATCACGGAATGTTTGTCGGAACCCACGGCTGGCGACTGAAGCCCTCTGGCTACCGAAGTGAGAAAGTTTCTCCGACAGATGTTATCGAGCGCCGCAATTTGACCCTCTCAATCGAGATATATGCCGCGCAGGATCTCTCTCTGCCGCCGGGCGACCACAGCGAGAGGGGATTCAAACCCTATGTGAACTGCCAACTGCACGTCGAAGAACCCGAAGACGATGCAACCCCGGACCAGGACGACGCCAGCTCTGACACGGAGAAGAGCAGCTACAGACGGTGCACGAAGAGTTCTTCGGGTCGGAACGCGGACTTTAAGGGCCAGAAATTGGAGTTCCCGACCGTGACGGGGATCATTGAGGAGCTGAGTTTCCTACGGTTAGTCTTTCTTTTTCGATTTCTTGCTTACATCGATGTATCGAGCAATTCCCCTCGTGCTTTGTCCTCTTCCTTGCTCTACAAGACTTCCCCTTGCTGCATTTCTACCTTCCGTCACATGAGTCCGTCTCTTCGAGTATGCAGGCATAAACACTGCATTGTGATACCCGTCAAAAGAACGCATGCACTTTCCCGCATCACATAAACATGACGACAGGGCTTGATATTTGCTTCTTCTGGGCTTCCTCCTTGGTAACAAGATGCATTATCTGGACTTGGGCTCAGCAAGGCGGGCCTGTAACTTTCCTTAGCCATCACCCCCACTATCATGCACACTACCCCCTATAATGCGTTTCACATTCCAAGATGCAAGCATTATGTATAAACAAGTTACTGATTCGATCTACTTTATTTTTAGGATCAAGATCAAGGACGACGAGATCGGTCGGGATCCATTGGCTGCGTGGGCTTGCATCCGACTTGACCGGCTGCGGGAAGGCTATCGGCTGATTCATCTCCACGAATGCGCTGGCGAGAAGAGTGGTGGTTTCTTGCTAGTTAATATTGTGAAGCAGGTTACTTAACTAGCCAGAATATATCATGTTATCATGTTATCACCGAAGTATGTGCAATAGTCTTTCCAATTGTTAATCTTAATAGTATTAATGTATTGGGTACGGCAAATTGTGAGATGGAAAGCAAAGACGCCATTCAAACGAATACGCTAAGACCGTCAATTGTCTTTGGGCAGAGTTTGGGCATCATGTCGTACAGCGCATTTCCACATTAGGAGCATCAGGAACAAAAAGGTTACAGAAAGGGCACGTCAACATCTGACAAATGTGATAAGTCTTTCGGCATGTGTATCACAAGCTCATTTCGATCTCATTTCGACATGGCCAGAGACGACAGGGTACAGATTAGCGATCGTGATTGTGAGATGCCATTTATGCCAGTCAGCGTGCATATCTGATTCGAGGACGTTACACAGAAACAATGGCACGTTGGCATTTGGACTTTCCTCGATTTTCGATTTTCGAGACTGCATTGTGCAGAGCCGTGGACGCAGCAGCAGCAGTTTGACGAAAAACAAACAGTTTCGAGTCGAGGGTGTCTGAGTAAAGGCATAACGACCGAGCTTTGAGTAGATCATATCTTGTTTTAGCTAGGCGGTACCGTTGGCATCTAAAGTGGGTGCATCTGGAGGTCCTACTCCGTGTTTTATGCGATGTTGTGCTAGTGTCGTATATCACTTTAGAACCTGGAACCCATTTAATTATTAGCCGCATGATATGCATTGTACCGATGCCGCGCATGAGTATGATGAAACAGGGTTTAGTATGCCAGTTTCCCGAGGGGCGCCAAGGTAGATGTGCATATCGCGATCTGTTACTTCAGTGGGTTCTGGGTAGTCGCTTCATTTTGCTAGGTCGGCTATGTGATAACTTACTATAAGACTCCGACAAGCGAGAGAAAAGTAGCGATGATAGGTTAGATGGAGTATAATGGACCAAAGGGCGTTCAACAAAGATGATTGTTGGCAGTATATGGGTATGGGTAAGAACGTGGGGTGGCAGTCCGACCTTGGCCTTCGGGTCACATTAGCCTACATGTATGTACGGATAGTAGTTACGTTGGTGAACTAAAAAGATGCTTGCATGCTGCGTGCCATATCCCCCCCTCCCCACCGTGGGGCTCAGGTTCATATCATGTACGGAGTAGAAGATCGGTGAGAGTGACTGTAAAGGTTGAAATCACCACGGAGTATAATCATATCACCTTGAAGAGCTCAACATCAAGAGCGATCAATGTGCCAAGCGATATGCATCAGATTGATCAACATGGCTAGTGGGGACTAACAGATATGTCAAGTTGACCGGTAAATCCTCCGACAAAGTTGCCAAATATGATCACACGTCGTTTGAAGGATAATATGAGACGTCTACTCCGTACGGAGTACGGCTGTTCTTGGGATTCCTCACGAAGTACGAAGTAGTTGATTAGTTAGTTGGTGAATGACAAGTCTTGTAGTTCTTCATATTTCTTCAGACAGTTATTTGTCATTTGACAGATGGAAGGGTTCATGCATAACAGGGTGACAATATCTGCCCTGGGGACCAACGGGCTCTACACCGAAATGGCCAATGATCGGACCAGATCGTCAGTTTGAGAAGTGGAGGGGGATCCATGTTGAATACCATCAACCAATCACAGTAGAACACTAGACCCATCTTGGATCTATTATAGGGTTCAAGCGTTCTGGGGTTGATACGTCAACTCTTAAATGTCTGCTGAGAGTTGCAATCCTAGTCTCCCCCTCCCCCTTTTTTTCCCTTTTCCAAGTATCGGTGAATTGATGCAAGTTACCGAGGCTCAATTAAAGCATTTTTTTAGTCTCATCCTCTTGAATTGTTGATCATTTGAGCTTTAGGAAGCAAATATCAAAAAGAGGCCTCGGGAGGTACCGAGGAAGTTACTGTCATTGGCTTTAGTGGGCCAGTGGCGTATACAAAGAGGGTAGGGGGGTCGTGATGACTCTGTTTTTGGCTCATTTTTGGTGTTGATGTTCGTGCAGCAAAAGGCCAAGCCGTCAGGACGAACATCCATATCCTGTCACTGGCTGATATCATTGGGGGAGAAACAGAGAAGTGAGCTGAGTGGGAACTACCGAATGTGTCCTAAGTTTTTGATATTAATTTTGAGATCACAATTTTTTCTTTTTTCTTTTCTTTTTTCCTTTTTAATTTTTTTCTGATTCATTTCTTTGCCTTTGATTAGCCAGTGTAAACTAGATCTATTCCTCGCTTTCGCTCTCTTCCCTCGCTTTCCGGGTCTTATAAGGACCCCTCCTCATCCTATTCCCATGACTTTATCTCCAGACTTCAACCTAAGAGAAATCTAACGCTATTCTCGGATTTCGGCAAAGAACTCTATTCATACCCTTCTCTCTCCTTTCTTGACCCCAATTACCATGACTTCCTCCAAATGTGCCGCACCGGTGTGCTCAAACTCCTCTACCGCCACCAAGGTTCGTATTCCCATACTGCGTCATGAATGTGGTACTTCTACTACTTCTATCCAACCATACTAACTATCCCACAGATGCCAGGTGTGCGATGCCCCAATTGCCAAGCGCAGGGGAAAGAAGTATGGGTTATCCCAGGCAAGAATTGTCACATCTGTCACACGCCTTGTGCATGATAGGCCCGGGATCCTGTGTTGCACATCTCCCACAAAAGAGACCGTGTGCAGTCATGCGCACTCATGCTTTCCGGACGTGATCTGGTTCTTTCACATCATAACATCTCCCAATCATATGGAGACTTTTGAATCTCAAGAATCTCGAGAATGAATTCAATACATCCGACCACACGGCGGGAGGGCCTGCGAATATTCTGGAGATCGACACCCACACTGACTTGGCATTGGGTAAACCTCAGGCGAAAGGCAGAATAGGGTTCTACCGTGGTGTTTCTATCTCTGTTTCTGTTTCTCTTTTCTTTAGCGATTTTTAATCATGAGATACGACATTTTTGCTTTCCTTTCAGTCGATAGTGTTGCGAATATAATCAGGTGCTATCTTACCATCAGGCCAAGTACAACGCTTTATCGGATCAGGTAGGGGTATCACACACGTTAAATTGGGCTTGTTCAAGTACTTTTGTCTTGCATATACAATATGTGCATACAAAATAGTAGGTAAGTTCCATAGTCCCACGTGGGAGTTCTGAGATCAACCTGATCCTGTTTGTCAGGACTGGCAGCTAGTTACAGATAGTTAGTTTCCTCTCCCTCTTCTTCTTTTCCCCTTCTTCTTCAGCAGTTAGGGCTTACAATACAGTTGCATTGCGCTCTCTCTTCTCTTGGCTTCTCATTATGTTGTAGAGTTTCCAGACTCTATGACATCATTCACCCATACCTTACTATGTATTCCCTTACTATAGACACCCGTGGACAGAGTGCCAGGCGGGCATTCAGTAAGCCACTACATGGGTAGGTACTGATGTGGAGCTGAGTACATGCATCCATATGACTCGTATGCGTATGATGTGTTCTATCTCTTTTTTTTTTGGGAATTCCGGGGTAGGCAGATGGTTAAAAAAGGATGTAGCTCTTCAGAGTTAGTGGTATTCTATAACGCAATCTAGGCATTTTATGTGGTATTATAACAAAGTCAAGTCAAAACAAGGCCAACAAACCTCCAGGGCTATACTTACTCCTAGGCTCGTTCATAAAGCGGCAAGCGATAAGCCCCAAAACAGCAAGGAAAATGTTCCGGACTTGCCATTTATCCAGTACGTATACATCACCCTTCAACTTCAACTTTCATATTTCATTGCATCCACAAGAAACTGACACTGAAAATCATAATCCAACCCGTCATGACGGAGAAGTATCCCACCGGAACCCGCGCTGAGAGTGAGCGTCTCGTCCGCGAATGGGGGTTTCGACATATCTTCACCTGGACAGATGGAAAGTATGTACAGGGATGTTTTTTTCTTTTTTTTTTTTTTTTTTTTTTGGAGATGATATACCCAAAATGTGGAATACTGGATTTTGAATCACCGATAGCAAATCGGTCTCTCATGCCCGAGCGCATATATACCCATGCTGACCTTGCCCATCAGCAACGCCTATTATTCCCCGCACTCGCATAGCGGCCTGACAACACACCTTATCCGCCGTGGATCTCTAACAATCACTTACCCTGATGATAATGTGAAATTCTATAACGGGGAAGTTAAAAAAGAGACGTTTCGTGTTGGAGAGAGGGTTGATGTTCCTGCGGGAAAAGTTCATGAGGTTTGGATTGGGGATGAAGGGTGTGAATATGTGATTGGAGAGTAGGAAGTGTTGAACAATCTCTCATGTATGCATGTTTGCTACAGACTGGGCCTTTTGCTTATTATTTGCTATTTGCTAGTTTGTTTGCTACAATTGAGCAATGTTTAGATGGTTTTAGCAGGGTATAACTAGTTATAACCCCCTACATTTCTAGGTGAATCAATTGACAATTCTTCTCCTGTTCTCTTCCACACAGTGGTATTTACTACAACAGGTTATGAAGCCCTCTTTCTACCCCTGAATCATTTATTTTATCAATATCCATCAAGGATAGTGCTTCCTAGTATAGGCCTTGCTTTGGAACTCTTTTGCTGAACACTATATCTCACTTTTGGTTTATTTTTTGACTTCTTTGTCAAAATGACAACCCCCGAGAAGCGGGCTTTGCGACTATCTGACAACAACAACTGGCATGATGAAGAAGACATGCTGGTTAATGACCAAGCCGCCAGATGTTGGAACTTTTAATCTTTACAAAATTACCCCACCACTCTAAGAAAGACAGGATCATGACAAGTGGATCGACAAGGTTGAGAAGACCTTGGAGAGTCACAATTTGCATAATTTGATCAAAAGATCTATTCCCTGGCCGAACAGGAGAGATCCAAATAGTCAGAAGTGGAAGACTCTTTCCAAACAAGTGCGCACCTGGATGTCTAGTAGTATAGACAGCGACTTGATGGAAGAGATCAATGGACGTGAAACCCTATCACCTTTGCAGATGAACTTATGGAAGAGATTCGGGAGCATATGAAAGGTGAAAGCAGCAATGACAGCATTTAGAAAATCTCTCGAAAGAAATTTTCATCAAGTGATGAATTCATTGTTTCAATGAAAGCAACGTGTAAGACCCGCCTAGTAGACACGTAGATGCCTCAGGTTCCTTCCCTTTTTGGGTGACGGGCACCGTTTGCACTTTCCCCGTTTGTCTTCAGCCACTGGGAAGGTATAAATACCCCCTTCCCCCATTTCTCTCTCCTTTTGTTTCTTCCTTCTTCAACACCCCGGGTCCACATTGCACATCGTGGTTCCCGTTCTCCTGACTCTGGGTCCTGACTCTGGGTAAGTGCTGCGGTCCAGGTTAGTCTGCCAATAGATTGGGGCTTCGGCTCTAGTCTAGGCTACGCATGTCGACTTGTTCCTCTCGCGACCTCTGTGGATACAGACTGTAATCTCCTGGAGTCTCCGCTTCCTGTGAGCTCAAACCCTTTCTCCTGACTCCGGGCAAGTGCCGCGGTCTAGGTTAGTCTGCCAATAGATTGGGGCTTCGGCTCTAGTCTAGACACGAAACATGTCGACTTGTTCTACTCGCGACCTCTGTGGATACAGACTGTAATTTCCTGGAGTCTCCACTTCCTGTGAGCTCAAAACCGTGCTCTTTGAGCCAATTTTTGGAACCTATCGTACAGAGACAGCGCTCTGTTGCCTGAAGAATTCTCTGAGGGCATTCTCTTTTCTTGAAGGTTCCTTCTTTTACAGTCCCTTCGTGACTGCTGCACTCAGTGCTTGATGCTTTGTGGGCTCTGTCTAATTCATGTCAAGCTATCGTTCACTCCTGTCCCCTCCTTCTCCCCCTTCCCCTTCTCTTTGTCACGATTGACAATCGTTGGCTGATTTAAAGCCTGGAATTCCGCCTTATTATGCTCTTCAAACCATGTTGATAGAGCTAATGGAGGTGCCAGAACTAAACAGCCTTATAGTTGTGAAAGACAATGAGTTGAATGCAATCGAGAACCCAGTTACCATGATTACTATGATCGGTTTCCATCGATATAGTACGGCAATCCAGCCGAGCCCACAAAGGCCAGCTACCCCAGCTTCGAAATCAATGAAAAAGGGCGCCCTCGGAACGAGCGAAGGCTCATAACCTGACAGCGAGTCAGGAGAAGAGAGATCAGCAATGCAAATGGTATTCGTGCTAACTGCTGATGATCAACGTTGATGATGATGATGGATGAGAAGAAAAGGGGAAAAGAAGAAGAGAGGAGTCCTGACAAACAAGGTCATGTGATATGATCCCAACAGGAAGGATACCACTTTTGTTTCTACTCGATATATTTTGATCCATTTTTATTCCTTTGGAAATTCGTTGATGAATGTTTTGATGACATTAATGCCGAATGAGCTCAGCTCATTGTTTTGTTCTATTTGATGTTATTGAAGTCTAGTTTATGCCTCTATAATCTTATCATATATAACTATGCCAGACAATGTAGTCGTGTATCTAATGCAAAAATCGGAAATCAAGCCTGTAGCGCGGTCATTAGCATTCACTTTCACAGCAAAGGAGACAACTTCTAGACATACCTCTTGTTTCCAAGGTCTTTGTTCTCAACCACGTATCGCGATCGCTCTTCGCTCGACATTTTATCCCAAATAGCAGCATTTTGTCTAGAAGCAAATATTAGCAAATGCAATTTGACCGATCAGAGTGCACGGGTTGACATACTTGTTACGCCTCACATAGTAAATCTTAGCAGCGATGAATACTGCCATACTCCACACCGCAAGAGCCATAAGGACCCTATTACCGGTGTGATAATACGGCTTATCTTCGGCGCGGTAGATCTGAACGTGATGGTTAGTTATGATAGCTTGAGCACATAAGGGAACCGAAACCAAGACTAACGTTGTTACCAATGATGCTACTGGCCTGCACCGTCATGTTGTAGACAGCAGTAGCAACCGTTCGCGTCCTCACAGAGCCTGCATTGCGGGATGTAATTGCGACAACAATAGCGTGCACGTAAGGCATACCAATCAACATAATCAGCAGAACCCAACGAACCCAAGGACTGGCACTCTCAGAGATAGTCTCCAACGCGATCAACAGGACCAGAGCCCAAAGCTCAGCACCGACACCAAGCAGAAGTCGCTGATTAAAGCGCTCTGATATCCAAGTCCACAACAGCAGATTCACAATGAAGATCACATACGCCGGGATGGTGAGCAGGTTCGTGTTGAAAGTGCTGAAACCGAGCGACTTCAGTTCCAGACTGATGTACGACGTAGCTGGTGTATTGGGGATCATCCACGTCAGACCGAGTAGGTAGATGAGCCACATGTCGTAGTCCTTCAGGGCCTGCCAGAGGAGCTTGGGAGTAACGGCCTGGCGATTGTGCATGGATCCCTTGCTAGGGTCATCGCGGAGTACACGATTAACCATGATTTTCTCCTCGTGTTCATTGAACCAACCGTTCTTCCCGCGGAACCGGCCGGCGGTTTGCGTTGGTGAAGGTGGCATCCAGAACGCAGCGGCGATACCGATCAACCCGGTAATCAAACCCTCCAGGGCAAACAGGTATCGCCAGCCACCTGTGCCATCTGATTGTCGAATGTGGAGGAAGCCGAAAGCAAGGAAAGCACTGACAATTGCGGTTGCTTCATATGTCATCCAGAAGAAGCTGAGCCGGATAGGCAACTCCTTGGATTTGTACCAGAATGACAGGAAGAGGATGGTGTCTGGAATAAAGCCACCCTCGAGAAGACCGAGCATAGCGCGGGTCGCGAAGAATCCGCTCTTGTTTTGGATAAATGCCTGGCACGACGCGATGATACTCCAGCTTATCATTTGCACGGGAATCCAGCGATCGGGACCGACCCATTTCGATATGAGCTGGGAGGGCAGCTCGGCGAAGAGGAATGTTAGATAGAAGATCGTTTGGCCAGTGTTGTAGTCGTTTGTGCTCATGCCGAGGTCGTCTAGCATATTGTCTGATGTGGCTTGGACGACATTTCCACGGTCGAGCTGGAGCGCAAAGAAAGTCACACAGGCAAATGTGCAAATTCGCCAGTCAATCTGTTAAACAGGTCAGTTATTATGTACACAATGCACGCGGGCTTGAGTAGCTTATACCTTTCTAACAACGGCTGTCTCTTCTTGCTCTGTCCACTCAAAGTCCGGGTCCCAGCGATGGGCACCCTCATATTCAGAAATGGGCTTGTAGAACCGCGGGTCCTCCGTGGTATCGAAAGCGCAGTCGGTCTGCTTGGCGCGAGGACCGTCATACGTCGACGAAGACGAAGACTCTGCGGATGAGACTCTCGGGGCACCCTTAGAGTCACGGCCCTCGGCATCGGAGGCCGTTGCCTTGGCTTCTTTAACCGTCATCTCGCAGTATCGGGATTGGGACTTAGACTACGGATGGGAAAAAAGAAGCATTACTTGGTTGGATGGACATCAAGCCCTATAAAGACAGCAAGGGGACATGAACATTTACTTATCACGCCATATTTAGCATATGTCTCGCGTTGGCCGCTCTACGTGTGGGCCCTCCGAGACGGTAGAACTGACAACGTTGATAACGGAAAGGTTTGCAATTGCCGAAGTGTGATATGCGTGGGTGATTTAGAGTCCCCAATTGCGAGCTGGTAGGTTGACTTAGGGAGGCCTAGGCTCAAAGTGGAAGCGCTTTCTGCGGGATCGTGGATATTGTAGATCGGAATGTGTCCGGATATAAGAGATTTCAAGCAATTAGGGATAAATATACAAAAGTAGACAGAGAGCCGACGAATGTTGTGTATGTAGTTGGGTGTTGGCTTGGCCGAATCACGCAAGTATAGTGGAAGTGACGTTAGGAGTCCACGACTCCACGAGTCGGCAGAGCCAAATCAAGCAGGGATGTTTCGCTGGCTCCAACTTGTTTCATGAAGATCTACATGATATACTCCATAAAAGTTGTATGAGTATGGAGTTGTCTATACTATATTAGCTAGATTAGTTATATTGACATACGTGGAGTGTGTCTTAGCATCTATTCAATAAAACATTAACTACGGAGTATATGATATATGATATGTTATTGAACATGATATAGATTGTGTTTGAATGAAATGCGAAAAAAAAACAAGAAAATATCACGCCATAGTGGCCCCAATGGCATATCCCATCGATGTCGAGTCTACGAATGAATTTGACTCTTTTCAAATCACGGCGATTGTCAGAAGACGCACGCCATTCTTCTATCACGCCATTTTCAGTATAATATGCTAAGACGCTGATATCGAATACTACAACAAATACTCCGTATGCTTGTATACGAAGTACCTTCCTCGCGTAACCCCGCAGGCTCGTCGGCTCGCGATGATAACGGAAAGTTGATGCTGAATTGCCATTCCACAACCGTAAACCCCCGCAATGATGGCGTAATTCGTGTTGTCTCGGTTTGATCGTGCCGAGATGGATTATATATTGGCAGGAGTTAATCCTCCACACGAAGATACGGAGAGACAGATCTGCTCACTTTTAAAATTCAATCCTAAAACATGGCCCCCTCCCTCACTGAATCAGTAGGCCTTCGGGCCCCGCCTGTTACGCTTCCGCTGAAGTCGGATGGTGGCTACAACAAGGAGAACTTGATAGGATACAAGATCGAAAAGGAGCGTGAGATTAAGGGCACAGACAAGCTACCTCCTGTATCATATCCGGAATATCTGCCCGTTTGGGATAATGAGACAGAAAGGTATACCTCTACCCGAGCCCTAATGCCGCCCCGCATCCCCATGAATATCATACCTAATAGACGTCTAGATACCCTCCTCTTGAGCTCTTTGAGCATTATGACCACGGCAAGGATGCCGACGCCGCTTTCCCAGACCTGTTTCCCAAGGACCAAGTCGAGGTTGACCATGTCACTCCCTTCATTGGCTCTGAGATCCACGGCGTGCAACTAAGCCAACTGTCCGACAAGGGCAAGGATCAATTGGCCCTCTATGTTGCACAGCGACGAGTTGTCGGTGTGTAATCGGAAGCATTTCTCCGATCTCCATCGCTCTTATAAGCACAAGTCTAACAAGTCTAAACAGCCTTCCGCGACCAAGACTTCGCATCCCGCCCGATCCAAGAGGTTGTCGACTATGCTGGATACTTTGGCCGACACCACATCCACCAGACCTCGGGGGCCCCCAAGGGGTTCCCAGAGATTCACCTTGTCTTCCGCGGTGCTGACGACCGCACCGGTGATACCTTCCTGAAGCAACGCACCAATACTATTACATGGCACTCGGATGTCACCTTCGAGAAGCAGCCCCCCGGCACAACTTTCTTGTATGTGCTCGACGGCCCCACCACAGGTGGTGACACCCTGTTCGCCGACATGGTCCAGGCATACAAGCGCCTGTCGCCTGGCTTCCGGGAGCGACTCCACGGATTGAAGGCTGTACACTCCGGCCTCGAGCAGATTAATGCTAGTTTGAATGGCGGTGGTATTGCCCGTCGTGATCCTGTTACCTCGGAGCACCCCATTGTCCGAACTCACCCGGTAACTGGCGAGAAGGCACTTTACGTGAACCCTCAGTGTAAGTCTGCATCAACACATTTGGATAAGAGATTTGTAAAGCTGACATGTCTTGTTCTTGTCGCATAGTCACCCGGTACATTGTTGGATACAAGAAAGAGGAATCAGACCACCTCCTCAAGTTCCTATACGATCACATCGCCTTGTCGCAGGACCTGCAGGCTCGTATTCGCTGGAAGGCTGATACCGTCGTTGTCTGGGATGTAAGTTATAGCATCAACCTGTTCTTTCTTCAAAGAGAACAGATGCTAACCTTCGCAGAACCGTGTCGCATGTCACTCTGCCGTTTTCGACTGGGAGGATGGCCAGCGCCGACACATCGCTCGTCTCACACCCCAGGCTGAGCCTCCCTATGAGACACCTTTTGATGGTTAGATGGGGCACTGGAAGCCTTCGAATTTAAATAACACATAGCTACGATAATCTCAAGCCCGAATTGAGAAGAAATGAATAACAAGGAATAATTTGGTTGTCATGTCTGCATTATTAGCGTATCCTGCATCTACCATAGGCTTTCGTAATTTGTGTCATACAAAAAGCCCAACAACTCATGCCTTCTGACGCCTGAAACAACTCAAAAGTCCAACATTCCACTCATTAAACCTCCTAGCAGAGAGTGGGAGCATCTCATTACTCCCAGTCAACGCTTGCGACATTGTTTCAAATATCATAGATGGCAATTCCAACTCTTCCACCGACAAGGGCGATGGATTCCCAATTTCCGGATGGAGCAATTCGTCCACATCTGGAGACTTTTGGTAGAATATTTTCATCGCTTGCTGAGCCATGATACTACGGCCTGCGCTAGAATTCGAGTATCGCATATCGGGATTGAAGACCCAAAGCTGCCAAGTACAAGATTCGTTAGCCGGTCTCGTCTATAGGTTTTGCTCTCCATAATGCCTCAAATTCGGAGGAAACTTGAGTGGAATGACATATCACTTACCACGAGACCACTCTTCTGACCACAATGGACGACGAATCGCCGGGCGCTTTCTCTCTCGATCAATTCAAGTAACTGTGCAGCAACGATCGTTTCTGTTGGGTGGACCTCCCACTTTTCGAGGTCTGCTTCATGGCTGAGTGAACTGGTATTCAGGGATACGTTGGCCTTCAGCAGTCGCCATCCCTTGGCGATTGGATCTTCCATGCCAATTATGGAATTGCAGTTTGCGCAGTCGAGGGTTCGTGGTGTTGAGACTTCAATGTTTGTTTTTTGCTCTTCGTCATTGCCCTGAATTGCATTGCTTGTCAGGAATTGTAATCGTAACGTGATTGTAATTATTGCGTCGCATAAAAGACTTGGAAGTGAAGAGAAAGGCATTGTATTCAATCTCGCAGTTATATAGATATTGCACACATCACATCACGCAAGAAGAATAATATAATGTAACCCTTGTAATCACGCCCGCTCCACTGCTCAAGTAGCCGGCGCTGAAAATAGAGAACACCTTGGGTGGCAAAACAAGGAAAAAGCAGCTCACACAGGTCCAGTATCGCAAACGCAAAGAGCGAAATCCATCTGCAGAGAGAGGATAACTACCCCTCTTGTCCGTGATCCTGTTCCTGTGAGAGGACCACCTTCTCTTTGGATTGCTAGTACACAAAGTGCATGTCGTCCATCTTGGGCAATTGTATCGGAGGCCACCCCACTGAAGACTGAGTGGCCCCCTTCTAAGTTGCCCGGGTCCAATGGGATAAAAATCAGGCTGAAACAATGGGGTAGAAGAGAGGGATGTAATAATCATACCTTTTTCAATCCTGTGCAGTCTGTTTCAGTGAGAAGGAAAGTCGCAACATCAACAAAAACCGTCCCTGAAATAGCCACAACGTGGCTGTCCGCACCATATCCTTTTGTCTGTGCAGTTTGTTCCTCGATCTCGAGCGCGGTGTCTTTCTCGTCTTTCTCGTGGCCTTCATGGGGGTCAGGTTTGTGGCAATGCCAGAAATCCATCATTTCAGCCCAGTTCCCACTGGGAAGGTCTTTCCAGATCCACCCCACGGTAGGGCTTTCGCCTGATCCCCGATCAACTGACTTGGATATTAACGAGGAGTCAAGAAATACTTGTGCACACTCTCGACAACGAATACGAGTGGAGGATGACATTTCATCCGCTGTCCATGGTGAAAATTCATCGATTAGTTCATCGCGAGGCGCCAGCGCCTCTTCGTCGGGATCAACCTGCATGCGAAAAGAAAAATCATAGCTGGAATCCCCAGTGCCATTGGGATCTGATTTTGGTGCTGGTCCAGAGGGTGTTTTCAACACGCGCCGAGACGCGTCATTGACGCGTGCTGGCAGTTTGATCGTTTCTGTGACATATTCAAATGGATTTGATAGGGAGACTGTGACTGCTTTTCTTGATTCTGAAAGTTGGATATCTGGTCGGATTCCATCAAATCTTGCCGTCCCGGGAAGGGACACGTAAAGGGTTATCTGGCGGATGTTCGGTAGAAACTCTGCGTGTAGGTAGAGGGGTACATCGGGATCCTGCATTGTGGAAGTCGTGTACACGAATTTGTCCCAGGCAGGGCTGGTGGTCGATGCCTGGCAGTGTTTGGTGCTCCTAGGCTAGAAAGATAAGGGGAAAGAGAGTGAGTAACCGGAGCAAATATTTAGCAATCATGTAGAACTGAGAATTCTGACTGTCTAAGGCCATGAGAAACATGTCGCGCTTAAAGGAAATTAGTTGATGCCAGTGGTGATCTCGGCCCCAGGGTCCGCGTTTCTCACATGCAAACAATGCAAACACCGATCACGTAAATCTTTACTTCCCTCCCAAGGTCGTAATGCAACAACAGCGATCAATCAACATATGTTGTTTGATTATTCATTAAATCGTATATAAATTTGAGCTGAGTGGAGTGAAAAACCAGCGAACAAAGCCTACAGCTCATATCCGACAAAATTACCTCGCCAACGCTTGAACTCGGTCACAAATCGCACAGCAGCCTTCAAGAAGAAGCTATCAGAATCGCCCCAAGTGGAAGCCAGTTCCTTCAGTGCTCGGGTGGTCTTTACAAAGTACACATTGGTCGAGAATTCACCATTGATGGCTTTCCCAGCAACCCATTCCCAGTCCTTTCCGTTCAGATCATAATTCCGGATTTGGTCCATTTTGATCTCAGGCCGCAGTTGCGCGACGTAGATGCCAACGCAAACTAACCACCATTGTCGAAGAAGAGAAATTTGGAACTGGGGGGGTATGAAAGGCAACATGACGCGGACAGCGTGGCTGGTTGCGAGGTTCAAAGCGAAGAACAAGTCGTAATGCCCGGTCGAATCGACTGCAGTTGTTCCAACTAGCAAGGCAGCTGCAAGCTCTTGGCTCTCGCGGAACTGTTCAATTGGATTGTCGATCTTCCATGCCTTCCAGTGGTTGAGAAGCACGGCGTTCCGGCTGACGAAAAGGGTATCGAGGTTGTCGCTGCCGGGAGTAGGAAAGAGGCCATCTAAGTCCTTATCTTCCCGGACCAGGTCAATAATTGCAAAGATTGACTTTGATTCATACGACGCCTCATTTTTCGAGTGATTGGGGTCCTCCAAGGACTTGTATATGTCATTATGGCAGGTTGCTGCAAGTCCGAGTGCTTCCATTGCGATCTCACGACTGTCCATTTCAAAGGCGTACGCAAAATGGATCAATGGCAATCCGACTAGACAGGTGGTTAGCATGTACAAAGTCAAGTCTAGCCTTCTCGGTGAGCATTGAAACGTACGAGAAGCCATTATAGAATCAAACATGGGCTCCTTGCCGGTAAACAGGTACTCAGCCACGACTTCCTTCCAGTCATAGCTGAGGTGGACCATTTCATCTTCAAAGAAATCCACGAACGCTCGATCAAATCTGCATGGTGTTAACGAAGAGTCCCAAGCGGAAGAAAGGCCGAAACAAGTCAGGCAACCCACCCTCGACACCCCAGGTGGCCTCGCCAGTCAAGAGTAGTGATTTCAGCCGGTGATCCCTTCCATTTAACTAGATCAGATACTTCCTCCTCATATATGCGGCCTAAAGTATCGGCGTCTGCGCCTTGCAGAAAGGAGGAGCTCAAGAGCTGCAAGCAGGTCAATGACACGGACCAATGGAAAGGAATGCATACATAGAAAGCCCTTGCTACAAAAGGCAATGCATATCACTCACGTGTATTAACTGATTAGGGAAGTTCCGACAATCAAACAGCGAGTTCTCGACATGGTTCAATTTCAGTAGGTGCTTGAATGCCCGGGCTGGCTTGTCTTGAGCTGTCTCAGTTTCATGAACGTTGACGGGGGCAGATCGATCGCCAGGGTGGGCGAGGATGAAAACAAGCTAAGCGATGGTAATGATGGCCACCGAACAGTGAACATCGTGACGATGAATGAGGTCTGTGTGTAGTTGTTTGGATGGGATTGTTGGGGAATCGTCACGTGAAGAAGAAGTTGATATCCATGGATGACGTAGGAAACTTTGGGTTATCAATCTAGTCACATGACAGCCAAATAAATCCCAACGTTCCATCGGGCGGCTTGCTCCAAAAAATATACGATATTTCAGTATTATCAGTATCGTTCAGAAGTACTACTGATTATCACATTTTAGATATGGACACTTTTATCATTCCAAGGTTTCGAGAGATAACGGCCTGGCTTGCGAGGTATTCTATTTTGAAAGCCTAGATCTTGCACCATCAGGTTACAATATGTAACACATCCTGGCGATCTGGATAACTATTTAATCCTTATGTTGTTCAACAACTGGAATCGGCTGCTCTGGCTGAGCACCAACCTCTCCATTGAAGACTTCCACCGATATACGGGGACCGACGAAATTCTTGCGTCCATCTACAAACCACTGGATGACAGAAATGATAAAGACAATACCAAATGCCGCAACACAGTAATCTGTCATGTCGAATTAGCTTTGTGCTTCTGCATCATCAAAAGAGAGAGAGCCAACTCACTCATGTTGCTACCAGTGGCAGGGAGCTCAGGGGGAAGAGAAAGAGGATAGTAGTCAGGGCAATGTACGCCAACGAGATCTGAGAAGTTTTGAGTCAGTAACAATTTCGATGAAACCCTAGGGGAGGATGTCATACAAGGTTGACGGTCCAGCCAACGATTTCTGGCAGGACGAATGAGCGCTCAGGTAGCATCGTTCTTCCTCGACAGCAGTTCACTGCAATTGGTATTCCATATGAGATGCCGAGCAGCACCACTGATGCTGAGACAATAGCATTGAAAGCGCTTTGGGGATGTTAGCAAGATCCAGTATAGAACGTTATGCGCATGCTTACCTGGATGAGCCCAAGAAGATACACCCGAAGATAGTGATGAGACCAAGATTGAGATATAGCGAGTTCAAGGGGACATTCAGCTTGGGGTGAACGCGAGAGAAGAAGGGAGACGCAGGGAGACCACCATCACTATAAGTAGTATCAGCATAATGGCTAATTTTGAAGATCAAATGCCCATAATAACGTACCGCGCGAAGGCATAGATCATACGACTGCTAGTGGTCATAATAGCGATTGCAGCGAACTGAGCGCAGACTAGGGGGAAGCTTGAAAGGGTGTCAGTACAACAAGAAAGCGACGGAATAGCAGTGAGGCCTACATCAAGAGACAGATAGCGCCGGCATTGTTCGAAGTGGCATTCGTCATGATTGCAAGGAGCGGAGTTGCCGCTGACTCAATAATTTTGTTGATATCACCAGCCACAAAGAGCAGTACAATAAGGAAGACTGATCCAGTGAAAGTACCGATAAGGACACAAGCAATCATGATCTTGGGTCCCTCAACCGAAGGGTTGGGAATTTCTGTAGTCCATTAGCCTCAGATTCATGATTAAGGTGCAAACTTCTGGAAGCTACCTTCAATCATGTGGGCGACACCATCAAAGCCAGTAACACCAAGTCCGCCTTGAAGAAGCTATGAATATGTTAGATATGCTCATGAACTTTCGTATCAAACGACATACCCCAAGCAACCACGCAATTCCATCAGGCCCTACAAGAGTCAGTTCAAGAACATAGATAATGATAGGAGAAACTTACATCCTGTTTCATTGATGAAATCACTGAAGACGAACCTGTTCTCTCTGTCAGTCATTTGGCGTTTAGGGAAGTGTCAACCAGGTAAAACATACTTTCCGGAGTTATAATTTGGCGAGGCACACGAAAGTACGGTGATGCAAATGATGGTAAATCCTGTCAGGGACCAGAGGACTGTGGGAATTAGTAGAAAATCCCCGACAGCTCGATATAGGGTATCTCACAAGCTCCCTTGGTGACATAAGGCATAAGGTTGTTCATAAAGGCGTTGATGAGGAAGGCAATGATGTTGTAGCCGCAGTATATTAGGAATTGGTGCCAGCGCTGGGGGTTATAGCCCTGGATGTGAAAGTCAGTCAGATATATCATCAATATTGTAGCCTAGAATAACTCACCGGGTTCATAAGAGAGATCGCACCCTGGATGAGCTGACTGCCCAAGAGACCAGCAGTGGCGACCAGCGCAACCCAACCAGAGCAGTTGATCCAACCCGTAATCCAGGAAAGAATTGGCATCCATTTTCTCCATGAAGTTACAGCGACCCAATGGTATTGGCCTCCTGCAGTAGGGTATGCAGAAAGAAACTCGGCTAGGGAAGTGGCCATGCACAAATTACAGATTCCTGCTGTAATAAGACCTATTGGGAGTCGTGTCAGCTCTATATTTTGACAGAAAGCCGAGCGGATACATACCCCAGACAACACTTGCGCTGCCTCCCGAGGACAAACTGAGTCCCAAACTTGCCGACAACGCGGTCCATGACTGTCCAGCGTTAATTGTTGATTCTTATGGAATTGTGTATACTGCCGGTCGCGTCACATACATTTAGAATGGCAAAAGCAAGACCCAGCATGGAACTTAAGAAGGAACACACAGGTTAGCACAATCCAGGAAGTTGTGTTCAATTGTAGGACATACATCATGGAGAAATTTCGCTTCAGCTCAGACTTATGACCCAGCTGGGCCAGCTGAGCATCATCGCTATTGTATTCGGCTTTGTCCATGGTAAGTATTATGTACCACGTACAACAAGTGATGAAAAGGGAAAAGAAAAGATAAGGTCAGACAAGGAGGAACAGGGATCTTAAGCAGGCCCCCGAATGAAATGACATGACCAGTTTTCGAATATCAATTCTACGCCCAATCTTCCCTTCTGTACTACCGTTGGCTCCCCGCGGGGAAATTAGACCGAGTACAATACACGGAGTAGCGTTAGGTAAAGGATTTGGGGTATGGAACCTTGGGTGTCCAGAAGAAGATAACCGACCGTGTCTGTGACTGGCCCGGCGGACCGAGAACGGCCATTTCAGCCAGTTACAAGCTGCAAGCTGATCGGGCCCGTCTAAGGCTGGATTGTCCCGGTCCGACGATCCATGGCTTGCGGCGGCAGCCCCAGTGCTTGTGCCCTTATCGACGTATGATTGGTTAGTTTTGGACCCACAAGTCTGACTAGCGGGAATGAAGGTTACTGGGGGAAGTGGACGATCTTTGGGGACGGATGAATGGCGAAAATATATTGTGGGATGTGCATGATAAATCAAGGTATATATTGCTTCCAAGGGCTTGGCTACCATCATTGGCTTTACTTGTTGTTGTAGGCTACGGTATTTGCCCCTGTTTGAGGAATTAAGCCAAGATGCCAAGGGAAACGAATTTATGTGGAGCGGTGGGCCGTAACCCTTCGAAGGTTATCTGTAGAGACAAATACTCCTATGTAAGAAGATATCTCTTTCACCGGGTGGATTCCAATGCTCTTTCTTATCCGCCACATATTAAATCGTCTATCAGTACCCTTGGAGGGAAAGTGCGGTTCCAAATTTGGCTTTGGTCTGCGTATCAGCCATTATGCCTGGGTATCTATAGATGTTTTGCTCTTCAGAATACGCACTGTTCTCTAAAAGTATTTTAGAATCACTCCACCCACAATGTGAAACATAGATATCATGCCAGTCCTTTTTTGGGGCGGGGAAGTTGCCGCTAGAGAAAAGGAAAGAAAGGGAAGATAACGAAATTGACATTGAGAATCAGGGTACATAAAACAAAGGAAAGCAACTTTGCTTTCTTTCAGTATCGTAGGATGTGCAAAGCACACATGTGCATAAATTGCCCATCCTCAAACCATATCTTGACATCATCCATGGAAATTTCAAACTCAAAATTCCCAACCTTTCCTTGTTCAAACAGCACCTAGGCAGGGCAGGTCATGGCTTGCTTCAGTAAGCACATGTAAATTAGGTAATACAAGAGCCCCTCCAGTTTGACAGATATGACTACTCATCCTGTCCCTCAGCATGCAGCAGGAACCAAGCCCCAATGCACTCGTTTCGAATATGCTCAATCATATCGGCTTCGGTCCACACAGTAAAAGCGCGACGGAAGATTGCAAACGATCGCTGAAACTTGTCAAGGGCGGGGTCAAGCCTCATCATCTTCATGTAGCTGTCGGACATTGATCCCGTCCTGGGGTGCGTGAGCATGGCAGTGCAACCACGGCACGAGTACATAAGCTTGCGCGTATTGCCTCGATTGACGACAGGAACCCGACAGGAAACTGCGTGGTGGTGAGCATTCTGATGATAGTTTCCCATTGAGATGAGCAAACGCAGTTTGACGGGGATGGGTGAATCCAGGGGAGCAGCGCGATAAACGTCATGCGGGTTTTCCACCTCAAATTCTTCGTCATCATCATCCTCATCGGAAGTTTCTTCTTCTCCATCAATATTGAACGGGGTGCCCTCCACAGCACGCTTAATACCCTTGCGGGTGCCGTACATCTCCAGGGCTTTGGTCAGCGCCAATTTGACAGGAATAACCCAAGCGCCAAGATCGCCCAAATCAAAGCCATTCTTGCTCAGCTGCGGCAGATACACGGTTTGGGTATTGATGAGATCGGTTAAGTCAAGGCCAAAGATCATGGCTGCCTGTCCGACGGGGAGACACCAGTATGAGTGGTCTTCGTGCAAGCAAGGGTGGCAGATACGCTCCATTGTAGGTAGGTAGAGTTGAACGGACGACGCGCCGCATACCACGCACTTTTCACCTATGATTGCCTCTTTAAGATCATGAATGGACCAGTTCTCATGGATCTGAGACTTTTTGAGAATCTTCGGCATGCCGGGGGCCCACTTTCTCAGAAATGCAACCGGGCTTTCCTGCACAAGCTGATTGGCGATGCGGTTGACGTATGACAGACTTATGGCACTAGGCAAATCCAATTTGTTGATAATCATGTCGAGGATTTCGTTCGGGAGATGTTTCATATCCCCCAAGTCCTCCGTGGCCTTCCCCTTGGGTCTGATATGCTCCGGCACAGGCCGCAGCTCGAGATCAACGATTCCAGTTTCCAGGGTACGGGGGCTCTTGGCAATGATTCTGAGCACCTTGGCCGGCTCCCAGTTGATAGCAAAATCATGCCCCAAGGTCAACTGCTCCGGGTCCAGCGTGAGATTCATTGTGGCGAGACGGTGTATAACCCGCAGGAATATGAGATTGGATGTGTTGGAGAGAACGCACTACGAGAAACCTCCGGTTGGAGAAACTCGTGAAAAACGCGTGTGGTCAACGAATGGAAGAACACTATCAGTGTCGTGTCAGTGGATGATGTGATAAACACTCTACGTGGATGAGAACTCAAACCTGATAAACACAACCCCTTGTTGAGAAGGGTGGGAAATAAATAGATGAAAAGATATTGAGAAGGAAGGAATATGGGAAGAGAAAGGAGGAGGAGAAGTGAGGGAAAAGAAGTAGGAGAGGAGAAAGAGACACAACCCCCAATTTATGGAGGGACGTGAATCGGAAAGCGCGGGACTGAGGCCTGGCGTAGCAAACGCGATATCAGCCAGGCTGGAAGTGATACTTTGCTATATTTATTCATGATACACTACTACATTGTTTGGAGGCGAGGCTTTCAGTGAGGTCGTGGTCGTGGACAAGGCTCAGTTAGAGGTCATCCTGCACCATCAGGCCTTTCATGTGCGCTCTCACTCTAATCTGCTTGGGTAAATTCGGAGTGAGTGCATGAGCGTCAACATACAATGGTTTCTAGGATGGTGCAGCTTGGTCTGGAGCCCATTACAAATAGGGGGATGAGCCCTTGAAGTTACAATATACGACAATGAGGAGGTGGTCGAGGTGCTCTGCAACGATGTCACGATCCCCATTGGAGATTCCACCTTGAACGCGCTTCTTGGGAAAGAAATGTATGGAATGAGTCCGAGATAGTCTGGGTAACTCTGTCCAATTGCGAAGAGAAATTCTTAATATGAACATATTCTGGTACACGCAATTGTTTTTGTTTCGACAGACGATAAGAAGGACCCGTGGACGAGGGTGATGATGACTGCAACAGTAACAAGGAGGATGTCATGGGTAATTAGGTAGGTTAAGTCCTCCTAGGTAAGCTTTAAAATGCCTAGAAACACCCATGGTACTGTCTGTAGACGCGCGGGTAATGGTGGCTCTATCCATGGATATCAATGGCTAACCTTAATTTAAAGTCCAACTGTGGCGTCGTGACTGGCAACGACCTTCGGATACTGTGATCGCAAAGGAACTTAGAATAGCAATACGATACCCTTGCCAATCTGATACAATCAAAAAGAGTCGTGCGTTGAAACATCTCGGGATTTCATCTAGTCTAGCATCGCAGCGTTGGCCTACGTGCGCTCATCGTGACGGGCTAGGGTGGTAATAGCAGAGAAAAGAAGTAGACTTGTACACAGAAACAATAGTTAGGTATATCAAATCAGCATAGTAGATACAAAGGCCGTCTGGTCGACCAGCTGAACAGTGCCGGCACGTTAAAATATACGGACAGTGCCAGACTTTCTATTCAACCTCCTCCATGGGGTTCATCAAGTGATCAGTCCGAACGACGAAATCATCCTCGTCTTCATCATCTTGGGCACTGGCACTATTTGCCATGTCCTCATCGTCGCCGTCAACAGATCCATCAGATTCCGCACCGGTGCGGGACTTTCCCTTCTTGCTGACGCTCCTTCCTTTGCCTTTGCTGCTGGTTGTTGACTGGCCGCTGGCACTGCGGACAACGTTGCCTGGCCATTTGGTCATGCCTTTGATACGACCGGGAAGACTCTCGGTTGTATTACTGTCACCATTCGTGGCCGGTGCCTCTTCTGGTATGGCCGAGCCGCCCTGGTTAAATGCCTCCATTGCCTCCGCTATTGTCTGTGGCGCGGCAGCGGTGGAGTCTTGCTTTGACTTGTCCACTGCTTCGAAGGTTTGACGGATGCGCTCGAAATGTTCAAGTTCCTTGGCACTGCGAGGGGTTAGGATCATGGTATATCACCAAGAGGAGACAAGAGGTAGGGTAGGATGGGGAATGGAGTGAACACGTACCTAACACTTGGCACAAGCTCTCCTTGAGCAGACAGGAAATCTCCCTCTGTTACCATCACATTCACATCTTCCTTCGTGGCGAGATGGTCAAAGAACCAAGCAGTGCTGACTGGACCATTTGGCAGAGACTTGATTTTCTCATCGACCGCGGTGGCCTTTCGGGTGATAGCTTTTAGCATGGCATCAGAACAGAGTGCATACAGATCAGCACCAGTATAAGTCAAAGGAAGCTGTTCCGCAACGCGGTCAAGTGAGACATCGGGTTGGAGAGCGAACTTCCGCGTCAAAGCCTCAAGGATAGTGGACTGCTTCCTATGTGTATCTGACACGCCCAGGTAGAGCATCTTGTCGAAGCGACCGGGGCGGAGGAGCGCAGTGTCAAGCAGATCGGGACGGTTAGTCGCACCAATGACGAACACTCCACCGCTATTCTCCTCGCCGCCGTTCATTCCATCCAGCTCTGCGAGCAGCTGACTGACGATACGGTCCATAACACCACCGCTGTCTCCCTGGTTACCACGCTTGGGCGCAACGGAATCCAACTCATCAAAGAACACAACGCAGGGACGAGCATCCCGAGCGCGTTGGAATACTCGACGCACGTTTGCCTCGGATTCACCAATATACATATTAAGCAATTCAGGGCCCTTTACGGAGAAGAAGTTAAGAGAGAACTCAGTGGCAATGGCCTTTGCGAGGAGGGTCTTTCCGGTGCCGGGCGGGCCATAGAACAAGATACCACTGCGCTTCTTCATTCCCTTGGCGAAGAGCTCGGGTCGTTCGAGCGGCAGCTGAATGGTCTCGACCAAGGCATCCTTAACGTTAGTCAACCCACCAACATCATCCCAGCCAACGTTTGGAATCTTAGGTGCGCCGATTGAATCGGCAAAGTTCTTCCGCGCAGCTTCTACAGCGGCGTCAAAGTCTGCCTTGGTGACACCTCGTGCACCGTCGCCTCCTGCCAGCAGGACGTCTCTGACAAAGACTTCTGATCCGGAAAGCTTCTTGCTAGCCTCGGCCAGACTTTCGAGGCGAGCTGTTCTCGCCCCGGCAGCCCGTTCCACAACGTCAACCAAATCTCCTGCAACAAGAGCTGCGGTCTTCAGAGCAATGGTGCCCAGTTCCACGTCCGCGGACAGTCTGATACTGCGCTCTGCGACGGCATTTCGCAGAATGCCTTCGCGCTCTTTCTCCTCCGGGGCACCCATCTCAAACTCATGGGTGATAAGGCTGCGGATACCTTCGGGGATGGTTTCAACATCAGTGGTAGTCGCAATGACAACTCTGGCATCGTTCAAGACATCACTCATTGCTGTGACAATGCGATCGGCGGTTAAAACTTCGATATGCCTAATCAGCAATGCGGTGCAGTTTGCTCCGCAGTGGAAAGCCCGTTCTGCTCGGGCTTTGAGATATGCTTCGGTCTTGACATCGCCACCATTCGCGCCGCCTTCTGTCAAGATATCGTACGCATCGATGGGAAATGTGTGCAGGCCGATGTCTGAGCACGCTCGAGTTGCAATGGTTGCCTTGCCTATATGCCTTTGCTGGGATCTAAGGAGAATGAAGACAGGCTTCATGCCTAGCTGAATAGCCCGCGGGCTTGTGGCAGCAGACATCAGATCACGGATTCGCTGCTGCAATGATGGTATAAAGGACTGAGGTGGATCAGCAACAATGCCATGAGCCGTCGGGACATCATGGACGCTCTTTGGGATCGTCTTGACGCCCAGCCAATACTCCCACCCATTGCCCAACACGCCAGGAACTCGGCTCACATCGCTTCCAGCCTGTACCATGCGCGTAGTCGCCGGGTCTAGTACAGCAACTCCGCCCCACTGATCTTCGCCTGTCTCCTCCATCTCCTCTACAGTAGTCGGGGCTACCTGTCCGACACGGAACCAAGCGACGCCGATTTTGCGGGCCCCGGCATTATTTGCATTGACGCCTTGGCCCAGCCGGATAGTGATGTCTTCCTCCTGACTAGCACTGTCACCGCCAGCGGTGCCAGAGAACACCGCTCTGCCAAGTCCTTCGTCCACGCTAATTCCGACCAAATCACCACTTTTAAGGATACGCCGGCGTGATTCGAAGTACTGCTTCAATCCTGCAAATAGCGCCGGTTGAAGGACCCGGTCCATCGAGAGGGGAGTGGAAACCTTGAGCAGTGTAACCTCTTTCGCCAAAGGCGGGTTCTTAGCAGCAGTGTTCTTCATCTGATGCAAGAGACCAGGTTTGGAGGAGCCATTAGGAGTAGCGAAGATCATGGGAGAGATCCGCAGGTACTTGGGATTTTCAATATTGCCAAGAAGCAACGGGGGAACGAAAACTGAAGGGGTCAAGCGGGTGGGTGCGCGTTGCGAAACACTGGACCGGCGTTCACCTGAGTGATTAATGGCATACCGTGGCTTAGAGGACGGAAGACCCGAAAGACCAAAAATCTTAACTGGGCGCCAATCGCCCGCGTCTTCAGGGGAGTCGTTGAAACTTCCAAATTTGAGCGAGGCAAACATGTTCAGCTGGGGCTCCTCGGCAGCTTCGATTCTGACCCAATCACCGGAAAAGCATCCAATCTTGGCGAGCGTATTGATATCTACAAAGACAAAGGAGTCGACGTCTTCATCGTCTCGAGGTCGGGGGTGCAGCACCTCATTTGGGACTTGTTGCAGGAGACCTTCCACCTTGAAGGTCTTGCCTCCGCCATGACCAGGGCGCATGGTGGCTGATGTGAAATTTGATGCCACAGATCCGGGGGGTATGGATTCCGTCTAATCGTCGACCGCCGGCTCTAGGGGTCGCCGAAGTCAAAGAAGACATCATCCCCGATGGTGGCTGCGGCAATTCAGGCGCACTGAGAGAAATCATGTCTTCCAGAGAATCATCCGAAGAGTCACTCATGGATCCTGCTGAGCCCTCTGTTTCTGACTCTTCTGCAGCTGACGTTACTTCCATTTCTGTCCCACTTTCGCCAGGCTTATCTTCGGCTGCAGAATAGAATTGTTCGTTGGAAGTGTCATCAGCTTCGTCCTCGGCCACTTGCTTCAGAAGCGCAGACTTCGAGGGCACAGTTTGTTGAGCGCGGAGTCCTTGAGAGCGAGCCTGGACAAGCACAATCTTTGTCGTCGACATCAGCAAACCTTGCGAAACGGGCTCGCAAAATGAGATTCGCGCAGGTGGTGGTGGCGCGTAAGTTATGGGATGAGAAGGGAGTGGAAGGGGCAGCACGTCTCCGGTATGCACAATGCGCTGAGCTCCCAATGCTTCACGAACTGCTGCAGTGAGACGCTGTTCGGCATCCGCTGCAGCCCTTTTCGAATGCTTCTTGGCTTCTACCGAGTTCCCCGACTTCCCCCAGAGTCCATTCGGCCCTTGCCCATTCGTGAATCCACCGCTAAATTTGCTCTGAACATCATCATGATTGCGGAGTAGATGTCGCTCAACGGTCACAAAGATTGTATCGAGATGAATTGGGGCGACATCCAGAATCCGAATCTCTATGGAACGGTGTGCCTGTATGGAGTTGCGTGACGAGTCAACTTTTCCCAAAGCCTGGAGGAAAGGCTGAAGTGAGTCTGCCGATTCGGGAAACAGCACAGTCGAGTGTGACATTGGAACCGGCGATCTCTCTGTTGGCTGGATGCGCACGGGGAGTATCGTCCAGGCCTGATCTTCCACCGAGGTATAAGTGGGCGTATGCGGGGCAATTGCAACATAAAGTACTCCATCGTCAGAAGTCGTGACATCTAGTCAGGGGAAGACGGATCAGTTAATATTGCTATTAAGAACAGTCAAAGGGGTTTCACACTCACCTTGGAGGGCCTGCTGCTGGAAGAGGTCATTCGCTAGATCCTCGGATACTATGCCGACTTTCCCGCGCAGTTGGGGGTCTAGGGCCAACCGTGCTGCGATGGGTGCCTTATTGTTCAATCGCCGCTTTCCGGCTCTTCTTCTCCGTTGTCGAGGTTGTTGGGAATTCTGCCCATACTGTTCGAAGTCCATGGATGCGGTGCCTTGTCGGTTGCCGTCGGTAAACGAAGCGGGGGAGATAGGAGGAGATATGAACGGAATGCAATCACCAAATCATCGGTTTAACAAGCGCCCATGAGAAAATGTCCTATAGAATCCCGCGCCTGATCTAGCGAACTACTGAGGGGAGAAGACGAGGTTCGCCGGATCCAGAATCCGGGGGAAATCAACACGCGGGCATCTCGGCACCGCCCGTCGTTCTGCCATATCCCGAAGCCGAGGTCCAATCGACCGGGGAGAATGTACGCAAATGTGCGGAGGATGAATAGAGAATATTATATAGATGTACATTATAGTTCTGCTGCACTTTCCTTGAATTAACCAGATAATTCCAGTGATACTCAAAAATGTATGGCTCTATGCCCAATCTCAGTCGCAAGTGTGCTCTAACGTCATTGGCTGTTGTCTGCTTGTGATAGCGCGTGGAACAAAAGCTCCCCCCAGCCTTGGAGCTCCAAATGGCTGACATCATTCGGGGTAGGTCCATTCCAATTGAGAGAATCTTAATGAACAGAAGAGCTTGTATTTTGGGCCTTATTGATTTTTTCTGTCATTGGAACAAATTTAGCCAAATAGGGTTTCCTGGAAATATATATTTGTCAGCTCTCTTCGATACCCAGGTGGTTTAAGGCAGAGTCATTCCTAGAACTAAGGTTTCTAGCAGATACGACATTATTTAGTAGATTGTCGGAGAAACCTATCAGGCAGTTGCATATTGAAGTAATAATATCGCAGCCTGAAATAGTTAGAGCGATAACGGGTGAGTGTGGTGAAGGTGATGTAGAGGAGGTATATTCCTGTCCAGGCGAGAATAAGAAATGCTGTTGACTGATTGCTTTCCCCGGATGGCTTCCCAGTACCTAGGTAGACTTCCATACCAATCCCATCTATGATTTAGAGCCATTCCAGAGTGGTAAGCTACATGGTAACCTTGGAAGAACGGTATAGCCATGAATGTGGGTTTGACATATCAATGACATCGGAAACTGTACAAGATTAAAATAAGGTTGGCGTTGTCGGTCCTTGTAGATATGACAACAGTTGACTTCAGGTACAGTTGTAAAGTAAATGAGATGCTACAAACACCCGGTTCAGTTATACAAAGTACATCGTACTCCTTGGAAAGATGGTCCTTTTTGACAGACTGACAGGTGGGCTGTGTAGCGGGAAGAAGGAGTCAGACAAGGGCGGAGACAGCAGGGTCGATACGAGCATATTGTCTGGCCCGTCCGATCAGAAGACGGATGCATTTTCGTCCGGCAGACGCAGGCTGAACAGGACCAGGATTGAACTATTATTGGGCCGGTCAAGTACGACAAGCGGTGACAGGAGGCTCAAGTGTGCATGTGCAACTCATATTTGGGGTGAAATCAATGACCCAATACTCCGTACGTACATACTCCGTACGGGGTACTATTGGTCTAAAACAGGTTGGTGAGTTGGCAAAAAGTAAGTCGATGTTGTTCACCTGGGCACTTTTTGTTGTGGGCCTCTTTTGTTTCCCGGTCAATCAGGGGCCAAGACCCTGGAGACTAAATCAGCGTGACCCCGATGATTTTCCTTTGCCCAGAATTTTCATGGTATGATCCTAGTAATAGGTGACGTAGAAATAGTTGATAATTAAAATTCTGACTCCGGGTTTTACCATGGGTATCGCCGTGGAAAATCCCAAGAATTTCCTTTGATTGAGGACACGTATGTTGTAGGGAAATACAACATCCAAAAAATGTGCTGCCTGGATTCTCCGTTAGAAGGTGAGGCTCTTTTTTTTTTGGAAATGGAATTCTCATCTTTCCGAGTCCCGAGTTTCCATTTTAAGAACTCAGTGGAACCAGTGGAGAAACGATACGATACCCGCTGGGGGCCACGCGGGAACCACCTTCATGGGCTGGATGGTTTAATTACTGTTATAGGTTTACCAATGTTTACCATACAAAACGTCTTGTACAGCCAATCATAGACTGTAGAATGTGCTCAGCCTTCGCATTCTATACCATTTTGGTGTTAGCGTCTTCGTCTATCAGGCAGACATCCAACACGCAATGAGCCTTCCAGGTCCCTTCTCTCTTCCTTGATCCGCTGATTTTCCCCCATCATTTGTGTTCAGGTTTAATTCTTCATTTTCAATCCTATTTTGCTCTTCATCGCTGCCTTCAGTCTAAGGATATCAAAGATTTCGTATTTAGTGGGGCTCACCGCTTGGGAATCCATCTTGGAACGTTATATCTCAGCATTGGAATCTCATCAGCGCTGTGAATCCGGGGAATTCATTTCATCTTTGGATATCGTTATCGTTGATTAAACAGCCATTTAAACTGGTGTTCTTGATCCTCTCTGTGTCAAACCCCGCTTTGAAGTTTTCCGACCCCCCGCGACACGTCGGATTAGGAGTGCATGTTCATCCAGAGACTATCAGACGATCGCGCTATCGTGATAGATCTCCAGAACATCATACTGGTTCAAGTGTGTCGATTTTAAACACTCTTGGTGGATATCCAAGAGCAGTGGTGCTGTTAAATACCAAAGAACGGAGATAACCCGCATCAAATTGAGGCTTGCATCTCTGACTCGACTGTACGTCACTTCTCGAATCGTCTAGACAACTTTCCGGTGAGTCATGGCATGGCCCAATCAGCCGCAATCCACTGCTCCTTTCCTGTCCGAAACATGTATGCTAAATTTTAGTTGATACAGACTACGCCCAATAATGTCTGCCGTCCAGACTGAGCCATCGCGGGTGCACCCGCGTCGTCGGCCTGTCTTAAACAACGCCCTTCCCACGCTGTCGAGCGACTCGCCTGACTCTAAGATGCCTCTGAAGAAAGGAGAAACTTTCCATACCCCCACTTCTCCTCCATCGAGTGATCACGACCCTGTCTTGAACTTCCGCTCCCTACCTCATCGCTCGGCCACTTCGTTGGAAGCCCTCACTGTTGCCGAAGAGCGCATGACTTCCATCCTAGGCCGTCTGACTTTGGAATCTACTGAAGACCAGACCCCTGAGGTTGCTAGCGGTGAGAGTTCGATGGAGAGTGGGTTAGTGCATGGTAACTCCAAGTCTATGTCTAACTCCCCACGTTCCTCAAGTGAAGAGGGCCGCAGCATTCCTATCCCACTAGATGAGAAAAAGGCCCGCCAAGAGCATAGTCACGAGTCCGATAGTGGACTAGGGACCTCTGTCAGCAGTGAAGAGGGACTGGCAGACTCGCAAAATCAAGGTGGGTGTCACATGCCACAAGAATACATTGTCGCAATTCTGCCCCCCCCTATTGTTTCCTATTTGAGCCCTAACAATCAATAGTGAATAATGGTATTCATGACAATCAATCTGCCATTACAAGCTCTATTTCGGCTTTTGATACTGGTTCGTCACCAAAACGTCAATTGGGCCCTGCCGCTTGCAAACAAATTGAACGTTTTGTGCTCGTTCCTATTTTGAAAGAGCCCCGCTTGAAACCATTCCACCCACTGGTCCGAAGCGTTCCCCAGCGCATTATCAATAAGCAGATTGTTTGTCTGCGTGACCTCGAGAAAACCCTATTGTGGTTGGCACCTGTAAGTCAATACATTGTTCTACTCAAAAGGGTTTATGGAGTTCTGGTTGCTTATTATTATTATTATTATTACTTTATATAAAGAACTCCGCCACTTCTCGGAATTCCTATCTCAACTTTTGCGAGTTTACGATCCAGTGCTTGCATACTTCGACTTCGCATCTCAACGATCGTGACCAACGACTACCAGCTGATCGACCTTACACTAACGGATACTTCCTTGATCTTGTTTCGCAGGTTCGAAGATACGCAGCAATGGTTCGTGCTGAGCGCAAGCGAGTCCAGGCGACTCGGGGCTCCGAGTCTAACAAGGAGTCTAACTCTTCTGCGTATGTAACATCCCATTTGATGGACTACGGAACCTATCTAATTCAAAGTAGCATCCCGAAGGCTATCCTGGCTGGTGGTCTGTCTAAGAATGGGAAGTCTGCCGAACTTGTAATCATGCGAGATGGAAAGCCAATTTCCATGGCCACGGGAAAGCCTTACGAGGCGGATGCTTCTGGTGCTGCTAAGCGTACTATTACTCTTGACGATGCGGTCGATGAGGGCGTTGAGCGCTCCATGGCCCGCCGCAAGAAGGATGCTCCTCCCATGAACATCAATCAAAAGTGCGCCGATTGCGACAAGGTCTTCAAGCGTCCTTGTGACTTGACGTAGGTCGTCCTGTTCATTGAATCGAAGTATCGTAATCGATATGCTAATTCATTCATAGAAAACACGAGAAGACACATACTCGCCCCTGGAAGTGCGAGTACCCCGACTGCAATTACCACACCAAGGGTTGGCCCACCGAGAAAGAACGTGATCGGCACATGAACGACAGACATTCGGCCAAGCCCACCCTCTTCAAGTGTCAATTCCACAAGTGCCCCTATGCTTCGAAGCGCGCCAGCAACTGCAAGCAGCACATGGAAAAGTCCCATGGATGGGTTTACGTTCGATCAAAGAACAATGGCCGCAATGGCAGCACTAGCAGCAAGCGAGGCTCTTCTGTCCAGGCCACTCCTCAGACCCCCAGTGTCTCTACTCCTGCTTCGAAGGCGACCGACTTTGCCTCTCCAATCCCTGGCCCCAGCCCTTCTCCTAGCGACCAGAACTACAACTGGCCTGAGAACCCTCAGTTCAACTTTGCAGACCCCCCACCGCTTGCTCATGGGGAGGATTTCCCCCTATTCGGAGAAACATCTCCCTATCTGATGACCGATGTCAACTCATTCCCAACTTCGGTGAACCTGAGCGGGTTCCAGAGTCAATTTGAAGCCGGTGACCCGAACGGCTTGATTCCGGCTCTGGAAATGCACCGCCAATCTATGAATTCCATGTCCATCCCATCTGCCGAATCGGTCCCCGACCTGATGGGGCCTGTGTCCTTTGACGGATCCCCACTCACCGGTACCGAAAGTATCAATTTTGACCTTGATTGGAGCAATCTGGACTATCCAACCAACGAGGACTACACTACAATGGCTGCGAATCTCCCTCAGGGGCATTCCCTCGAGGTGATGAAGGGTTATTCGAATGATTACGACCAAACGAACCTCAACTACTGTTCTTACGATGCCTCCGGAAAGCCCTCCGGCCTCTCTCCTGGTGCACAGGGCAATGCCATGTTGTACTCACCGGATTCTTGTAACGTGGGCGACACTCTTTCTGAGCGCTACGAATACGGACTCCTGGCCCAGGCGGGCAACGACTTCACCCTCTACAACCAGAGCGCTCAGATGGATGGCCGTGCTCAGCCCATGATGCAAACTCCTAGCGACCAGTCAGCTCAATACCATCGGCCTCAGCAGCAGATGTTCCCCTCTCTTGAGCACGAGCGCGTCCTACAGAGCATGCAGCCTTGGAATGGCCAGCAACCCCAGGGACACTATCTGCCCCGCGACATGAAGCTGGAATACATGGAGTGAACAGGTGGGATCCCTGGGGTTAAAGCAAATACACTTCTCCACACTTATTTTCTGAAGCGAATTTAATGTTCCCAAGCGATGGAAATGCGGGTTGTTTTTATCTTTTATTTTTTGATTTGATCTTCATCTTTCTACTCCAAGTAACATAGCTGAAGTATATTTATTTATTTATTGGTTCTGTTTGAATACAGTGGTTTTCGCATTACCTGCTTTTACCTCCAGGGCTAGTTTCAACGCTTTGAATAAATTCAAATGTTGCCAGATGAAAGGCCACACGGTCCCCTTCAAGTAATTTCCTACCAATCCAAGTGCAAGGGATATGCTAGTTCCATCACTTGCTTCTCCAGAATCCACAATGATATGTCTGATGACACTGCCGAGAAACCTCGCCTCGTAAGGCGCAGAACTAGTACGAGTACGGAGTACCATATAGGCAACACTATAATGAATTAGCCTTGGCGTACGAGTCCTATGGAGATCTAGCGATGGACTACGGTAAAAGGTCATGGCGATCAAAATCGGTCGGGGGGCGGAGTTGGGTTTAAAATAGTATAAATAGGTAGTATAAGATATATAGAGGCTTAGAATATATATATAGTCTCACATATATATATATATACCTAAGTATCTATCTCATAGGTGTCCAGATCATCCAAGTAAAATATTGGGGGAGTTGTGACGACATCATCTTCTTGCCCGACTCTCCTGCTCCGCTCCGGCCCCTCTCCCCCCTCCCCCAATTGCCTTTGTTCCACCTTTTCCCAGAAGCAAACATCGTGAGACCCAGTATTCTGTACTGCTTAGTCTTGTCTAGTTGATTCATTCCAGCGCCAACTGGCCTTGCTAGGCAGACACATTATTCTGCGCTTCCTGCAATTTTCATCACATCACCTATAACACACTGGCCGTGTGATTCAATCTCCTAGGGACTCAGCTTCCCTCTCAACTGAGCAGGAGAATTACCGCTCAACATGCCGGAAACACAATCGCCTGATTCCGCAGTCCCTAGCGGTAAGGGAGATATGGCTGCAGCCCCACCACCAGGTCAGGTCTTGACGGGCAAGCAAGAACACTGTAAGTTGGACGATATGATGATCGCATTCACATTTCACAGTTCCTGACATCTAGGTAATTTGCGCAGACCTCAAGCGTGAGCTCATCGCTCGTGAAGTCCGTGGTGAAATCTTCGAGCTTAATTCCCCTACCGCGCTCCAGCGATTCGGCGCCCCCTTCAGATCGGAATTCGGCGAGGTCGCACCGGTCGACTCAGAGCTGCCTATTCTTCGGTATATTTTTGTCCATCACGTTCGGAATTTCCCATTTCTCGACCAAGCGCGCGAAAAGGAGTTTTGGCAGGATAAGCTACAAATCGTGGGTGTTTCGCTTCCCTGAATGGAAACCGTGGAGGAACGAAGTGTGGCTAACAGTTGAGGATATAGTTCCTGGAATCGTTTGCCAATAAACATGTCTCGTCTTCGGAGGATCGACTGGAGGAGACGAAGCGCCGGAAGTTGGCTCGGAAATGCGAGAAGCTCGTGGAGCTGATGATGGTTTCGGGTGTGCCGACCGCGTCGGGATATGAGGAGCGCATCCAGTTCTCGGAAATGGAGATTGTCGAGCGGGGTGCTCAGGAGTCGGGCCTGCTGGCTAATATGCCCGAGGGTAATTCAATCAATGGTTGGGATGTGAACGTGGCCGCTGTTCGGACAACCTCTGTCAAGCGGACAGTGCGGTACCATCAACATGCAGTAAGTTTCATAACAATACCGTTCTTTTCCGAGTGATCTTTTACTGACAACATCTGTTCTAGGAATTCGTTATTCGAGTTCGTCACCACAATAACCAGGAGATTCATATTGGGAGGAGATATGGAGAGTTTGTCAAACTTCACAAGAGATTGAGGACTGAGATGCCAGGAAAGCTACTCCCTCCTCTTCCTCGTAAGAACAAGTCTTCTTCCACCTCGAGCTGGTGGGGCTCTAGTGCAGATGATGACGCTTCGTCTATTTCATCTCTGTCCACACAGGACACGAGTGTTGTCGAGGATCGGCTCTCTGCACCAACTCTTTCCGCTGGGAACCTGCGGCGATCGATCTCCCGAGGATCAATGCGATCAGCGAAATCGCCGCGTGCATCAACGAGCGACGTGTCGAGGGCCACTGTACTGTACCGAGAGGAGCAGCGTGTGTCGCTGCGCGCGTTCCTGCGCACTATATTGCAGAACAAGCGTATCGCAGAATCCAAGGCCATGGAAGAATTCTTGACTGCCCGCCCCATCGAGTTGAATGAGGAAGAGTTGATCGATGTTCAGAAACGGAAAAACATGGATGCTGTGAGGATTGAGGAACAGAAGAGATTCTATGAGATTGCTAGGCAACGAGCGGCGGAGCTGGACGTGTACATGGAGCGGTTCCGACGGGACATTGTGGAGAGCAGTAAGTCGCGAGCTCCTTCCAGCACAACATGGTTTGCTAATCTCTGTTGCAATCTAGATGGTTTGACAAAGCTGTTCGCCGAGATCCGGGAGAAGCCCACAATTGCAGACCTCAGCCCACAATATCAGAAATTTGCCGAGTGGCTCCGCATTGAGTACGTTGTCTGATTTTCTGAGTGACTTCCCCTACTGACATTGAATAGGGTTGCCGCAACAATATACCATCTGTTCCTTGCCGAGGATAACTCCCCTGAACTGTTTGCACAGGCGAAGCGAATCCATGGCCTGGTGCCGTATACGCTAATGAAAAATGTGATTCGCATCGCTAACCCTGCTGCAGTCATGTCTGGTGTTCTAGACCTTTTCATGGCCCAGCCCTTCGGCTCGCGGTCACTTTTGCAACGCATCTTCTCATTAACACTAAACGAAAGCATCAAAGATTTCCAAAAATCAATTGATTCTCTGGCTTCAAAGGTCGAAGATACTGTGCTTACTCAGAAGCTCAAGACCTTCGCGGATGCCGAGGAAGAAATCAAGAATGTGATCCGAGAAGAGGCTGTTGCTGACGATGTTGACATTATTGTGGCCATCCTTCGCTCCGAACTACTGTCACCCGAACTCACGCCAGAACAGATTGGCAAGGTGTTCAATGGCTACGTCGCTTGGAACTATGCCGTGGAGAATGTCGATCTAGAAATGCAACAGGGTGCCCAATGGTTCGCTCACATGAAGCAGCTTCTGAAGCTTTACACCCGCCAGCGCGACAAGGCGATGATGCTGGGCATTGTCGAGGAGCCGGTCACACTGCAACTCTTCCGCGACCTGTTCACTATCTTCTACGAGCCGCTCGTCCGGGTTTACAAATCTGCCAACGTGTACAACAGCATTACAGACTTTGCTCTATTTGCCGACGATGCTATTAGTGTGATTGAGAGTGCCCAGCGCCAGGATGCCTCTGCCGATCCGAACCAAACAGTGCAGGCCTTCATCGACCTGTGCGCTCGCCACGAGGCCAACTTCTATAAGTTCATCCACGAAGTGCACCAGCACGATAACGGCCTATTCCAGTCTCTAATGGGTTGGATTGAGGAGATTCTCGATTTCCTGCGCAACGGTCCTGCCGGAGGCAAAATGGACATCAACGCTTTGTTCCAAGGAGCGGTTGGAGTTGGTCAGATCGACAAAGAGCTTGCTCTCACGGAAATCAACCAGCTTATCAAGTGGCAAGAGGACCGGAAACGCTGGCATCTGAACAAGACTCGCCAGAAGATGGCTGCTGAAGGTACATCTGGGGAGGCTATTCCAGGAGCTACAACTTTCAAGGGTAGTGATTTCGGTCTTGACGAGGTATGTGTTTCCCACCCACTCGACTTCAAAAATGAATTTGAAATTTAAAAGCTAACTCCGGGGTTACAGGCTGATCTTGAGGACCTCACTATCTCAGATGAGGCATCTGATGCATCTGATGAAGACTCTGGGGATGAGAACGTAGACGATCCCATCGCCGTAGAGCGCCGTCGGCGGACAAAGAAGCAGGACCAACTTCGTCGTACTGCGGGTGAACCCGTTAAGCCCGACGTTACAGAGATTCTCAAGCTTGCTGATCCATTTGGTGCCATGTTGCGGCATGTACTTGCCGATTAGATGCCGATGTTAGAATTGTTTTGTACATTCGTGATACCGCCATAGATATGGCTTCTCCTGTTGGATTCCCACTACCTTATTATGTTTTCATACACCGATCCTTTTCTCGCTTGCTTCTTCTACCTGCTAGCTCGCTCATGGCTGTGCCGAGGGGGCTAGGACCACTAGATAGATATAGCGCATGATAGGGACCGCACGCCAGATCGGTCGCGATAATTGGGACGGAAATATTCATGATGGGCTGCCTATGTATCTCCGCAGTGCCTCCACTACCTCCTGATTGCCATTCTCCAGTGCCACCTCTAACGGAGTCTTCCCATCTGTATCACCTAACTGTGGATCAATGCCAGGCGCCCCGAGTAGTAGTTCCACAACACCTATGTGACCATAAAATGCAGCATTAAACAGCGGTGTCTGACCGTTCTCATCACGAGCATTGGGATCAGCCCGCCTAGACCCAGTCAATAACCGCCTGACAATCCCCTCATGGTTTCTTTCTGTCGCAACCCCCAACGGTGTAGTCCCATGCATATCAGGAATCTCCAGCCCAACCCTCTCACATGCAACCAACAAGTCGACGATCTTCTCGTGTCCATTCTCTGCAGCAACAAACAAAGGCGTCTGTCTTTTCCAATGCGTCTGCAAATTAGGATCGGTAACTTCCCACTCTAGTAAAAACTGTACGACATCCGCTCGCTCCGCCGAAGCCGCAATTGAAAACGCCCCTCGTCCATACTGCTGTCCTTCAGCGTTGGGATCAAGCTTTTCCCCAAAGTACTTAACCAAATACCGCACAATATCAACATGCCCCATGATGGCCGCATAGAAAAATACATGCTGACAATGCACAGCGCCATCATCCCCCTCAAGAATCAACCGCAAATGGGTAGCAAGCAACAAGCCCACATCCCCATCAACTTCCCGCGCAGCACGACTGAGCGGCGTCCATCCCTGTCGATTCGGCACGCGCGGGTCCGCCCGCCCGCCACAGAGAAGCAGCGTGATCATCTTGGGCTGATGGTTGACGGCAATCATGAGTGCGGTATCGCCCGTCTTATCTTGCAAGTTGACGTCTGTCCGGTCATCATTCAGCAGGGTCTGCACTATGGCCGAATGGCCTTCTTTGACGGCCCAGGACAGCGGCGGACGGATCCATTTTCTGTCGCGGGTGTTTGGGTTTGCTTCGTCGTTTAGCAGTAGTAGTTTGAGTACCGCGAGGCTATTGTGTAAAGCGGCTAGCATGATCGGGGTGCAGCCTTTTAGTCGTGGGTCTGTGTCTGTTTTGGATTGGATGTCGAAGCCGGCGGAGAGGGATTTTAGGGCTGTTGACGGGGTGTTGGTTGTTGAGGCCCAGAAGAGGGATTTGGGATTTGGAGAGGTTGCATCGCGTTTATAGAGGGTGTTGTTTAGGAGGTTGTAGGTTGTGGTGTTGGTGCATGTGAAGGCATTTAGGTCTGATGATGATGCGAGGAAATCGGATATTGTGAGGTATAGTTCCTTAGGGAGGGTTGAGAGGGGTCCTTGTGGGTGTATGCATAGTGTATGCATTTGAGGCGTTTAAAAGGGTATCGAAGCATGAGGGTTTGATCATGGGGGTTGGTTGGAGGAGTTGTATATAAAATAAGAACTGACTTGACGTGGGGTTAAGCTTCTTTATAATAATCGCCCTTTATGTGTGCAGATCCGAACCCCGGCCCTCAGTAGTACATGAGGTCATTTGTGATCGGAATGTATAAATTAAGCAATCTTGTCTCGGATAATTCTCAATTCTCAATTCTCCATATCCTAAATTCTATTCATAGCACTCTTGTTATAAGTTACTTAGTTAGGTATAACCCACCTTGGGTTGACTCCATCGAATGTCTTAAAGTTGCCAAGACCTCGTGGAGTCCGGATAAGATAAGCAGGTTTCCATGGCGACAACCTTCATCTTCTTTCCTGCAACAACATTCTGACAGTTGGGGAAGAAACTGTTGAAAATGTCGTCCCCTCAAAAATACCCAGCTTCACCAGGAACTACAGCGCCTTTGCGCCGTGGCCTCTTCAAAGATGGTCTTTGGCGTTGTAACTGCCCAGAAAGGCCGGTTGCGGTGCGCCGTGAAACCAAGAAGCAGGGGCCAAACTTCGGAAAATGGTGTAAGTTGAATCTTGCTTTTTTTTGAAGGATGATGCTTGGGAAGTATCTCTATATAAATTAGCGACTAATATATAAAAAAAAATAGTTTGGACTTGCGCGCAACCTTCACATCTCAAATGCAGCTTCTTCCTGTGGGCAGACGACGCCACAATGCGTGAGCAAGCAGCCGTTCTTGCCAACTCTCGATCCGAACTCGATCCTAGCCCGCTCACCCCATCAAGGCGCACCCCAGGACGAATGAATAATGGGCTACTCACCCCACAGACTGAGCGCAGATTTATCGACACCCCGCAACGCAACTTCAAGTCGCCCCCAAGACAGCTAAGGCCAGAATGATCTCAGAAGCGTCGGACGATTTTGGTTGGAATGACGACTCGGATGATAATGATGAGCTTGTCAAAGCACTCTCATCCAGCCAGACCGAGACCGAGCTCTTCATCTCGCAACCCAACTTCCATCCCAAATCCCCGTTCAAGACCCCCCGCACCGCCAAGGTGACTTCACCCGGCAAGCGCAAACTGGCAGAAGTCACGAACGATGATTCTTCCTTCGGACAGTCTGCACCCCAGACGCCTTTCTCATCTCGCTCTTCTCGCACCGAGATGTTCCCTCCCTCGTCTGCTGAATTATGCATGACACCCACGCCTAGCAAATACAACGATGTTCTCTCCGCAGACTCGAAATTCGACACCTCGGATCTTGCAAAAAGTCTACTCGATATTCTGGAAAAACATAGTGTAGTTTTGCCGAACAAAGCGCAGGACGAGGTGGTCTCGCTGCTTAACCGGCAGGACTTGAAGACACAGGGGATTATTCGTGGGCGGGATATGACGCGGCTGGCATTGAAGAAGAAGAATGACGAAATTAAAAAGCTGCAAGACCGGGTCTCCAACCTGGAATCTCAGAGGGAACTGGATCGTTCTCTTATTGAGGGGATGAAACCCTAGCAGACAACCTTGGAATCACATTACACATGCAGCAGACACTACCGGTGTTGATTTCAGGGATTGACTTTCGGATGTCCAGACTTTTGGCTCCGCGTGGGCCACCTATCTCACGAACTGTTACGATGATATGATAGCTTTGCGATATGTGATTATTGCGTTATTGCGTTATTGTGTCGACATTTTGTGAAAGCAGGCAATCATGAGCCTGTTCCTTATTACAAAAATTAGCATAATTCAATGAGGAATATAAGCTTTACCAATGTACAACATAAAGTCATTTGTCCACCCTACGATCTAGCCCGGATTTTGGCCAAGTAATGTTAGGCATAGGGGAGAAATCAAGCCAAATACTACCTCGTAGACTACAGTCTGCTATTGCTCAGAGGTTTATAACCAATGTCCATAATAATTTATGACCGATTCCGACAAATCTTGTTTTACATTCCAGTACTTTTCACATGCTCTTTAGGATCTAGATCTAGATAAGGATGTCACGTGGTAGATAACAAATAAATTATCGCGCCGCAATGCGCCTCGAGCTTCGAACAAGGAGACAAATACCTAGCAGGCCAGAAATAAACAATCTCCACTTCCAATGAAACCGACAGATGCAGCTTCTGAGCAGGCTACTCTTCACGAGACCCCTGCCATGTTCCGACCCCCGGTGAACCGTGCCATGCGCACCCTCGACCGGTCATTTTTCCGAAGAAATGTGCCCCTCTCTGTCGCCCGCGTTTTTAAAACAAGCGATATTTCGAACGTGCGGAAGGATTTGATCAAGAGCCGCGATATCCTGCTCTTGCCACGCATTAGCCCTATCCGTGAGGTGAAGGACCAGGATGGCAAGGTGTGGAAGGCTATGATGTTGCGCGAAGACTTGAAGGTTGATGGTAGGTTTATTGGGCTTGGATTGGCCCCGACATTGATCGATGGATTCTAATTGAAGTGTATAGATAAGGCGACATGGTCGCCTACTATCAACGAGCTCGTTAATAAGGGAACGGTCGCCTTAGGGCCTTATGAATTGGTATTGGAATATGATCACTGGTCGTATGGTATGCTCGCAATCATCTTTTCTCCTCGGCTAAATATTACATGCTAACAATCTCATAGCTGAGATCATCTCATCAATTCTACCTGAGGACCTGATGGATGAGATCCCTCAAGGCTTTACCCAAGTGGGGCATGTTTGTATGTTCGTCTGACTCACTGCCTATAAACCCAATACTGACGAAACAGTGCATTTAAATCTTCGCGCCCAATACTTCCCATATAAGCACATACTTGCCGAGGTTCTTATGGACAAGAACCCGACCGTTCGCACCGTCATCAATAAGACCGAAGACGTCGGCTCACAAAGCCAGTTCCGCACCTTCCCATTCGAGCTGCTGACTGGCGAGAATGACCTAAATGTCATCCAGCACGAGCAGGACTGCGAGTTCCGATTCGACTATGCCCGCGTCTACTGGAACAGCCGTCTGGAGACCGAGCATCGTCGCCTGGTCGAGAAGTTCGCGCCCAGTGAAATGGTCTGCGACGTGATGGCCGGTGTCGGCCCCTTCGCCGTACCAGCAGGTCGGAAAAAGATCTTCGTCTGGGCCAACGATCTCAACCCCCATGGATTTGAAGTTATGCAAGATGCTATCACTCGTAATAAGGTGCAAGATTTCGTTACCCCTTTCAACCAGGATGGTCGGGAGTTCATCCGTTCTTCGGGTCGGTTGTTGCTGAGCGAGAAGCCTCTTACCGTTACTATCCACCCCAAGGTGGGCAGAGAGAAGCAGCGTAAGATTGCCGCAGGCAACGGATCCCCGCTACCCTCACCGAAGGTATACACCCGTCCTACCATTGTCAATCACTATGTTATGAACCTACCTGCTACGGCCATTGAATTCCTCGATGCCTTCCCCGGGCTCTATGCTGGCGAGGAACAGATTTTTGCGCCGAACACCGAGCAAAAACTGCCCATGATCCACGTTTACTGTTTCTCGGGACACTCAGATAATGAGGTGGATGATCACATCGATATCTGCGAGAGAATCTCCGAGCGCATCGGGCACAAGATCACTGTCGATGACTGCGTGGGAGGCAAGGGTAACCAGGAATTAGAACTCGCCATTCACAATGTGAGGCTGGTTAGTCCCAAGAAGCAGATGTTCTGTGCTAGCTTCCGTCTGCCACGGGAGGTCGCTTTTCGGAAGGTATAAAGTTGTTGCATAGCTGTATATGAGGTGTTTGGGGCTTGCTCCATAAACAAAAATAAGACTCTATTACCCCACGAACAGCATGTATTATAATAGTAGTTGGTAGTAATAAATAAGACCGATGAATTTGGTTTACCATCGGATTTTATTTATTTTCTGGAAGAAGAGGCGGGTAATGCCGTCACCGCCTTGAAATGCCGAAAGTGAAACTGCAGAGATCAACGTCGGAGCCAAACAAGTCACCTCATCTTCTTTACAGCAGATACACGGCGTCGACGAAGTATCTTCGGATAAGTTATTTTCACTAATACCTTCAATTCGAATGCGCTGGGCTGCATATCCGAACCTACGAAATCTCGCCTTCCGGATCGCACCATGAGCGTCCAACTACCCCCCACCTACGCACCGCAAGCGCGCGCTGCCGCAAGGCGAGCTCGAAGCAGCCTCCACACTCAAGCTGGGCGCTGATCAACATACGCACACACTCTCACTTTCGGAAGCCCGACTCGTTATCCACAAGGTGTTGGAGAACAAGCGGCGCGGAGGCAACAAGTACGAGGAGCCGGAGTAAGTGGACCACAGACCATTTGATTTCGATATCGAATGCTGACCTGTAATGCTTTTTCTACAGAAACTTGACCAAGACTTTGGATTACTTGGATGTCTTTGCCCGGTTCAAGGACGAGGAAAATATCAAGGCAGTCGAACGCCTTTTGAACTCTCACACAGAGCTAGAGATGTTCGAGCGGTCACAGCTGGGTAAGTTTTGATTTGCACTGCCCTCCAAACTGCCCTCCAATCAGCCAAAATCTTATTCAATCCGTTGTACTTGCACGTGGATATCGTTGTTGGGAGGAAGACTTGGTATTCTCAGATTTACTGACTTGCGTCTTTCTCTGAACAGGTAGTTTGTGTTGCGATAATGCCGAGGAGGCTAAGTCTCTCATCCCGAGTCTTCAGAATAAGATCTCCGACGGAGACTTGCAAGAATTGTTGGATGAGCTGACCAAGTTGCGCAACTTCACCGAGTAAAAACATATGCCACAGGCCCGGTCGCATTTTCACTGTGGATGTCTCATTTTTTTTTAGGAGCATGGGGTTTGAAGGCGTTTTTTTTTTTGTTTTGTTTTTTTGTTTTTTTTTTTTTTTAGTAGGGGTGGCAGGATTTCCGAGTGTCGATCCTAAACATGCCATAAGGTACGGAGTACATATGGAGGGGGAACTGGTGATTCATAATAGAAACCTTCCCCGGGCCAACCATTGCCGTGCAATTTTGATTACATATCCTCCATCCCATTTAGCCAAGTCCGTGCTCTTCCGTTTGCCACCGGAATAGTAAATTTAGCATGTGCCGGAGAATGTGTCCTTGACTCCGGGGTGTTCCACTCCGGGGACTAGCATTTGTAAAGCTCAAACGTCCTATTTTGGAAATGTATTACAAATGATATTGTACAGCGGTCAAAGGACACAGCGAAGTTATGTACGAACACGAGATGCATATTGTAGATCGAGCGCATAGAACATATGTTGTAGAGTACCTAGGTACTTACCTTGGTATGTTGTAGGTAAATATAGCCTAGGCTTTTCCAAGGTTCCCTCCACATTACGTTCACCCCACAGTTTTGAATTGCAGAGTTTCTCGGGCACTACTGCGACTCTTAGTATGGAACAGACTGTGATTGGTTGGGTAGAAAGCCGTTATCACTGGATGGTGATTGGTCCGGGAGATCCTTGTACAATGGTACCTCGACCAGTTAGAAATTCCGATCATGCAGGAAGACCAATCCTTAGGGGAAACGACAGAGGCAAAAAATTAAAAACCAATTTAAAAATGAGGTTCTCATTATCTAACTATTTGATCTATACCTAACCATTTCCCCTCAAGAAAAAAAATCTAAATGAAAATGATGACCTAAAGGATATTAAAGGATATTCAGTACGTAATGTAATGTCTGCTTTCAGAACCAATCAGCAAGGGACAGCTTATCTTTGACAATTAAAGTGTCATAATTGTCAGTCACTTGCTTAACTTAATAGAGGTTTTTGTTACGAGAGGAAAAAAGCTGATCGACTGGGACTCGGAAAAAGTCACAAATTTTGGGGGAAAGTCATAGTTTATATTACCTATTCGATCATAGATCCATGTCATCATGTATTCTAACTCTTGATTCTTTCTTTTCATCTCTTTTCCTCAACTTCGCCTTTTATTCCCCAGATATTGAACGGGTAGGAATGACGGAGCGGACTATTCGACATCTCATCTTGCTGCAGTCACTTGCAGGTTCATCTGCCTGATATACCTCTTTTTTTCCATCTCCGGTGCCGGCTTTGGATTATCGTGAACTGACTCCCGGAGATAACCAACTTTTTTTTTTTTTCTTTCTGATAAGAGTATGTGGTCACTCTTATCACCATGATCTCATCCAATGACTGACTCGGTATATGATCCAGAAAAATAAATTGGTCTCGAATATAGATCCTACAACATAGATTGCAGAATAATACGTCTGGAGGAAGCTCCGTGAAGACCCTATCATCTCTGCTATCTCCGCTCTTACTTGCCCCCATTATCGTGCCTCCAGGGCTAGTTCCGGTCCACATGGCTACCGTTATCACTATCCAGCCTTCAGGCTATTCCCAAACCCATTCCCCTGATCTCCGCCGAAAGACGGGCTCGACCCCAACGCTCTCGCCATCTCCCATCTCCATCAATTCGACCCTTCCCCGCGTACGGAATGGGGCTAGCTGTGACGCTTGTCTCCGCAGAAAGAGCAGGTGTGCCATGAACGAAATGGTCAATAAGTGCTACTCATGCGACTTTCATCGCCAGGATTGTACCTTCACTCTTACAGCTCAATCCGAGGTTACATCCAAGAAAAGGAAATTGGACGAGGGACAGGAGCCCGCAGAAGCAATTAAGCGGTATGCAATCCCAACCGGCTGGGGATATACTTCAGCTCCCCTATATCGAGAGAAATGGTGTGAGAGAAATTGTGTCCTAACAATCTCCAGACCCTCAACAATACAACCGACGCATTCTATCCCGGAGACCGAGCCTCACACATCAGCATTGAATATGATTCGCCCCGGTTTCTTTAACCAGTCAACGCAGCATATTGGCATGACCACTGAGCTGGAGCCGACCTTGTTGGATTATCTTCCACTAGACCAATACGACGAGTGCACAGTCTCCGACTCACGCGTGCGGAGATGTGCCGACGACGGCACCTTCATGCGTGTCGTCGATACCGTGCCTGGCGGTGACTCGCAGGCCGTGTCACTTGATGTTATTGAGAGCCTGGTCGCTCCCTACGGCTCAACACTAATCGAGAAGTTCTTCGATCATGTACACCCCTCGTTCCCAATTTTGATAGAGGAAGTGTTCCGCCAATCATACCGTGAACGCCGTGGCCTGTCACCGCTACTACTCGCCGCAGTCTACGTCTTGACATTGAAGTTTGTCGACGTCGGTGCCGCCTCGCAAACTGCGCGCAAACCCGATGCCGCACGGCTAGAGGATTCGGCATTGAAGCTGCTGATGGATTCTTTGCAATTCCCTAGTGTCTCGACTATCCAAGCCGGGCTCCTGCTGACACAGAAGTCGACTCTAGCTACGGCATCACTAAATGGTCAGCTGGTCACGGCCGCGTTCGAGCTAGGCCTGCATCAGGACTGCACGAGCTGGCGCATGGAGACCTGGGAGAAGGGACTGAGGAAGCGCCTCGCGTGGGCTTTGTATATGCAGGACAAATGGTCGTCGCTGGTGCACGGCCGACCCTCACACATTTTCGCCTTCAACTGGACGGTCAAGGATCTCGTGGAGCAGGACTTCTCAGACGCCTTTGCTTCCGGCACTGACTCCTCGCACGATGAAACCGCCGTCGGCCACGGCCCTCTTCTTTTCTGCAACATGGTCGCACTAACAACCATTCTTTCCGACATCCTCGACCGTTTCTACACATTGCACGCCATCGAAGAGTTCGCCGCTGCCGGAAACCAGCGTACACGCATGATCTTAGAAAGGGCCAAACCAGCCCAAATCCGTCTTAAGGACTGGTTCTCCTCCCTTCCACCATCCCTCAAGATGGAAACCTCAACCGGCGAACTCGTCGAAACAATAACAGACGAACACGCCCGCAATGGTGCCCTCCACCTCGCCTACTTCGCCACCGAAATAACCCTACACCGCTGCATCGTCCGCTCCCTCCTCGCCGAAGGCACAGACCAATACCTCGCGCACATCTGCCGCTCCGCCGCAAAGACACGCCTAATCTCCGCAATGGACTTTGTCAACCGCCTCCGCCCTGCTCACCTCCGCTCTTTCTGGCCCGCCTCCGCACGCACCAACTTCTCCCTTATCGGCTCTTTCGGCATGCTCCTTCGCATCACCGCCCCGACAAGCGAGGAGGCAGACTTCTACCGCGTCCGGCTGTGTGAATACCGCTGGACTCTAGGTGTCAGCCATAAGAACGCCGAATTCATGGGCTTTGCCTTGCAGAGTCTTGATAATGCCACTACGCTACACAAGCACGTCCCCGCGAAGCCAGGGATTGCAGAGCTCATGGCTTCATCTGGCAAGAATGCGCCGCCACGCATGCCGACTTCAGCCCTTGGCTCTTACGATGAGGCTATGATGGATGCCACCGGCACGGCCGCTTCGAGCTCGGTTATGTCGGGGCTTGCGTCGCCAGCTACGTCTGTTAGTGATATGGAGGATGACGGGGAGGCCTCTATGGCGCCCCTGTGATCACGTCCACATCTCTTCCACCTCTTCGATTCAGCTTCATATTTTCCTACCTCCGCCCTCGACCTCACATCTTACCTCATTTCCAACCTTTTGACTCCTCATGACTCCCCTTCTGCTCCGGCGTTTTCTAGGGCATTTGTTCTTGATTTTCTGAGATGAAGCGCTTGATTTATTTGAAATTATTGATTATGGATGCATCTACCCCATGCACCGAGTCTGCGGACTAAACCTGTTACGTTGTGACGACGGAATTACCCTGGCTTTGGAATATCTGGATTGGACCAGATTATGCTTCGTGTTTGCTTTTGGGTTTGACTTTTCGCCAATGTTTCTATACAGGAATTATGTATATAGATTGGATGATGAATTATGATTTTACTTTTAACAATAGTGGTGGTCCTATGTATCCGAGTGTAGTACCTAGATAGTAATCTCGTCGCAAAGCGATGTTAGTTTCAGCTTTGAATTTGGACGCTTTTCCCTTGGTGTAGTAGAGCGGCTGGGCATCCAAAGTTACGGAAAGGCAGCCGTTTCTGGCCTCAAAAAGCGGTCATTTTCGGCGCCAATCCCATAGGCCCTCATATTCTAGTTGCAATGTATACTCTACAAGTGCATTAATATGCGGCGAACGGCATTGGCGATGTTATCGGGTTCTTCACTGTTGGCATTTGGTTTATGATGTACAGGTCAGTGGCAAGTTCATGACCTCGTTGGGCCATATCATGAATGTTGACAGATGGCTCTCATCCAAAGAACCAATAAGCGCATGGGTCCTCAGTATCTCGTTTTCAAAGGAGCCTCTCATATACCAAGTATCGACCAGAGTATTTACTAGATAAAAATGAGCGAGGATGACGAGTGAGAGTCCACGGAGGCAGTTATGGTCGCTGTCGCTGCTCTCAAGTGACGCTAAGAAAGCACTAGGGAGCATATTCGGCCAGGACAGAATTGCGGCCTCTTCCAAGTCCAACTGGATCTCCTTGTCTGTCGGGGTTTCAGTTGATGCACACCCCAATACGGATAAAATGCGTGAGTAAACAAATTCTAGGATACGTATTGTCTCGTTGTGCGCATCCATAGCCCAGTCTAACGTCGTAGGCGGTGGGGTTTGAGATGTTGGCGTTCCCGAACAGCTGGACAAGTCATCCCAAGGATGTTCAAGCGTATTCAGAGAAGCCTTGATAGAAGCGACTGCTTGACGAGCTCCGTCGGCAAATTTCAGCAAGCGGGGTGCGCAACGAGAAAGCCGAGACGGTGCATTAGATGATGAATCCACCCAATACTCATCGCTATGCTGGAGTGACAATATCTGCCGGAGCCGGCTGGATTTCAAAGCTTGCCATTGGTCACCTATCACAGAGGTTACACCTCGGTTGAGGTATAACCAGTTGAGGCGCGGGATGGTATTTGTAGAAAGAGGATCTGCCATGGCGCCGCTCCTCCCTTTAGTAGGCTCAGTAAGTGGGTTGAGGTCCTGAATCTTAAGGAATGCAAATGCAAATGCAACCAGGAGAATTGACCCTGTGAAAACAGCTTCGGCATTGGAGGGAGAAATGCGGGACACGTCTTCCCTGAAGCCTTCTAACCCTCTTTGATGATGTTCCATAACGATCGCCAAGCCCACCGTATCGGAGTCTTCAAAAACCACGGTCGTATTGGCATCGGCCTTCTGTTTGACCATATGTATACCCCCTAATGCTAGGAGCAGATGCATCAAATATCGATTTTCGCTTGCTAACTCGGGGATAATATGCTGCCAAGTTTGAGATCGCCTGTGGTGCAACGTCATTTGTCTTGCGGTATATAGATGATAGAACTGAAGGAGCTTCAGATCATCCATATTTAGATCTCCATCTCGGTGTTGGTGGGATTGGTCTGAAGTGATGGCCGGTGCTGTCGCATTTATTGACAAGGGCTGGATGCAACCGAGTGGTGGACCTTCATCAGACGGCGCAAAAGAGTCCGGCAAGAGATATCCATCGCCTTCCTCTGTGTCTGCTCTTGATCTAGGAGGTCTTTTCAAAGTAAGGCGCGGGGGAGGGTAGGAACAGGGTTCGCCTCTGGAAGAACATGTGCCACAAACGGGTTGAAGCTCGTCGCACTTAGGGAAATCAGCATTTAATCGGTAAACAGAAACTAACCGGACTAGGAGTAAGGAGGCGTACCTTGACCCTTCGGAATTTGCAGGGATAGCAGCCATTGCGAGATTTGGTGTGGCGGGCGCGATGTCTTCTCATAACTCTGTGGGTATGAACTACGGTGTCTTCGTCCATTTTCAGGGAACCAAGCTTCTCTGATAGTAAAAAAGAACATCCACCATGGTTGGCAACATTTGTGCAAAGTTGCAGCCTATATTTGTGAGTAGTTGCCTAAGTAAAATCCGGCGATGAACCTATAACCAGGGCGATCCACAGCAACCATAGACGTATATACGGGCGACTAGTGTGCGGGTCCTCAATTACTATGGGTTTATACACCGCCTTCTCAAAGCATACCTAGGTGTACTAGCAAATGCAAAATAGAAATTAAGTATCTTTTGTATTGGTAAGTCATACAAAAGGTACATAGGCACCCCAGCATGACATACTCGACCCTCGAACTAGTTAACTAGCTAAAGTAATAGAAAGTGTACGAATAACTATATAGTGCTAGTCTAGCTTAATTAAATTAATAGTTAGTAGTATTAATAGTTAGTATCTAATATGGAGGAAGAAGAAAAATTTTAAATGAAACTATATAACTAAAGGCTATATAGTAGAAATAACCAAGGTGCTTTCTTTATTTTGGTATACTTAATACTCACTTCACACTATCTATATCTTCTTATATTTTCCCAACTAGTTTGAGGGCCGAGAAAAAGTATGTTATGCTTAACTATAGAGTGCCTAAGTACAAAAAAGGATACCTAAGTACCTTTTGTATTGGTAAGTCATACGAATGATACTTAAGTTTTTTATTTTGCGGTAGGCTACATGAAACAAAAATGTTTCTCCATACACGATTGAATCGTGTAAGTTACGAAATAGTCAGTCACTCGCGCCCATGGCCGCTCAAGCCCTGCAAAGTGACCAATTCTGCAAGATCGGCACCAGAACTGGGCAAACTCGGGGGCTGAGCCTCACGTTCAAAATCCCCCGAGCTAATGTTCTTATTATAGCCAACTCTATCTTGACGGGATTAATACATAACCTAGCCAGTGATGCATCCCGACTGAAACTCCGTTCCCGTCATCGTACACTCCCTAGCCTTCTAAGCCCATCCTCGCATGACTGTCCACCATGTGGAATAGGGACTCACTCGACCGCGACACGGAATTAATGACGATTTCCGACCACCAAAGTGCAGATTTGCTGACCGAAAGGACATCAGAACGCGAGTCTGAAAGATACTCGGAAAGAGACACAGAAAGACTCTCCGTGTACAAAGATTCCAAGCCTAAACATGGTTGGCTCTTTCAAAGCGGAGACCGGTTCCAAGGCTGGAGGTTCACTATCTGTCTGGCTTTTATCGCCAGCTTGATCGTCTTCTTTTTCAACCTCGGTTTTATGCTCTATACTATCTCTCATCATCGACAGGATGATACGAAGGGGATCTTGTACCAGGGTGATTGCGATAAAGTGCGGCATTTGGACATTGGCTTCCATTTGCTGATCAACATCTTGAGCACGACTCTGTTGTCTGCTAGCAATTTTGGGATGGTACTTAATATGAACACCCCCAATTATGTCTTCTAATCAACTAATAGCGATACCAGCAATGCCTCGCTGCACCGACAAGACGAAACATCGACCGAGCTCACCAAAACGGGAAATGGCTCGATATTGGAGTGCCCAGTATCCGCAACCTTTTCCGCGTATCTAAAGGACGATCGCTATTATGGATATGCCTGGCATCCTCCTCTCTCCCTTTCCATCTCATGTAAGACATTCCCTCATCTAACTAAACATCAACAACGCCCCCGCTAAGCAAAATAGAAAGGTATAACTCGACAATCTTCTCAACAACCTCCGTCACAGCCTACAATATCTTCCTAGGACATGGAGATCTAGGCAAAATATCTTTGCCAGACCTTGGAGTACAAATCAAAGGCACGGACAAATGGTCCTCCTTCAACGAACTCTTGTCATCCGCCAAAAATGGATCTCTGCAGCATCTCGACCCAAAGGAATGCGTGGACAAATACGCCCAAACTTTCCAGACAACCTATGGCAATCTCCTTCTTGTCACCGAGCAATTGCCACCAAACACTTCGTATGTTCACCTTACAACGCAGCATGTAATAAATCCTCGGGTATACTCGACTTACCCGCCGCCGGCGGCAGATCCGTATGAGTGGCTTTGTCCAATTGATTGGGGCGATGACTGTGAAACGTATTTGCCGACTATTCATACTCAAATCAAGAAAGATAACTGGACGGTGGCAAGTAATAGACCGCCGGCTCGGGCTCGTGGGCGGAAGATTGATTACTGTCTTGCCAAAAAGGCGAGACAGATTTGCAAATTGCAGTACTCTTTGCCACTGACCATTGTCGCAATTACATTCAATCTGGTCAAGTCCGCCATACTGTGTTATATGTGGTTTCGTATGAAAGAAGCCCCCATCCTGACCATCGGTGATGCCATTACCTCCTTCCTACGTTGCCCCGATCCATATACGAAGGGTGGATGTCTCCTTCTCAACCGAGAAGCGGAATCCATGTTTCGGTCTTCATCGTCATCAATCAAGAAGTATCCACTACATGAACCGAGGAAGTATGTTAGGAAACGGAGACGTTGGGGTAGTGCCGCTTCCACCAAACGATGGGTATTCAGTATATCCTCGTAAGTTTTCCATCTACACCACCGTTCCCATAACGTCTGAGACTCTCAACTAATATCTCTTTAGAGGGGTCATAGCCATCCTTGTCTGTATCATCCTTCTCGTATACGGCATCTCCCAAACAAGATCCGGGTCAACCGTCTGGCAAGCAACCCTAGGCGAAGTAAATCCAAGCACCCTCATACTTAGCGACAACTGGCCCAGCACTCTAATACCAATCGTGATAATTGCTAACCTCCCCCAACTCCTCTTCTCCTTCCTCTACTTTGCCTTCAACAGCCTCCTAACCGCAATGAATATGGCCGCAGAATGGAGCGGTTACGCCGTCAACCGAAAAGGACTCCGAGTCTCAGGTAGTCCGTCCCTCTCGCAACGCAGTAACTATTTCCTCTCATTGCCATATCGCTACGCAATCCCACTCATGGCCGTCTCTGCTCTTCTGCACTGGCTTATCTCACGGAGTCTATTTATCGTGGGAATTGAAGCATACAGTCCAAATATGGAGAGAGAGCAGGGTGATGACATCCTCACATGTGGATACTCGCCTGTTGCGATTGTCAGCTCCATTGCGGTTGGGGGCTTTATGTTTTTCTGTGTCGTTGGACTAGGTTTCAGACTGTTTGAGTCGGGCATGCCCGTTGTGGGAAGTTGCAGTTTTACCATTTCTGCGGCGTGTCACCCTACTTTTGATCCCAACCGTAAAGGCAATGGGGAGGTCGACGAAGGGACGGAGTGGGAAAATGAAGACGAGGATATGGCTCTATTGCCCGTTCAATGGGGTTCAGTGCCGGTCGTGGGTTCGGTGGGACATTGCAGCTTCACGTCCGGGGATGTGGAAGAGCCCCACGGGGAGCAGACATATCTGTAGAAGGGTACATGTATAAGTACGTGTATTTCAGAAATAACGTGATTTCTGTGTCTAAAAATAGTGGCCTAACTGTGCCTAAACCACGGACAATTCCGCTCCGTTTCAGTGATACGAGGTTATAGGGTCAGTACAATACACTAGTATGGGTTTAGCTTAATTAGATACTTAAGTGTGGTTCATTGAATACTATATAGAACACAACATAAAGGGAATGTAACAAATCAGGCATTCGGGAATGTTGAAAATCCCTCGGATGCGTCACGTCAGTAAGATCCTGACCCTTTTTCGTCCGCAGTATTTTTTTCCAAACATGTTTACGGTCAATGTCGCAGGGCTGTGTGACTGCAGCCTTGTAAATCGCAATCTCCGGTGGCCAGATGGCGCTCAAGCTCCTTAGGAACGGTTGACGAAGTTGGTGAGGGCAGCGTGAGTGGCATAAAACTCACTCTTGGGCTTGTAGCACTGGTCGAACATCAACGGCTTTGCGCCCTTCGCCCAGGTGTAAGCGTGCTTATCTGTAAAGCCCCAGAAGCTAATGTCGGTGATTCCTGCGTCGAGAGCCTCGCCGATGACGGCGCCGTAAATATCAGTCTCGAGCGCGTTGTCGAGCGTGTGAACATCCATCTCGGCGATTGACACCTCCAATCCGAGCGCCTTGTAGGAGTTGACAATCTCCGTGATAACGCCCGGTTTCAGGGCTACTGCAGTGATGTGCATCTGGAGGGCGACTCCATCAATTGGGACGCCCTTTGCCACGAGTCCGGAGACCAGGTTGTATAGTTCCTGGCGTTTGCCAGGAAGTGACTCGACCATATTTTCGTTGAGAACTAGCTTGGCGCCTGGGGCTGCTGCTCGGGCGATGCGGAAGGCATCTTCAACGTAGTCGGATCCGAGAACTTGATAGAAGGTATTGTTGTTTAGGCCGCCTCCCTGATTTTTCAAGGCTTCGGCGACAACGTCCCACCGATCTATCTTGCCATCGTATCGATGCATGACCGCCTCAAAGTGAGTCTTCATCGCAGTACGAAAGGCCGCAGGGTGGGTGATGTTGAGGAGGAAGTCAGGGTTACAGCAGTTTGAGATAAGGCCGTGTCCCTTGACCACCATGTTGTTGTCTTCCGCGAAGTTAACGAGGCGGTCGATCGGATCCCAGTTGTAGTGCCCTTTGGTCGGGTTGATGAACGACCATTTCATTTCATTTTCGGGAGAGAGGCTGTTGAATTGATTGGCAAGGACAGCGGAGAACTCCGGATCATTGAGATACACCGGATTGATCGCTCCAGACCCAATAAGAATATCCTTCTTGCTTGACTCGTTCCTCAGCGATGTGGTACCAGTGCTCGGAAACGCGTAGACTCTTTCAGCAGCCACGATGAGTGCGGTGGCGATTGTTGACGCAAAGATCTTCATGATTTTGTCTGGCGATGTATTCTCTGTTTGTTTGGTACCTCAACTGTTTGTGATTGTCAAGACTGTCGAGGCAGATCCAACAGCTTTATAGCTGGGAAAATGTGGACCAGGCAATGACATATCGCCGGGACACATCGTGGGCTGGTGCCTACTGCGGTGTCATAGCAGGGTACGAACACGCTAGTTCTACACGTAAACGAGTTCATCCCTGGTTCAAGGAATTTATGGAACCACTGGACTCCAAATCCCAGTACATACAATAGTTGAAGAAGAGCTGCAGTGTGGGAGCCGCCTAAGCCGATGTCTAAAAACGTATACGAGCAGACCCACTCGCCATTGATATGAGGTGAACCCGACTAGGGATTGTTCTTATTCGTAAATTTTCTAGTTGTAGATCAAGTTATTATTGCTCCACTAACCACCTGTTTCCAAATTTAATGGTCGATAAAGCGTTAAACGTATACGAATACGCCCCACTTTTTAGGTTAAGCTTAAATTCCGGCTGAAATTCAACCAATGAAGAAGCCAGGCCGTATTCGTTTATTGGAAGTGGATCCAAGTCCAATGTTGTAATTCCATGGGCAAATCTCATTTCCAGATGCATCTAGTCTGCCTTTTTTTTTCCCACTCGGTCGTATTTGTTGGTTCTCAGGACTTCATCTTGTTCCCTTAATCCATCTACGACACACGACGCCTTAGCGAATATGGCTAGCAATGGCCGTTCGGGATGTGTCTACGAACTACCTGGTGATCCTATCATAGAGGCATCTACCACTGGTCCCTCGACTACTAGTGTGAGTGGTATCAATTTGAACGGTATGTTTACTTTTTTTGCAAAGCCTTTTTATTCGCCGTGACTCGTGAGGGTATCTTGATGCTGGACTTGACGTTCGATTTATTGATATATGACCTTCCGGAAATAGATGCAGGTCGCGTTGATATCGACTGGGAATCGAGGGTCGTACGAAGTCTTTCGAAGCTCTACACTGGCCCTTTATTGAGAGCTCCTACACCGCCGCCTGAATACTCTGAACTACCGACGCAAGATGCCGAGTCTACGACAGTTAGACCCGATCGCATGTCGGGACACTTCGAGCCAAGTCAGCAACTTACAAAAGGTTGGGTCGCCAAATTGAACATTGCGATCCAAGTAGTGGGAAGTCGGGGTGACGTTCAACCTTTCATTGCCCTTGGAAATGAACTTCAGCGATATGGTCATCGTGTGCGTCTAGCCACACATGATATGTTTGAAAGTTTCGTCAGGGAATCGGGGTTGGAGTTTTACCCGATTGGAGGCGATCCAAGAGAGCTGATGGCATACATGGTCAAGACCCCGGGACTTATCCCAAGCATGGAGAGTTTTCGAGCAGGCGAGATTCGTCGCAAGCGCATCATGATACGGGAAATGCTGGATGGGTGTTGGGAATCATGTATCAAGCCGGATTTGGTAACAGGCCACCCATTCGTGGCAGATGCTATCATTGCCAACCCACCGAGCTTTGCACATGTTCACTGTGCTCAAGCTCTCGGCGTCCCAGTACATCTGATGTTCACCATGCCTTGGAGCAGTACCAAGTCTTTTCCACATCCCCTGGCTAACTTCAAGGCCGATGGTCCAGACCAGGGGTTCAAAAATTATGCCTCGTACGATCTTGTCAACTGGCTTACATGGCAAGGGTATGGTTCTATTTGAAACGGAACACGTGTACACCGTACTAATCTATTCTATCAGGGTTGGGGATGTAGTCAATCAATGGCGGAAAGAGCTTGATCTAGACGAAGTGGCCATGTTTGAAGGTCCTCATCTTGCTAAAATACTGAAAGTCCCCTTCACATACTGTTGGTCTCCGGCTCTTGTACCCAAACCGTTGGATTGGCCGTCTTATATTGGTCAGTGCCCCACGAAGGAGTTTTCTATTTATCGATAGACGCGGCTGACATGAAATGTAGATGTCTGCGGCTTCTTCTTCCGTGACGTTCCCAAATATGACCCTCCAACAGATCTTCAGGTCTTCCTATCGTCTGGTCCACCACCGATATATATTGGCTTTGGGAGTATTGTGCTTGAGGATCCGATTAGGATCAATGCAATCATTCTTGATGCGGTCAATGCTGCTGGTGTGAGGGCTATCATTTCTAAGGGCTGGTCGAATTTGGGCGGAAACCAAAGCGAGAACGTATATTTTATCGGAGATTGCCCTCATGAATGGTTGTTCCAACACGTGGCAGCGGTGGTACATCATGGAGGCGCTGGCACAACGGCCTGCGGCTTGCGGAATGCAAAACCTACAGTTATTGTCCCGTTCTTCGGAGAGTGAGTGATTTCATTCCTAATGGTATCTCATATGACCTCGAGACTTACCTTTTTAGTCAACCGTTCTGGGGTGCTATGGTGGCTGCAGCGGGCGCTGGTCCTGTTCCCATCCCCCACCAAGAGCTAAATGCCGATATCTTAGCTGAAGGAATTCGATATTGCTTCACAGACCAAGCGATCACTGCAGCCTCTGCAATTGCGGTCAAAATGACTTCTGAAACAGGGGTCCAAGCAGCCGTCTCTTCCTTCCATTCACATCTTCCCTTGGAGCGCCTCTCCTGTGATATATGTCCAGGGGTACCAGCAGTATGGTCTTATTCCAAACGGGATATCGACGTAAAACTGTCAAAGGTCGCGGCAGCAACGCTAGTCGCACAAAATTTGATTAACCCCAAACGTCTAAAATTGTACGTGAAGCTTCTAGTCCCATGGAGGTACAAAACTAACCAATATTCAGACATGCAATCAAGCCCATTGTGATCGAGAATCGTCGGTGGGACCCTATCACAGGCGGAGCTTCTGCCGTGATGGGAACCACGACAGAACTCATGGATTCCGTCTTGGGGTTGTTCTACAAACCCTTTGAGGAATATAAAGACTTCCAAATAAGCCACAGGGATCGGCCCTTGACGAGTGCCTCGAGTCAAGCTGTACATCGGCCTACAAGCAGCTCTACCGGAAACTGCTCCCTACAGACACAAGAGGGAGCTGACGATACAAAAAGCATGAGTTTTATAGAAGATTCATCGTCGGCGTCTAAATATAATAGTGCTAGGCTTGCAGGGAGAATGGCCGGAGCTTCAGTGAAAAGTCTTGCCAATTTTGTGCCGACTGCGCTGAAAGGCATGACGGTCGACATTCCACTCGCCATGACGGAGGGAATGCGCAACGTCCCTCGATTATATGGCGAAAAGCCACAGCATGACGGTTCCGTTACTGGCATCAAAAGCGGGTTCGTCCTTGGCGGCAGGGGTTTCGCTCTGGGGATGGTGGAGGCAGTGGGCGATTTGGTCGTGAAGCCGTACGAAGGCATCCGAAAGGATGGTGCAAAGGGCGCTGTGACGGGCATTGGCAAGGGCGTGACAAATATGACGACTAAAGCGGGTTGCGCTATGTTCGGTGTTGTGGTATACCCTGGTGTTGGTATTGCGAAGAGCCTAAAATCGGCTGTCTATTTCAGGACAAAAACGAGCATAGTCAAGGCACGTCGTGCCGAGGGCGCATGGTTATTGGAGCATTGTACACATGCGGACGTTGATAGCTACGCTACCAGCTACCGAAGGATGCTAAAGGGCAAGAACAGCTGATTTATTACAAGACAGTTTGCAGGAACGGCAATATGATATAAATATGTATTAACTAAAGAACATGTTCGAGTAACACCAATATACGGAGTAGCCCTACACCACGAGAATAAACAGGTCTTCTGGAAAGAAATTCAATACTATAGAATACATTGCATACAGAGAACAGCCCAAATCGATCTATCTGTACAATATGCCGCAAAGATATCAATGCATCGCGGCAAGACCATTACCAACAGCCCAAAGATCAGACCATATCTCGAGTAATACGGTCAATGCGTCGAATCACTGTCGGATCATGGTCCGGCATCACATTTTCGCCTGAAAAAAAGCTTCTCCCAAACACCGAACCTCCCAATTATGACCGGGGTTCAATTACTGAGCTGTCCGCTGAGTCTTCCACGACCACCGCGCCTTCCGCCAACAACTCCTCCGGTGTCTTCACCCGCACATCCATGACACGCAGGAGCGTATAGCGGTGCTTGCTCTTAGCCTGCTTGACGTGCCTTTGTCTCCGCTTAGTCTTCTCCTTGATGCGCAGCGGCTCTGCATCCACACCCGTCACACGAACACGGCACTCGTAGATACGCTCGTCGATAGTCGGCGTACCCTTCATTGTGAAATCGCGGGATCCAAGTGCTGAAGCACGGTTGAAACGCAGAATATCGCCCGCCTTGACCTTGGGCATGAGGAAAGGCAACCGAATGTGATCACCTTCTGTCAAGAGGTATGGTCGTGCGTGCAATTGAGCGACGACGTAGTGCGGCTTCTGACCGGCAAGATGGGGGAGCTGGGACATGAGAGATTCTGTCACTTTGAGAGGGGAGGTGAAAGTTGGGGCAACGGGTTGTTTGGCAATGGGGACGTGTGCGCGTGTTTGGGGTGTCATATTGGTTTCGTCGAAAGTGGAGGCCTTGACACCCTGGTGAGACTTTGGTTGGGTATCTTGGGCTCGGGGAGTGGCGCTGAGAGGTGATTCAGGGTGACTAGATGCCGATTGGCTCTGAGGTTGTTCCGAATTCATCAAAGATGCAGTTTGGTGAAGGCATGCTCGTTGCTGCAGGGAAGCTGCGGATGAAATTGTAGACGGCGCAGTCCAGCGCAGTTCGGAGGCGAGGCTCCTTAGAGCAGAGCGTGAGAACATGTTGACTGACCGCTTGCCAATGCTCAATGATCGAGAGTGGAAGTGGTTCGCGGTGGTGATATCCGAGATAGAAGAGCGGCTTCCCCGTAACTAGAGAAATTCACTACTTGCGCAAAGGGCCGCTTTGTCACCCGTAGTATCACGTGATGTTAGTCTATCTGACTCGAGGGTGTAGATTTGCAGCGAGAAGAGACCAATATGGTGATAATGAGTTATATCTCCTAATGTGAAGGCAACT